GGCGGCGGTGGAGGTGGTGGCGGCGGAGGTAGTGGCAGCGGAGGTGGCGGCGGCGGAGGTAGTGGCAGCGGAGGTGGTGGTGGCGACGGCGCACGCCCTAGGGGCGTCGCTCTAGCAACTATGAGAGGCGTGGGCGGCGAAATTGTCGGAAGCGCTGTACCCGACGGATCAGCGCCTGGAGCAGAGAATCAGCTTCCCGCAGCTCAAGGGAGTGCTGATTCCACATGGAGGAAGCTTTCAAAAGCACGAGGAGCTCCAGGGAGTGCCGTGGCATTTCTTTCTCATCCGCCGCCGTCTCCAGCTCCAGGAGATCTGCACCAGGGATCGCAGAGGCCGTCTACTTTTGCGGAATTGAAGCAACCTCTGAAGACGGAATTGAAGCAACCTCGGAAGGCGAAGCCGGTACCGAGAGCGAAACCTCTGGGGGAGTACCAAACTCACAAAGACAAACATCTTGCGCCTCTTCAAACTGCGGACGAGGAACAGGCCGACGTGCGCCGGGATGACAACTGTGAGGATCTATTCGTTGAGATGTTAGAGAAAAAGCTACCAGAAGGGAGAAAGAAGCCTGGAGACTGGTGGAGCTTTGCCTTGCATGCGAGCGAAAAGCCTGAACAGGATCTGACAACAAGAAGCTCTTTGGGACTTGTGGTAGCGCAGGCGAATAGTCTCATGGAAAATATATTCATATCAGGAGATCCAGTTTAAGGCAAGCGGACGATAAGTTGTAACTCAGTGCTAGAATAATTAAGATCAGCTTGAGCTTGTTGCTACCCTTCTTCCTCATCTCAGCATCTCGCTACCCTTCTTCCTTGTATGTCATGGGAAAGGGGTCGAGATGAGGGGACCGAGACGGATAAAAGCTGACTCGCATTGAAGTTAAGTAGCCACTTTCATTAGAGTTCTTACACTCCGACATAAGACCATAGAAATGGATTTATTATACATAGGTCGAACACAGTTTAATATTAAGTTTTCAGGTTTTGAGTTTGACTTTCTACGTGGTTCCCTTCTTTTTCTCCACCTTGGGATGATGGAGGGGTTGATCATCTGAGTGGCTAGAATGAATATGAAAAGCATCATCTTCTGAGTAAAATCGTGACAGTCAAGGAAGTGTATTCCAAGCAACGTTTTCTCGCTTCTCTAAGGCGATCGGAAAACTGATTCCCCGGCTGAAACTGAAGATCCCGGAAAAGCACAGCGAGAGGAGAATAAGAGGAATAATTTCTGGCAACCGTTGTCTACAGAGGAGTGGTCCGTGCAATTGATAATGCTGATGGCCTCCCGGTGCTCGAGCAGTATTGGAGCAGGAGCTGATGAAGTGGAGCGTCATGCCCTGCAACTTCAATACCGAACTTATGCACTTTGGCTTTACTTCTACACAGGATTACAGACAATTTGGATACAGGAGTAATTTAGAAGATGCAAACTTTGCTTCCTCGTTATCATTGAGTTTTACTACCAATCTTCACACATTAAATATGAGATATTTTTGATATTGCAATCGTACTCGGTCGTCAGATTCTGGCCTATCCGTCCCTTCGTGATGAGAGTCTTTAATACGAGCGGACGAGTCACGAGAGACGCCATGCTAATTCCTTCCGCTCTTCTTCTGCTATAGCTAGGTCTTTGCTTTTTCAACCCCCATTGATTTTTTGTTTCTCCTCGCCGGCCACTAAAGTGGCCAGCAGTCTTATCTTGAGGTTGGATACGACCTCTCCGAGGACTAGTAGTGGTGATCCGGTGCCCATGGTCTCTACTAGCGCGGCGATCTCCTTGCGGTGCGAGAACCTACCCCCTACTACACTCCCCGCCCGGAGTCGAGGGGATGGGACGCCATGGGCTGTAGCATCTTCTGCTTTTTCTCATCATTATAATTAACCTCCGTAATTAAATACTACGTGTTTATCCTCTTGCGCCGTTGTGCGTCCTCGGCCTTGTGCGTTGTGCTGAGTGTGTGAGATGAGAGAAGCTAGTGTTGGCGCTTTCCTGTTCAACGTGCTCGATAAGATCAGGATCGTGGGGTTTCTGGCACAACTTTCTACACATACATGTTGCCATCGATCCGCCCTCATCCTGTGGTTTCTCTTTCTTTGTTGATCTTCCTCTAATTTTGCGAGCGATATCGGAACGTCGGTGGATGCAACAAAGCACAGGACATGCCATTTTTTGAGGACGTGTGGGATTTTTTTCACGAGGATTTGAAGGTTGACTCTCAGATGGTGCAAGGAAGCGCCACTTCAGGCACTCCAGGAGCTTTTCAAGCAGATGAAGGCCATTCCCAAAGCATGGGGAACAAGAAAAAACTCGTGGTAAGGCAGGTGGGAGAACAAGAAAATCCTCATGCTCCTTCTGATGCCGGCTGTCGCATCGCCATGACCGGAGAGTTCCTCTTTCAAGCATACACTTATGGCATGATTGTAGCTCGATAAAATGTTAAATAGTGCTAACGTGATGCCAATTTTGTTCTTGATGACCATTGATTCTTGTGGTTGTTCTACTCACCTAGACATAGTAGAAACTAGATGTATGCTGTGGCAGCATACCGAATACAAGTACAAGCCTCTAATATACACGACTCAAAGTCGAACTTCGGGGCACAGGAAATAGAAGGGACCCTGACTTCCTGAAAGATTTTCCGGTGAAGCATGGTACTACGAGCACATGTTGTCTTCTATTCCTTTCTTGTCTACTAGCCCACGCTGATGCCGCAGTTGGTCGTTACAGTTACTAGTCGTAGTTTTGGTCTTGCTCCATGATAATTTTATTTTGATTTTCATGTTTCTTTGTTAAGTAGGCAAACGCAAAGTAACTACTTACTTAGGTTGAGAAGTGGTGTTACACTTGCCTTTGTCTTTGCGGCACCCCCAAAGCTTAACTTCTTCTTCTGTAGGTTATGTTGTGCGCCCGTTGTCCGAGCACGTTCCTGCGAAATTCGATCAGTCGCAAAGAACCGAGCTAGATCAAAATCGTCCGACGGGAAAGTTTGCTGACTACAGTCTCAAGAAGTTGGACGACTTCTTGACCGATAAAAGGGCCATCAGGAATTATTTGCAGCAAGTGTTAAGACTGACAACTAACAACAAATTAATTTCCTTATCAACATGAACATCCGAATCCGTCTCACCAGCATCTTGCTTAAAAATGTTAAGTTTTGTTTCTTTTCGTAGTTGTCCTGAGTGCCTTGTAGAAGAATGTTTCATCCGTTGCTCTTGTGTATAAGCTTTAACTGAGCTCTAATTTGGTTGATGTTCTGTGTCGATAAAGTTTGTATTCTCGTCTTCGCTGTGGCAGGGTCAAGGTGCATGTTGGCCATGACTACAGCTGCTACTTGAACATAAGAAGTCCCGTCATCAATATCCATCCTTTCGACAGCCAACGACGTTAATATTGTCTTGGTTTTTCGAGTAAATAGCTGTAAAACAGGGCAGACACACTAGAAGCTGGCAGAAGTCAGGAAATGCCAAGCATTGTGTATTCTAGATTCAATGCTCTCAGAAGTAGTTTCAATGCTCCTCACTAGAAGCACCTCCTACAGAATGCCTGAATATCACTTTTCTACGAAATTAATAAGTAATAACCTGAGCTGCATTGCCGGGTCCGTCGACTAATATGCCCGTGGGGCTTACTTTGGCTCTAGCTTTTCTACAGCGGTGGCCGTTGTGCTTCATCGTTTGCGTAATCGTAGCGCCTGGCCGTTGTGCTTCAGGCTTCCCGCGAGGTACTACCCAAATGGAACTATCGCGGGTAACTACTGTAGACCCAGGCCCCAAAAAAAAAGGCCCGAACCGCGAACGTGAACGAATGAATTAGCATTATCTTACTACAACATAGAAGCAAACGTTTTAGAGATCCATCTAATTCTGTCGCCGGAGTGGAGGTATTATGTTTACGGAGACGATGAACTGGTGCCTAGGGCGGAATGGCATCGAATCTTTCGCGAGAATTTTTTCGAATTGGTCAATTTGTGGACTCAGCACTCTGACGGTGCGGGCTACCTTATGCATTTTCAGAAACTTTGCATTTGCTTCCCCGTTAATAAATATAATTCGTAGAAGTCACCCACCCGTTGCTGCTCCTCCGCGTACTCGTCCTACTTACATAAAATATTGATATCAATATTTTGTTTTTTGATCATTCGCTTACGCTTTCTCATCTTGTCGCTGTACGATAACACTAGACTCATCTAAACTTGTTCACACTACTATTTTGGCTACCTCCTACGCCCTTCTAATCTTGTCTGGACCTACGAGCATTTTCGATGGATCTGGTTGCAGCACCACGCTACGAGGCTATACGACCTTCAAGATGCATACAAAGAGGATCGGAAGAGGACTCGGGAGCAGCGCAGACGTAGTCAGCGTCAAGGCAACTACACAGTCCCGATGATGTCCCGCTTTGCGGATTTCGCCTTGGCTTTGATTTTATGCATCAAGTTTTATTTGACGCGTCGTTTCTATAGCTTTTGCTTTACTACGTATTAGAACAGAACAGTATAGTCATCATGTTCTGAATTTCCTCATCCGAGCATGAGATTCTATTATAGCCGAGCATGAGATTCTAGTTACTTAGACCACCACTTTGACGTTGAGTTTCTGGAAGAAGAATTGAGAATGATCACATCTAATGATCGGGCAAAATGGTCGACTGTTTGGTAGACCCGAGGTCGAAGGCCTTTTATTGCGGCTGCGCGACGGCTTGTTTCCGCGTGAGTCCCGAAAGGAAATCCAAGATACTAAAACTAAAACACCTCTATTCAAGCAAAATTCGACGCAGATGACGTCCAGGGACAATCGGGTCTTTTCTATGTACTTCAAGTTTTGGGACGAGCGTGAGAAAATGTGTAAGCGTCATCCCCAAGGTCTGGAAGATGTCGACGAAGACGAGGAGGACGAAGACGAGGAGGACGAAGACGAGGATGACGAAGACGAGGAGGACGAAGACGAGGGGGACGAAGACGAGGGGGACGAATACGAGGAGGACGAGGAAGCCGAAAGCAGTGAGGGTGGCGAGGAGAATGAACATGATCAAAAGAATGGGAGCCAGCAACCTCGATGGGAGCTGCCACCTAAAGACCAAAAAATATCTCGCACCCTTATAGCATACGCTTTAGGAGTTGATCCTACTTCAGTTTCAAAATAAGTAGAGCCGCTGCAAACGAGTTCTCGTGAATCTTCATCCTCAGAGCAGTCAGGCGTGATAACATTAAATTTCTATGTTCGGGCCCTGATGCTCATGCTTCGCGAAGCTCGTTCCTTGAATCGAGGCCTTGACTCGAAAGTATCATCGAGAACGCTTCACCACGAACACTGTAGTTGAACTACCTGCTCGTCGGGTCGGAGAAAGTAGTACTCTCGGCTTATTCTGCAAAGAGTACCATTATACCAAAACGTTCTCTCAAGAGTGGGCACAGACCTCGCAAAAACGCGATGGGGTATATTTCATAGAGAGTTTGAAGCGCGTTCACATTCATCAATTTCTTCAATGCCCATGTCGGTGGCTCGTCGAAAAAAGATTAAGATTATAGGATTTTAATTTTTTTTACTCGCTCTCACAGGGGGGTGCCACAAGAATTTACTCTCTTTCATCTACCAAAATATAGAACGGCATTTCCGATCAACTACTTGTTTTTCCCTTACTTTTCCTTTTCCCGCCTTCATCTAGCTTTTCGATGTACTAACTGTGTTATGGGGATCCACTAAATGATCTACCCTCATGACTTGTTAGAGTATTTTCGAACACGTAGAAAAATGGGATGGGTATGGGACTTTCTGCCTTGATGTTGTATTTTTTTCGTGGTACTACTAGGTTCATAAGTTGTTATAGTATAATGATTCGAAAGGGCATAATTCGTTTAGTTAGAAATATTTTCTTTCTTTCAACATTTTATAATTTATTCATAAGAACGTCACGTAGAAACAGGATGGGATTGGGGGAGGAGCCGCATTCATTACAAAAACTCCTCCTATATTTTTTATGCATCGATCCGATGCAGTGCTTCCAACATCAGGTATTGTCATATAGGTTCTCGTGCACGCTGAATGTCACTTGGAAAACTGCTTTTATTAATGTGGTAATGGTTTTTTTATTTTTGGGTCCCTTTTTTCCTTCTTCGTCCTCCAATTGTTCATGCTGAAGTTCGTGGTGAGCAGAACAACTAGGCATACCTCTTGCCAGGAACATCTTCAGTCGATCAATCAATCAACCATAGAATTGATACGGGCATCATCTCTCTTTCGTATTCACTTGTTGTTTTCCTTCCGTATTTGTTTTTTTTCATGTTCATCCACCCACCTTTCCGCCAACATCACCGGATGAATTGGGATAAAGATAAAGAATATGTCTCACTCGTGTATTGTGCGTCATGATGATGATCTTCAGGAACTGTTTCATCTCGCCGATGGTTGAGAACGAGCATCTGAGAAGATGCACACGACATGACATCATCAATCTTCATTTACTACGCCCCTCAGTATTGTTTGATAGAAGTCCGCATCAACCCGGCCACGCTGAAGACTCTGAATGAAACAAGCTGAAAAAAAGATATATTGTGCATGATGAGAGACTAGATCGGACGAGAGACACCCATACGGCAGGTAATATTTCTGCTTCCAAAGCGGTAAAAATGTCACTACCATCAGAGAGGACGAGGCACTTAAAAGTATTACTACAAAAGATAAAGAAGAGCATGAACAACTAAAGAAGATCTGATTTGGGAAAAAGATCAATAGAGATCCAGAATTAACGCAGCAGACCATGGAGATCACGAAATTAAGGCTCTGTATCAGCATTCGTAGATCTCACAAGACCAAGATGCTGGCTGCGTGCACCAGGACATTAATTCTTTTCCCCAGTTTGCTTGGTAGTCTATTCTAATAAATCGTACACGGATCTTTGGGGCTGCCTTTTTGGTGACCGATGGCGTTGTTCCTGAAGTTGTGAATTGGTCCAAGATCCAGCAGGTTTCTCGTCAAGTGTCGCTGTTCCTAATTCTGTCTCTCTCCAAAAGTGTGAATTTGAAAGTTCTGTGTCTTCGGCCTCTCACTCGTACTAAGCCTTTTTTCATGTTGCTATATTCCGTTCCTTCTCGTTGTCTAAACATACCTTAGACATTGCCCACTATGTGGAGTCAGCGCAATCGTGTACAATCAAGTTCACTGTGTTGCGGGAAATCGTAGACACAGGTAACGACAAAAAAAAAGGGAATTCGATCCTCTAGGGTTTAGCTCTTGTTTCTCGGGGTACGTCAGATATGGCCCGCCATTGTTCTACTTATGGGCCGAACTAATCCGCCCGTGGGGCTTAGGCTCTAGATTTTCTACAGCGGTGGCCGTTGTGCTTCATCGTTTGCGTAGTCGTAGCGCCTGGCCGTTGTGCTTCAGGCTTCCCGCGGGGTAAGTAATTAAATGGAACTATAGCGGGAAACTGTAGTCCCAGGCCCCAAAAAAAAAGTTTTGCTAGAATGAATGAATGAATGGATGAGTTTGAAAGTTGTGAAAGTACGAATCTGCCTGCATGATCTTGATCCGGCGCTCATCTACGACTTGTTTCTTCTTGATGATGTAAATCAGAACACTTTGTTCTTGTGGACCTACCCGAAAACTCCCATGCGATAGGAGAAGCATAAGCTTGCATTTTCATTTTCATCTAAACAGTGTGCAGGGATTGAAGCATAAAGATGCTGTGGAAGAAGGAGAAGGCAGCCTGTCACTTCTGCCTATTGGTTTTCCTTTCTGGATTTGAGACTGATAGGGCTGTGTGTAATTTAAATTTTATTTATGGGATCTCTTTTACTTTTTCCTTCGTTGTATGTGGTGCAAGCGCGTAGGACAGGAGCAGCGTCTACTATTACTAGTCTCATCAACGTTGGAGGTAACACAGGTCGGGAATTATCGAATGCAAAAGGGTGTCTTTATGGTAAGAAAAGAAAGAGGTATTTAGGAACACATCTCAGGCATATTAAGTTGCCAAGTAGAAGTACGTAATAATATTAGTAAGTATGATATTGTCGTTTTTTAAATTTGATGTTTACCTTGACCCTTGATGCTACTCCTGACAAATGTGTTAATTGATACATTTTTTTTGGTCGCCTCGTTTTCGTCACACCCGCACGTCCGACCCGCTATACCACATCCTGTGAAGAGTGAATGAGTTATCCTTTTTAGTAATGGGAATTTTATTGTCTGGACAGCCTTTTTTTCTTAGTAACTAAGCAGACATAGTTGAAAAAATGGGATTCTTACGCTCAGCAGTACTTGTACGATGTCCGTCGGCCTCCGCGAAGATGTTGTTCATCTTCATGTTCGTCCGCGTGATAAGTGTTGCCACTGGCGTCAGGGCCGCATTGTTCGGGCAGCATCCCTCGCACTCTCACCTGAATATATCCCCCGCCACGGAAACCTCGTCGCCAGACACAGACTGCACATGGGATGTGGATCAATATTTTGCTGCAGAGAAAAAGATAGCAAAGCTTCTCCGTCAGCGAGAAATAGAAGAAGATGGCCATGATGATCTTGGGAAGTCTCCTTACAGCTCTAAGCCCGAGAAGATAGAGGCGGAACTCGACCTCCCAGGCTCACGCCCCAAGAGTGATTGGGAACAATACGCAAAAGAAAGCATTGATCGCCAGCTAAAGGGAAAGAAAGTTGTAACACCCAATCAACGGATACTACAGCGGCAAAAACGAGGATCTAACACTTACGTCGGCAGCAGTATATCTTGGACTTTCCTAGTAAAACAAGAAGCCTCGTACTCGTCGAACATCCTGGCAACACGTTCCTCATGCTCTAACGGTGTTATTTGTGCCACCTCCTTGAGTAAGCTTATATATGTGAAGTGAGAGGGGTGGAGGTTCCCCCCCTGTGGATGGGGCGGTGGTGGCGTCCGCGCGCTCATTTTTCCGCGGTGGTGAAGTGTAAGGACCTCTGGAGGCGAAGGCGTCAAAAGGCGGAGCCGGAGGCTCCTGGCGGCTCTCCGCGGGTACCTCACAGGCATCCTGACTCTTGGACCCTATCAGGGGGACGGCCTCCGGGGGAAGAAGGCCGCCGAAGGCGGCGGCGGTTGCGAGGCCTGGCCCCTTTGGCCCTCATCCAGGGCCAAAGGCGAGGAGGAGTGGGGGCTAGGCGTGCCCGCCTGGGTTCTGTCGGATACACGCAGCACGGCGAAAGGGGGCAAGCCTTGCCAACTGCTGCCTTCGGAGGCCTTCCACCTCCCAAGAAACTCCCCCAGTGAGGAACCCGCACGCTGGAGGCTTGTAGGGTACACGCAACTACAAGCCGCAACAAGCCAAAGGGGGCCCAGCCTTGCCACCTTTGCGACCTTCGGAAGCCTTGCACCCCCGGCCTTCGGTGCTTCAGCGGCCTCTGGGATGGGGGGTCTGTAAGGCCCAGGCAAGAAGCGGGAAGGGGTCGAAGGTGGGCGCTTGGAGGCTTTTCCGCCCGGCAGTCCCTCCCCCCTATTTATGCCATGTTTATGCCATCATTGTTTGGAAGGACGAAGACGAAGAGTGCACTCATATCTCTGTTGAGTGCACTTTTCATTCCGCCGTTCTTTCTGCCCTATAGTGATTAATGAGGAATGTCTAGTACACCAAAGAAATATCACAACAAACTTCTCTTTTTCTCTGTGAAAGGGGAACTAAGTAGTTGCATCTCAACATCTAAGAACCACGGGAGGAGTCGCGTTCAGAACGGGAGATGGCCTTAGAAGAAACAGCAGAAGCAGCAGCAGCAGCATGGCATCGCTATACCAGGTGTTTGCGCGCAATGAGTCCAAGGGTGGCGATGTTCTCTACATTGGAGATGTTCCATGAATTTGATTTCTCAAGGCACTTGCGGTGGGGCAACGGAGCGTCATTAGGAAAAGCGAAACGAAGTGTCAAAGAACTGGTCGACTCGCTTCGTTCTGCGAGACCTCTGTTTTCAGTAGCAATATGCATGCGTTCTGATGAAACGGTAAAAGCATGGGAGAGCTTTCTGCTTTTAAGACTTGTAGTTTGAATTTTCCATCCAATCAGAATGATGATCCCATCACGAAAAGTTTTATTAATTGGTAAATCATGTGGCTTAAATAAGTGGATACTTATGTAGTAGACACTTACAAACTTCCAACATCTGAACATATGAATAAGTAACCTCCTCCCATAGCAGGACTTCGCGCGTTTTTTCCCTTGGTATAAGTACGAGGCTGTGCTGCAAATCTTGCTTGGCTTTTGCCCGTAAAACGGCGAAGGTTTAGGTCCAGCGACGCTCAAAGCACTAAATAAAACAGCCGGTTTGTTTTTACCTCTAACTTTTGGCTTATCCCATGCAGCAATTAATTGGTAAATCTATATCTATGTTTATGTTGATGTAATAAATTAAGTAATCGAGCTTTATTGAAAGGCACAAGCACTCCCGAGGTGGATCGTGAGGAGCCTTCCTGGCTTCGTTTGTTTTAAGAGACTAGTTAAACAGGCTAGTAGGGCCCACACGAATTAGGATCCAGTCACCGTCACACGAATCGAGATCTGGAGTGTTTATAGAATTACTTATATATAAATATATGTGGGATTTTCTAATGATATGGGACATCGAACTAAATTCGGAGGTGAGCCCAGCTGAGCACTGGTATCGTCTGCACGCCGTGAGCAAGCACATTCAAGAAGGGTCCGATTCTCTATTTCCTGACATGGTAGAGCAAGAAGACATTGCATGCTACATGCAAGGGATTCTCGGGTCTCAAAGGGAGAAACTCATTGCCGCTGAAGTCGCTTTTTACGACACGACTGGAGGTGAAACTAGTGGTATAATTTTTGGAACACCTGCAGCAACAAGAAGAGCTGACGAGGGCAGACAAATTATTATAAATCAAGAACATGCAACCGGAAGAGAAGTTTCCCAGGTGCCAACGGGTAACCTTCTCAACAGTAGCTTGTTCGAGGGGAGAACAATAGACGCTGACGACCTGGTCACTGGGGGAGGCGGGAAAGGTGGACGTTCGACGTCCATCGCAAAGACAAAGCAACGGCTTGCCGGTTTTCTAGCACGACCGCAGGCAAGAGATCAGCACGACTCTACCAGAGAGGATCAAAATATAAAAAGCAGGCGCGAGGACGCCACTGGAGGTGCAGTGGACGCACTAAGCACAGGTGTCCGGAAGTTGAAGATCGGTGGTGCCGCTGATTCACTACACTCTTCCGCCTCGGGCGCGGCATCGTCCTCCTCGCACGTAAGAAGCGAGGAGCAGAGCAAGGCCACTAGTATTGAGCAGAAGACTGGAGGTAAAGCAGGAAAAACTAAGGAAAAGGAGATGAAGATGTTTATAACAGACAGGTTTCCCTTTGATCTTGAGGAGGTCTTTGGTGAGTTGGCCATGGCCTTAAACGATGCCGTGCTTGAAGGGCGGAGATTGCGTCGCCAGTCTGGTGAAGAAAAGCAGAGTGCTAACGAAGTCCGATTTGGTCTCAGAAACCTAAAGCAGCTGCACGAAGACAGTAAAAGCAATCGGAGGACCTGCTCCACGAAAGGACTACTAGGGTGCGAAAAATGGTATACCTTCAAGGATATACGAAACACCATACCAATTGACATACTTGCGGAGGAGCTTGCCCAGAAGGTCGACTACATTTTTTCGGGGCGCTGCAGTGACAGCTTTGACGACCTCGTGGATCAAATACGGATGGTCTCTTCATCATTGGGAGATGATGGACGTCAAGAAGCCGAGCTTGAGCTACTTCTTGATCTCCTGGCAGATGACCTCCGTCACTTTTATTACGAGTTTAGTTTGCCCTTCAATCTTCATGGACGTGATCAAGAACAAACACGAGGGATTATACAGGCCGTGGCGAAAAGATTAAAGAGGACATTGGCAGCCGAAAAATTTTCTTTTTCACTGGTGGTAGAATTGCGCTGTAACAAAAACCCTGCGAAGGCAGAGAAGTCGGCTTCTACAAATAGAGGTCGTAGTCCCTCTGGTCCACGCCCATCAGGCGGCAACGGCGGGAGAGGAGGTACAAATCAAACTCAGCCTCGGTTTCTTTGGTTTCTTTGGGTCGGGTTAGTTAGGTGCGGCTAGTCCTGTTTGGGTGGATCATAATGTACAAATGAAAATGATGATAAAGATAGGATAAAAATTCCTTGGCCATGAACTACCAGACCTTTGTCGTGTTCGTTAGTGGTTCTCGTCTTCCATTATAGCGCTAGTATTAGGTCAAGGCTTTGCTTCATTATTTAGAGGCTCTACCTCTAGTTAAGTGCTGAAGCTCCACCGTCGCGACCGCTACTTAATCCGACTTTTTTACTTAAACAGATGGCCCCAGGGATGGTGATGAAGATGATGCAGGCATGGAGGAAGACGGCTCAAGTGGCGCGCGACGAGGTTCCATGGCTAGCGGAAGCGGCTCCCGCTCAAGTGGCATAGGAGGCTCGCCTTCCTCTGCAAAAAAAAGGACGAGCGAAGGAGGACCGACTCAAGGTAAGAGGACTACCGATTGTTATTGGTCATTTTCAATGAATTTCACACGCGGCACACTGAGAACTATAGGCAACATGCCCAGAAAGCGGGCCCATCAAGGGCCCGCTGCGCTGGGCATAGGTTAGCAACTACCTAGACAGATTGAGGACTAAGAGACAGAAAGACAGACGAAAATAGTCGCCAAGTCTGCTCGCCAAGGCTGGGAAGCTGGCTCCCACTGTGGCGAGGCTAGTAAGGAGCGAGGCTACTGCTAGGGCTACTGCCTTGGCCAGCTTGCTTACTAGGGGCAAGCCAATTGGCGCCAAGGCTGGCCCGCTGAGCGTCATGGAGTCCACGAGAAGGCCACGCCTGGACATATGTAGGAACAGAAGTTGGGCCCTTCTGAGTGTGATCATGTCCAGGAGAGTCCTGAGGCGGAGCATACCCATGGCAAAAGGCTGACACTGGCGAGCGTCATGGATGAGGCTCATGAGAAGGCCACGCTTGGACATATCTACGCGCAGGGCCAGAAGCTGGGCCCCAACCTTCAAGCGCGGAGGTGTATAAGCTTGGCCGCCTCATGGACATGACGCATGCATGACGCTCACCAGGGTCCGGCTTGTCTTTCAGATATGCAAGTGCTCACAACTATCAGCCCCACAGTCATCGACATCCTTCCTCAGCGCCTTCAGCTTTCACCAGCGGAGGCGCATAGGCTTGGCTTTCTCATGGACATGATGGCGCTCCGCAGGGTCCACCCTGCAGACATGCAAGTGCTCGCGGTTATCTTTCTCACAAGCATCGACATCCCCAACGCCTTCGGCCTTCACTTACGGAGGTTCACAGGCTTGGCTTTCTCATGGGCATGGTGGTGCTCTCCTCCAGGGTCCACCTTTGAGATTTGCAAGGGCTTACCGCTATCATTCTCACAGACATCGACATCCTCAGCCTCAATGCCTTAAACTTTTAACGTCACAGCTCAGAGATGTATAAGCTTGGCTTTCTCATGGAGCTGATGGCGCTCACCAGTGTCCACCCTTCAGACATGCAAGGGCTCAGGCCAATCACTCCCCCAGACATCGACACCCGCAGCGCCTTCAACTTTCAAGCGTGGGGATGTATAAGCTTGGCCCCCTCATGGGCCTGATGATGCCTGCCAGGGTTCACCCTTCAAGCGTGAGCCTTGTTTTGAGTGTGGCGGGCCATGCGTGTCCTCCTATGAGAATTCTAAGGGAGAGCGTATTCACGTCAAAGGGCCGAACCTGTTGAGCGTCAGGAAGCAAGTCCAGGAGAAAGCCACGCTTGGGCATATCTATGCGCAGAAGTTGGGCGCCTGTGTCGTGCCCTTTGTTTTGGGTATGGCCATGCCCATGAAAATCCTAAGGCAGAGCGCACCCATGTCAAGGGGTAGACGTAAGGCTGGGCCTGCTGAGCGCCATGAAGTCCATGAGAACGAAGGCCACGCTTGGGCATATCTATCCATGTGCAGAAGTTGGATCCTTTTGAGTGTGATCATGTCCATGAGAATGCTAAGGCAGAGCATACCCATGCCAAAAGGTCGAACTTGTTGAGCATCGTTCGCGAGGCCCATGAGGAGGCCACATCTACGCACAGAAGTTGGGCCCCAGCTTTCAAACGCGGCGAGTAGATGGATAGAGCCGGGCACATTCATGCTTGAAGGGTGGGCGTGGAGCCTCTTGGGCGTCATCATGTCCATGAGGAGGCCAAACCTGTGCGGATACGTGTACACAAATAGAGGACCCGGAGGGCGTCGATGCTTGTGAGGGGAGTAGGCCTGGGCCCCTCCATATCTGAAGGGTGGGGCCTCTGCCTTGGGCGTCGTCGTGTCCATGAGAAGGCCAAACCTGGACACGGCCGCGCGCTCCTGTGGTCGATTGCTGTGCGCGGAAGGTAGTCGCGGAAGGGACATAAGCTGACTTTTTTTCAAAATCTTCAGGGAGGTCGCTCGGCTTTCTCTGTATTTGAATGACCTCCCTGAAGTTTTTGGAAAAAAAACAGGCGCTGGGTAGCGGTTCGCTGGAAGTTCGTTGAGGCGATTCGCTAGGGGTGGGCGCGTGTTGTCCTGCTGCAGGTGCGGCTGGTGTACTTGAGTAGCCTACAAACTAACAGCCGCGCGAGCCTTCTGCTGATAGATTTCGTCGGCAGATCAGTGAAAGAGGCGGCAGCGCTGATGGTGTTGCGATTACTGTGCACCCCCATGCCTCGGAAAAAGCAGCCGCACTTACGGAGAAGGCCGCGCTTCAAGGTGGTGGGTGATTTCTTGTTGTATGATCTTATAGAAGGAGAGATACCGACACCACTAAAAAAATAGCCGCAATTCTTCTAGTTGGTGAGGAATCTCCCCTGCTGTCAATTCACTGGCTCGATTTCATAGAAAGAGTGGCGAATCTGATAAGCGAAAAATGGCCAGGGTGCATTATCTGGCTGGGCCAACTCGTAAACACGTTCTCGGGGGTAGCGTTGAACTCGTAGCACTAGCAAGCGCTTTAGGGAGGCTTTGCTATTAGCCTAGGTTTATATCAGATTGCCCTTAACGGAGCTCCTTAGGGAATTTTTTGCTTCTTCGGGGAAGTGATAGCAACTTTTTAAAATAGAAAATCTTTAAGGAAATCAATTTCCTTAAAGGAGCTTCTTAAGGAAGCTCCTAAAGGGAGGCCCTTAAGAGATTCCCGCCAGTAGCTAATACTATAAATAAATACCAATGCGCATATATATTTACATGCGGATAGTCGAACTCTTGCTCCGCCCGGTGTTTCCGAGGCCTCTTGAATTGTGAGATTGTCAATCATGGGGGACCTTCTGAGTGAGGTGAACACTGTTCCTCCTATTCGTGCGGAAGTGATTTTTTTTTTCAAAAGCTCCCGTCGTCGCTCTAATACGGAAGTCGATGCACATGCATTCTTGTGGAGGCGCATCCTCGAGGGTGCTTCTATGAATGCGGGCGAAGATTTGTCAGCCAAGAGCAACATAAAAATCGAAGACCTAGACGAGGAGACGGTGAGAGCCTTAAAGATTTGTTTTCCGAATGGACGTGAATTCTTGCGCAGCGCTCAGCCAGCTTGCGCAGGTGGCACTCTGCTGCGAATTGTCGACGGATGTGTAATGAATCCGGAGGGTGAAAAGCGCCAGCAAACCGACAGAGTTTGTGGTCGAGCGATCGGTCGAAGGCAGTCGGGAACTCGGGAAGCTCTCCAGGATACTGGTGTACTACAAAAGGACGCGGACCAGGTCCAGCGCGAAGAGTTCTCTGTTATCGATGCTGCTAGTGCTACTGATGATGGCTCTGGTAGTGATAATGATGACGCCCCTGACGATGTTGGTTTCTATTATCGTGATAACCATAATGATGACGATCACGGTGATGAAGATCATGGCGATGACGATGATGACGCGAATAATGCACAGGGAGGCGCAAGGATTCGTGGCGCCATCCCTGCTGAACAGCCTGTGAAGCCCCGCCGGCACTCAGATGAACTCGCAGTGCACTTCTTCGTCTGCATAATTATCAGAATGCTGCAGGCTCTCTGGCGTATTGTCTGTAAGATGATCTCGGAGGCAGCTGTGCCGCTGCGTTTAGGGTATAGAATCTACGTAGATGTGCTGTATGGTCCGCCGGATTGGCGAGATGTTATACCAGAGGAGGCGGGCGCCAGACCAGTATATGGAACTGGTTTGCTCGACCCTAACGAAAATCTCGACGAAGTAGAGAAAGAGCAGGAGGGGTCTGCTTCGTTGCCTCCAAACTACGTGCAGCGAGCATTTCGCGACTACCTCGAGAAGCTAAAAATGAGGGAGAAATACATGCGGAACAGGAACTATCCGGATGCTTATGAAGAAGAAAAAACTATTAGTATCTACTTTTTGCTCGATATTTATAAAAAAAATTAATCCTTGGAGCTATCTATTGCACAGTAATGAAATTATGGAATTCGCGAGCATTGCATCGCTCTCCGCGCTCCTTAGTATATCCATAAATATCTATACAAAGCATCGTCTGCAGTGCTGCCCCAGGGACGGCCTAAGGTCAATATACAATGATAGATTTTAATGATTTTGATTATTGAGAGGCGCACTGCGGCATGGTTATATTAGAGTCGTGGATGTGTGAGTCTGAGTGAGTGACGAAATGGAGGATGGATTACGAGGGGTAAATCTTCTAAAGCAGCGTGTTGTTGCGACTATGGCTGGAACGTGCCGCGATCATTTTTCAGAGCACCCCCGATAAAGCGTGGAAGCATTACACGGAGCGTGATCGGGCGAAGAGGAGGGGAATGCGGATACGCCCTGTCCAAGAGGAGATCCAACGGCTCGAAGCGCTCGTGCAGCATTATGAAGATGACCAAGCAGCTGAAAGACTACCAGGACTCGCGCAGCAATACGAAGATGATCCACCTAGAGATGCTCCACCAGCCATACTATCAATCCGGGAGGAAGAAGGACGGGGCAAAGGACTAACTGACGTATCACCTCACATGCGGAACGAAAGACAAAAGCTACTGCTTTCTTCCATGGACGACGAGGAAATAGCAAGGAATAGGGCGATGAGAAAGAAAATCACGCTTGTGCTAAAGAGATGCATGGAGGGATTGAAAACGCAGGAGAGGCTCAGCAACATAAGAGAAGGCACAAGCTTCTTTGAGATTGAGGAGGCGGCAAGGATGGCGTACCTTTTGGGTGAGGAATTAGACGAGACACTAGGAAGGACAACAGCTGACACCGACAGACAGGCGCACCAATATATTTTCGGCGGCGGCGCAGCGGAGGCGGAGCATCGACCAGGCGAAGTGCACCCGGGGATGCGACGGTTGATCGAGGACCATCTAAGAGCCGCTTTCGAGGCCAGGAAAATAGTGTATGATTCGGATTTGTCGCTACGAATTTCAGCACGGATTTACGCCACCGCTTTGCTGAGGGTGTTCGCTGACTTTCAGTTAAGGCATCAACAGAAAAGATGACAACTAAGTAATTAATATGGCATTTCCTAACTCTGTACCCTGCGAAAAATGGGCACGCTACTTCTACTACACTACTACTCCTACTGCTACTACTACCACTACTACGACCACTAGGCACCCACAAGAATAAGAAAATCCTAGAGGTGTTTAGCAGTTTAAAAGCACTAGGCCCCAGCTCTTACATCAGCGGCCCCCATTGGGGTCGGCTGGTTTGTCATCTGGGTCCCGAACCTTGAACCGCGAACCGGCTTCCCCTCTAAGTGGCAGCTGATTGATTTACCATCTGAATCCTGAACCCTGAACCGAGAACCGGCCTCCCCTCTAAATGGCAGCGGATTGGTTTGCCATCTGAATCCTGAACCCTGAACCGAGAGCCGGCCTCCCCTCTAGATGGCAGCTGACTGATTGCACTTCGCGCCAGAGGGTCTCTGTTTCGAATCTTGGAGAAGCCAGGACTCGACTGGCAGGGGAGGTGGCCTGCAAGTCGTTTGCCTGCGCCGGCTTGTATTCACCTGCCGCCTTGGCCTAGTGGGTAAGTGCTCGCACGTCACCCCAGGGGGTTCTTTGTTCGAATCTTGGAGGGGCCAGGATTCGACTGGCAGGAGACGTGGCCCTCAAGTCGTTCGCCGCCCCCTACGCCGGCTTGTCATCACCTGCCACCGTGGCGGAGTGGGTAAGTGCTCGCACTTCGTCCCTGGAGGTCTTTGGTTCGAATCTTGGAGGGGCCAGGATTTGACTGGCAGGAGAGGCGGCCTTCAAGTCGTTTACCGCCCCCTACGCCAGCCTGCAATCACCTGCCACCTTGGCCTAGTGGGTAAGTGCTCGCACTTCGCCCCTGTAGGTCTTTGGTTCGAATCTTGGAGGGGCCAGGATTCGACTGGTAGGGGGGGCGGCCTTCCAGTCGCTCGCCGCCCCCTACGCCGGCTTCTTATCACCTGCCACCTTGACCTTGGCCCAGTGGGTAAGTGCTCGCACTTTGTCCCTGAAGGTCTTTGGGTCGAATTGTTGATATGGTAGAACAGCGAAGGTGTTCGTCATAGCCAATTTAGGAGCGTTCCGCGTGCTGTCATCTCCATTCATTCCTTCTCTCTGGGGGCCGCGCATCCTACACGCGGTGCACTTGGGACGCCAAGTGTATAAATCCATATTCCACCAATCCACCAAACTAATAATCCGAATATTCAAACATTCCCTCCCTCCTCTTCCCCTTTCACACATTCACCCTAGCTCACCGTTGTTGTGCTCATCTGGCTACATCTCACTCACATTATTCCCCTCCACATGTTCGCACGATGACACAACTTTGTGTGGGCTAGACTGAGTGTCTGACTGCACTAGCAAAATAACACTCCTAAATCTCAATGTCAGCACCTTCATAATGCTCACCAATCTAGGGAGGGCCGGGATTCGAGTGGCAGGAGAGTTGGCCTGTAGGTGGCAACACATTTGCCCTCTTGAAAGTGCAACGCGTTTCGTTGAAAGTTCAGTGGGTTTTTGTTGAAAGTGCAAAGTGTACTGTTGAAAGTGCGGCAGGTTTTGTTGAAAGTGCGGCAGGCTTTGCTGAAAGTGCGGCGAGTTTTGTTGAAAGTGCGGCAGGTTTTGCCGAAAGTGCAACAAGTTTCGTCGAAAGTGCAGGAGGCTTTGTTGAAAGTGCGGCGAGTTCTGCTGAAAGTGCCGAGGGTTTTCTTGAAGGTGCGGCGAGTTTCCTCGAAAGTGCAGCCAGTTCGGCTAAAAGTGTGAAGGGGTTGGCTGGTCGTGAGGCTGCGGCAGTGTTCTGGGCTCAGGCCTTTCCCTACAGTTCTGCGTGACGCAAGCCAGATCCATAAGACGAAGAACAGAAGTGCACGGGCGTGGCCCGCTGTAATCAGAAAGACCAGGCAAGAGCAAGCATGGGCGCGGCTGCTCGTTTCTAGGCCTTCTAGCTATCTGCTTACCCCAGTGCGTGAATGTTGAGGGAGGCCAGGCTGTGTCCTTGGGTCGTACCTCTCTCGTGGATTCGGTAGGCTCAGTGAGACGTGTGCAGAAGTGGAGGCAAAGTATGCAAGTAGCTCACTTAGCTCACAAGCTGCGCAATTCCAAAAGCAAAAAAGACGGACGGGGGGGCCAGGCTTGGCTGGGTCGGTGAAGAGGGCGGAGCCCGCTACTTGGAGGGGAAACACGTACAGCCATCCACTTTCTTAGAGCAATACCGCCTCGGAGGGTTAGCCACTGCGCTATGTCCATTTGGTTCGCGGTTTCTTGTCTCGTCTTCTCACTTTCTCTCGCATAGCTTACAGGCGTGCCTAAAGTTCTACGCCAGGCTCGAGGCGGGTCGGAAGACTGAAGAAGCGCGTGAAGCTGACGGCCCCGCGCCGGCGTATAAAGTAGCCGACGCCATGCGTGACAGACGTTGGCAAGGGTTTGGATGAAGATGAGCCATGGCCGCATTGGTTGAGCTTGTTCCATTGCTTTACTGTGCACTAGTCTGAGAAAGTAAAAAGATTCTGGCTGTCTTCGGTTGGAGTAGTCGCTTTCTGTGTCGGATTTCTTAGAGATTAGAACGCCGCCCGCTGGCCAGCCGGCGGCTTCTCTTTCTCTTTCTTTCTAACAAATATATCGCCGGCGATCCTGGTCAGCGCGCTGCCTGCGAACCTTGACGAGGCAAGAGAGGCGACTGGCGTGACCTGGGGCGAGCGCGATTCAGAGCGGGCGTGGATACAGCTGCAGGCGGCTGCATGTAGAACGACTAGAACACGTCTGCGATGATAGAGCTCCATGGATGGGCTCGGTTCTTGATTCAGGGCGCAGGGGTATAGGGCTGCTCTCTATGAGGGGGCCCCACTGATAGACCCGGCTCGCGATTCAGAGCGCAGAAGTGTAGGTCTGCTCTCTAACTATGAGAAAGCTTCACGGATGGCTTCGGTTCTCGATCCAGAGCGCAGAAGAGTAGGGCTGCCCTCTATGAAAGAACTCCACGGATGGCCTCGGCTCTCGATCATTCAGAGCGCAGAAGTGTAGGGCTGCTCTCTATGAGAGAACTCCACGGGTGGGCTCGGTTCTCGATTCAAAGCGCAGAAGTGTAGGGCTGTCCTCTATGGGAGAAGCGAACCCCATGGGTGAGCTTGGTCCTCGATTCGGAGCGCAGAACTGTAGGGCTGTCTTCTATGAGAGAACCCCATGAATGGGCTCCGCCCTCGATTCAGAGCGCAGAAGTGTAGGCTTGTCCATTAATGTGAGCCAATCCCATATCGAGCTCGGCTCTCGATTCAGAGCGCCGAAGTATAGGGCTGCCTTTTATGAGCCAGCCCCATGGATGGCCCCGGTTTTCGATTCAATGGACTCGGTTCTCGGTTCAATCTGCCTGGCCTTCTCTCGTCTTTGTGTCCTTTTTGGCTTACTTTTTTGCTGGATCTTAGTCCCCTCTCCAGATTGTTGTTGCGGATTTTCGTGCTTTTTTTTAGGAGCTTAACACGACTAGGCTACGCTTGGAAAATCCTTATAGTACTACTAGTGCTACTACTCTTCCTCCTACTCTTACTCTTATCGTATTCGATCAATACAGTAGGTTGAAATTGAGGCGAACGTGCGAGTTCATGTTTTATTTCTTGGAAGTACTATCTTTCCAGCCTTTTTTTGTGCACCTAAAAACGTGACTTTACGTTGATGGCTGCATCGTTGGGCGATGATGCTCATCTTGGCCGTCTACCTCAAGTACAATATCGTTAGCAATTAGCTTGTATTTTGTTCATCTATAGTCTCGAACTCGGATTATTTATATTTTGCATGGTTTCTAGTTCTAGTTCTCCTTTATTTCTTTGTTCACAGGGTAGGTAGTTGCTATCTTTATCACGCCATGGGTGAGCCACATCTTCTAATAATTATCGAAGTCTGCGGTTTGAAAGCGTTGATCAGAGTTGCCTCGGTTGTGGTCTGCACTCTAGTCGTGGGCTGCTCCTTGGGTTCTTTTCTTGATCGAGCAGCTGCGCTCGAGCCTCTTGATCGGGCAGCTGCGCTCGTGCATCGTTCAGTTGATCGAGCAGCTACGCGCGATGATATTTTGAGAGTTATGTTGAGAACAGCAACTACTTCTTGATTGCCCCTATGGCAGTCTGCACAGACCGTCGTGCTAGATTCATTGCGTTGTATTGTATCGAATTGCGTTGGATTGCATTGCATTGTGCGAAAATCAGTGCCATTGAGTGGCTGTAGCTCTTCTTTTGGATCATGTAATCTGACGAGGCTGCGTGAAAATCTCGTCCAATTGAGGGAGAGAAAAAATCTATCGACGTAGCCTTCCTCCTCTAATAAGGCATTGTACCCCGGGTACAACGAATACGAAATAAGAGCTGTAGCTGAAGAAGCCGCTAAAGCTGCTCGGCCTCGAGAACTAAGAAAGAGATTATTCGAGCGGCTGCATGAGCAGATAGAAGCTCGCGCAGAAGGGGTAGCAGAACTCGCGGAGCTTATGGCCAAGATGCCACAAATGGATGCAACCAAGATGCAGCATTTGCTGTCAAAGTTGTGGGGAATACAATTACAAATAGAACTGTCCGACGTGCTGGAGGTGGAACAAAAAGCCGACGTCGCTCTCATACTTGGTACGTCATTAGACGAACCGGAGCCATTGCAGGAAAAACACTGGCTTCACAGTTAAGAAATTTTTTCTCCGACTAGATTGATAACATCAGTGCTGACAGTAGAAGTAGATATCTTGATTAAACACTCACACATATTGGAAATTTTTTCTCCTACGTCTTTCTGGCTGCTAGTACATGTACAGGAGTGTAGTAGTAGAAAATTATAAGAAGTTTTGACTACCTCTACCTGCAGTCGAAGAAGTACTTTTACTTCTCTGTTCTTTGGTTCTTTACAAAGGAGGTATTAAATGCAGAGCTCTAAAATGGTGTTGGAGGTAGCCAAGGCACATGCGATGCAGGAGAAGGCTGGCTCTTCAGCCTGGACACATGCGATGTAGAAGACTGAAGAACATGTAGTTATCGGCCATCATATTGCGGACTACAAGTAGTACAACAAAGACGGAATTTCATTTCTTTTAGATGTGGGGATTGATCAAGAAGACTACAACGCAGTGACATCCAAGCATGTGACGATCATGGAAAGATGTGATGTAAGGACCCGCAAGTAGGAGTGTCCGAGGGATACAAGAATGACGAATACATCCATTCCAAGTAGCAGACAAGGAGATGATGCCGACCTTTCTGCTGGGTTCTTTGTTGTCGCAGCAAAGGTGACTTGGTGTGTCGCACGTGAAGGCAGATCAGCGTGGCGCTCAACAACCTCCCAGACGAACTCATTTATTATAAAGATGATGATGTGAGAACGATGGCGAAGTAGCTGCTGTCGACAAAATTTAGCTGCTGGACTCCTACGAATGCACCGCATGTTGAACGGGCTGGATAACGAACTTTTTGCTGAGGCAACCTGTGATCTAGACGATTTCTGGTGGAACAAATACGAAGTAGATTGTCATTGTGAGAATCTTCAAGCAACAACCGATTACATGTCGGTTGAAGGTGATTTCTTGCTTTCCTGCAAAACTTTCTGATCCTGATCCACCTCCTGTTGAGATAGTCATCTTTGATTACCTGTATGGTTCTATGTAATCCGAACTACCCGCTTCACCAATTTCCAACTCCTGGTCCTGCGGTAGAACCTTCAAATTACAGTTTTCTGTTGCTGCTGGGTACATTCTCTATGATCTGATAACTACTGCGACGGCTTTTATAAGCTGAGCGACTATAATGTGTACGTCGACGGCGACGAACGCAAGCCTCTCACGATTAATCGGAAAATCAACTAAGAAATGTTGCAGTCTCCTGGCAGAATAAGAGCGACCAGAATTACAACTCGGCGGAGATGATTAAGCAGAAGTTCATGATCAAGAATGAAAAGTTTGAGCGACGACAGATCAATAGTAGAGAAGTCAGCTGCTCCATGTTGTCGTCGATAGTATGTTTTCTGTACGGTGTCGAGGGGCTCCAGTGGAGGATTATGTAGGGAACGGAGGTGGAGTTGCAAACTATTCTAGGCTCCGAGTGACGCTGTTTTTCCACATGGCTGAATGGCACTAGTTCCATTGACGTTGAGTGAATGAGAATGAACTTGAACGAACAAGTAGATCATCCACTTTTTAGATCCCGAAATTCCTATGTATCTATGATTTCCGATCCCAAGTAACGATTTAGAAGATCGCTCCTCTAGAAGATCTCTTAGCTGACGATCGACGACCGATCAAATACCTATACCTTGGCCCAGCGAACTAGGCGTGCAGAGCATCCATTGTTCCTTATTTGAAAAAACAAAAAGACCATACATATCACTGGTCGTATCCCGTGTGTTCGGCGGAGGTTGAGAGAGGAGAAGGTTAGTGAGAGAGGAGCGAAGGCTGCTAGTGTCGACAAAGACGAAGAGAAGAGAAGTCTGCGCGTGAGGATCGACACGCCTGTGACTTGATGGAAGGGGGGCTCCGGGTGAGGCAAGCAGGATGCCGTAGTCGATCTCGCTGAAGTGTGGCGCTTTGCTTCCGCAATGCCTTACATCCGAAACGCCATAGCCCCGGAGCTCTTCTTCTAACACCCGGCAACGCTTGCAGCCTTTCGGCCGGTGCTTGCCTCCGCGCGTTCACTACTTCACCCGTCAAAGACGAGCAACCGCCTCGAAATCTTGCGAAAGAGGCCACAGAGGGGCCCACCGCCGTCACAGCGGTCACCGATTGCCGTGACCAGCGAAAGGCGGCGGGCCCGCACGGTATCAGCGCATCGCCGGACATGGTGCCCAACCTCGCCGCAGCTGTGGCGCAGTTGCTTGCAGCGGCGCGGCCCTGCAGCCTCTTGATGCCGTGCGCTTCCGGACGTGTGCAGCGTTCGTCGGAGACATTACACGGACGGAACGCGCACGGTGGACACGATAGAGGCCGTTAACGGCTCCGGCGGTCGTCGCTCTTGTCAGCGCCGTCCCTCTCGTCGCGGCATGCAAAGCCACCACGCACCCAGGCCTTGCAGTATTGGGCCGTCCCAACTCACCGGCAGCCTCCATTTCTGCCGCGCCAACCTCGATAGCCGAGTCGGGACGACCTTGTCGCGGCGTGTGTTTGGATGTAGTGCGGCGACGGCGTGGCGCTGTGGTACTTTCCCCGCTTTTCAATTAAGCGGCCCCCACGCACGGCGGACCGCCCTCCGCTATGCTGTCAAGCGGTTCCCGGCCCCATTTGATTCTGTCGCCGGAAGCTCTGCCTGGGCAACATCCGGCAGCGATGTGCCGTCATCTGTAGCGCGCACCGGCTCAGGACTGCGCATGGACCGCCATCGACTCAGTTCTTACTTTTGTGTTACTTGCATTCCCAACCTTGCTCGCATTCTCTCCATGCACGGAGCAACGCGCCAAAGCGCCGGAGGAGTGTTCTCACCAAGCCATGGCTTTGTTTCAGCACACTGAGGCTACACGCCCGGACATTGATAACCTTGACTCTCAGCACCCTGAGGCGGCAAGCGCTGAGAGCTGAGCGGAGCGCTTGACCCTTTTGGGCGTTGTAATTGTAAACTCTGACACCCCAAGCACCTGCTGAGTGTTCGCTTCAACTCTGACTTTGAAAGCTCTGACTTTCCCCACTCTGAGGCAATACCTAAGCCTGACACTGAGAGTGGAGGAGGCAAGCCCGCACACCGAGAGTTGAGAGGAGCGCGCGACCCCTTTGCTCGCTGTAGACTCTGACTCTCAAAACTCTGACTTTCAAAGCTCTGACCTTCAGCACCCTGAGGCGGCAAGCCCTGACGTTGAGAGTCGAAGCTACCTGCAAACGCGCCCCAAACTCTGACACGCAAAACCTTGGGACCCGATTACGCGTTTGCAACCCTGAGGGGCTAGCCTTGACATTTGTGCCCTTTTTCGCCAGCCCTGGGATTCAAAACTTTGCTTGGGAGCGAAGGGCTCAAAGCCTTGAGACTTCGCGGCCAGTGGCGAGCCCTGTTATTGATTCCTTGCCTTACGCCTTAAGCCCTGGGGGTCTTGGCCTTTGTTTACGCCTCCCTTGCGATTCACCTTGCAGCCCCTTAAAACCCTGACAGCCGACCCCGTTCTGGTCTTTGGTCGATTTTTATTAACAGCGAAGGGGCTCATACATAACTAAGATTTTGCTTTAATGGGTCCAAGTTCAGATGAGCCGACACTAGTAACCCCATAGTCGCTATTACAGTCGGCCCTACTCGTTTGCACGTCGTTCGAAATGGAATGCGACCTTTTTCAATTCACGGCATCAAGATAGAACAAGTAATATCTTAGTTTTTCGCTGGGCACGGACTGGCTCAGTCACTTGAATATCCTTCCATTGATTTATGTGACAGTGAAGACTTCCATTATAATCGTTTTGGGGTAGCTTTGGCTCTGACTGCATGAGGATTCTATCCTTTTTTGTGTTGTCCATCTGAAGTAAGTTGTTGAAGAATTCTCAGTCATTCGTTGTATCGTTTTCGAGTCTTACTTGTAGTGCCTTCTATTAAGATACTATCGAGCATTAAGAAGTTTAGGACTGAAAGTATCTTGACCTTCTATTATATGTAGAAATCAGTACCGATAAACCAAATAAAATGTCTTCTTTATCCAGCAGAACAATTCTGGCCAGAAAGATGCTGGCGAGAAAAGCACGGCTTCTATTCAACTTGGCAGTCGGGGCAAGCGTGGGCGTGCCAGGCCTCAAGAGTCCTGATGGCAACCGAGACCGTACGATGAATAGGGAGGTGGACGACAACGGCATGGACGTCGAAAAAGCAATCAGTTTTGAAGCCGGTACTTTCAAACCTGACCTTGTAAATTAAGGGCTGCCAATTGACCTCTTTATAATTATTTCGACCAGATATTTTTTTATTCGCCACTCGTCGTTTTATCACTTTTCGTCTTCAAGTAGATGAACAAGAGGACGACAAGTCTAAGAATAAATGATTGAAAGTTAGTGATAGCCGAAAGAGATATTCACCATACATATGCAACATTATATGCAACATTAATCATGTAATACATTATGAGTGTACGGCCGGGTAACCTTGGGGGCCGGACTGAGAGATTAGCTCTTGGTCTTAGGTCTTGCTCGGCAAAGCCACCCTCGTTTTCTCCTTAACACTTGGTAGTAGGGACCGTTGGGAAGTTTGACTTTTAGTTCAACAAGGATGATCGACATTAGTTCGACGTTGATTCGTGTTCTACACAGTCTGCATTGAATTGTCGTTCTACCCGAGTTGAGTTTTAGGTTGTGTGACTTCTTGATAGTCTTACTGTTACCTCGTATGGTGCAGCCGCTGTGTAGCCTTGTCCGCCTGCACTGTATCCGAAACCTAACCGATAAAGAGGCAGTGGCGTCGTGCCAAGAATTAGAAGACTCTAAGACATTATCGATGCTCTGGCAAAGGGCATGCAAGGTCTGACATTTGACCAAAAGGATATAACGAACCTGGCCACCAAAGAGGGGCTGACGAAGTGTGCGAGGGATTGCGGTGGGCGAGGCGCTCCTTTTTCAGATGATAACTCATCTTACGACATAGGGAAAAGGCTCATGGCGAACGAGCAGATGGGCAAAAGAGTTCAGTCCGTAATTGAGGTCTTTGGTGCAACCCAATATCGAGATTTTTGGACACGGGTTCGTCTGGATACTTCGCAGCGCTGGGAAAAGTCCCAGGAGACGATGTTGGGAACAGTCTTGCCATGGTCGATCTACAGGCCTTTAGAAATCATAAAAACCCAAGCCGAAGCCTGCGAGAGCGCAGCTGTTCGAGAAAAAAGATGGCAAACGTGTCTCGCAGCCATCTGGCCGTTAGATGACGAAAGTTAGGGCCACTACTTCAAACTACATATTGATATTTCATGATCTGCTTCCCCCAAATACATCAATCATACAAATACTTTGTCTTTTTGGTTTTTTTAGTTGCGAAGGCTCCACCAATATCAATAATACTAAGAAAAATGAAGACTACATCTACAGCTGAAGTGCAAATACAAGCATACAAGACAGACAACAAGATGAACTTGAGCAATAATTATAACGACCATCTCTTCTAAGAAACGTGGGCCCATGCAAAAGGAACATTCTACTCTTTGGATAGTGAGAGACATTTCTTCCTTCTCGCCCTGTGCATGCGGTCCGATGAAGCTGCGACCATGTGGGCAGATTTTCTTTTGCGTGATAGACAAACGGACCAGCCAGTCCCCCCACAGGAATTCTGGCGACGGCTCAACAGCATCGACGTGATGCTGGGGAGGAAATATGAAAGTCCAGACGTTCACAAGCAGGCAATTATCGAAGAGGCTATTGCCACCATAAAGAAATATGGATACCTATCCGCAGACGCAGCTGAGGGCGTGTTTCTGTTCGAGCCTGTAGAAATAGCCTTGATTACCTACGAGACCGAGATCTCGTCCTCGGATGAGAATGAGAGGAAGGGGGAGAGCACCACCAAGCCTCATTCTGCTCAAGAATGCCGGAGAATCGTGACCAAAACGTTACCACTTGATCCGAGTGTTAAGACGTCGTCCCCTGAGAAAACAAGATCGATCTACCTCCATCGCTTAGGAAGAAGCATGGGCATGTTTTTCTCGCATGTTTTTCAAGAGAAAAACACGCTAAGGACTAGAGCAGATGAGATGTTTCAAGATGGGATGACTTACGGCGCTTACCTAGTTCTAATAGTAACTGCGCGAGTGAATTTTTGGAACAAACACTACGCGAGCTTGTCTTCAAGTTTTTGTTGCGGGAACGTTTATACTCCGAGAAGCCTGTTGACGAGGACTCCCGCCGCCTTTCAGTCTACGATAAAGTGCATTTGAACCGCATGCGAATCGGCATAAAAAAGCGCCCCACGACGACTCCTCCTTCACGAACATCTGCGGCAGAGGAGATAGGGGTCCGTAGGCAACAAGCTGCTGCACAAAGCAATGACGCAGATGATGACAAGGGGCGATGGCAGGCGTTTCGCGACCTTCGCAATTGCCAGCTTGCTGACGTTTTAGCAGAGGAGTTAGCATGTTCTCAGGGTGAAGCCGTTCGAAAACTCGTCCCGCATTCCGGTTTGAACCGCGAAGCACGTGTGATGCATGTAATTCGACAGCTTTCTTCGTCTGCTCGGGTGCCAAGCACACATACCCTTGTCCTCGACGTTTGCTTTGGAGATGAATTGTCAAAAGCTACTAAGAATAAAGGTGCAGGAGCTGCTGACAATAAAACAAACTTGCCCCCTTCAAGCGGGACAGGAGGAGGAGGAGGCAGTAAAAGACCGGGAGACCGCTCCTCAGACAAGGATGCGGACGGTTCGCCAGGGGATAGCAGTATGCGAACAGGTATTTCCACGACTTATAATTTCAATTACAATTAGAATGATAATTTGTTTTTTTTTTCGACGCAACGATCATAAGATTCAGTTGTAACTGAGTCCAAAAAGTAGGGCCCGCCTTCTCATATCATCAATCTGCGATGGCTTTCAGTATCACTAGCAGTAGCTGCATTCATTGTTTTCGGCCAACCGTGAGTCTTCGTCTCGAGTCATCTTCCTTCTAGGATTTTGTATCTGTTCTGTAGATAGGGTTGCTATCCCTCTTTTCCACAAGTACCTGGGGTATTCGAGAAGTGCAATTTTTCATCGCATCTTCAAATAGAGACAGAGTACGTAGTTGCAAATGTAACTACTGCGTTGAACGACATGTTGATGTCTGTGTGGCATTCAGCATCTCTTTCAGTGCGTCTTGCTTTATTGGAACTTGCTGAGGAGGTATCAGCATTAAACTTCTACAATGCTGTTTTATCACGCTCTGCTATCGTCCGTGAACAACCAAAGTAGGTCAACGAACAATGGACGGACCACAGCACGGCAATGGGGGTAGCTTAGGCGCAGGGGCATCTTCCTCGTCAGGTGCTAGCACTTATACTCGAGAAGCGGGAAGCGGTAGCACTTATCGAGTAGGTGGCCCCCGGTTTTCGAACCCTTTTCCAACTATTGCCCTCCACATTGAAGATATCGGAGACGGTGCCGACGAGAATTCTGGAAAAGGCGACGATTCTGATGACGGAAAAATACCAGAGCCCTCTGCTTATGAGAAAAATCCTCTGCAACCTCAAAAGCTTCTTAGTTGAAGAAGAACAGCAAGATCAAGAACAAGATGCTCCACGACTGGTGTGCGTTTTCCTTTACTCATACTAAATGTATAATATCTGAGACCTTTTTTATTTGTTTGATGATGATAAAAATGAAGATATTAATGTACTTCGGAGTCGCCACCTGGTCCGATTCATCAAGTACGTAACAGGTAAAGGAATTTCTGATACTTATAATTTGCTTCTGATGATGTTCTCCTCAGCCTGTACTAATAAATCGATCAAATACAAGAAGATCAAATAACAATTCAGAGTACAATTCAAAGTACTTAGTTTGAATTGTTTGATCTTCATCTATTTGACCGATTTATTAGTACCAGACCTTGGCAGCTGTCGGAGGTGGCGTTCTCAATGGAAATTCAAGATTCAGACGCGACCACGGGATTGTTCATGGTTCTGGCGTTTCCTCTTCTAATTTCCATTCTATTCTTTGTACCCGCCGTATTCTGGTGGGAGAGAAGCACATACAATCTGGGAATTGGATTGCAAATATTGCCCGCTAAGGCGAGACGGAAAGGCTGATCTCACGATTCCCGCTGTAATGCATGAACAAGAGTCGGAATATCCCAGCAGCGTAGACTTTGACGATTTGGACGAGGCCGAGTCGACGGCGCCAATGCTTGGTCGTTTCTTCAAGGCAGTATGCGGCACCGCGACGCCCTCGAGGTGGCGTGAGATAAGGCGCTCAGATCGAGGTTGTGGGGATGAAGGCGAATTGAACGAGCCTTCTCGAGACGTTGCAGGAGATCGACTCCGCCGGCCTCCGGACCGGGGAGCGGCTGCTGCTAGAGAACAAGCTTCAGTCGGAGGCAGCGGCGAAGGACACGAGGGATCACGAGGAGGGACGCGTGGCCCTCTTTTGTCACCCACCCAAGGAACTACGCGAGACCCTATGCCGGCAGAAGTTTTCGACGCTAGTCAAAGTCAAACAGAGACTCGGAGAAGGCGTCCAGACGAACGTACTGGGAATAATTACGACGAGGGAAGGGCCGGCACCAGCGCCGGCAGACATTTCCATGGTCGAGCAACGGCTTTCAGGAGTTGGCGTGCCTTCAATTTCAAACTTCCCGATGTGGCTATCCTCCGGAAGGCCCGCAAGACATGGCGCAGCTTGCTGGGACTCTGGCATGGCAACATTATGGTTGTCAGTAATTCGTCACGTCTGGGCGCTTCATCCGTCCCTCAAGAACATGTCAGTCTGAGCCTAGAAGACATACTCCGGATCAAGAACATGCACGTAGTCGACTACCTCCTATTTCTCTGCATAAGCTGAGCCATCTTCTGTAGCTATCTGAGCCATCTAAAAATAGTTAGACTCATCTGAGCGATCTACTATATGCACTCTGGGGGATTGAACTATCTATCTTCCTCCCCCACTGTATGTATGAGGGATCAATGAGGTTCGGCGCTAACACAAAAGTAGACGACGACAAGGGGACTCGATTGATCGATCCACATGGTACAGTGGAGACGAGGACGTTGTGTCGGTTGGCAGAGTCTCGGTTGCTGGAGGACGTTTGTCACGGTGATACACCTGGCCTGCAAAATGACCTTCTTTTTCTTAAGAAAATAGAAATAACTGAAACTCGGACTCTCTCCTAGGCAAGCTGCCAAATAGGTTCGAATCGTCATGAATAAGAATAACTGAAGATATTCAGCAAAGCATAGGAAACTCCAGAGATTGAGAGACTACTCCTATGACTTCTACTTTCTTACAACGAAGTAGCCCCCTGGTGTGGTTCCCCCGGGGAGGGATACGATGGGAACCAGAGACCCTCGCTAGACCAAACGCATGCACGGACAGGGACATGCTTGAACAGGCGCCACAATTGAGAAAAAGCCTGAGAAGTGTCAGCCCTGGCGGGGCGTCATCGGGCGCGCTGCCGCGGGGCGGCGGGCCTTATGAGTGCGCGCCGCTTGCCTCCAGAGGAGACGTGGACGCCCGGCAGGGGTGGACGCGCCTGCGGGCCTATCTTCAAGCGGAAGGCCCAAGCAAACACATGCCACGCCTTGGGACTTTTTTCGCCGGGGTCTGAGGCATTCAGAGGCCGCGCCGGTCTGCGGGGGTTCAGAGGTGTAGGGCGTTGCCCGTGGGGCGCGGCGCTGCAAGCAGGTGACGCGACTGCACGCAAGCAAGCGACGCGGCTGCATGAGGCCGCCGCCTCGCACCATCGGGCAGCGCGAGCCACGGGCCTGGGAGGGTGAGAGGAGAGCGCGGCGCCAAAGCGGACGCCATATATTATAAGTTTCAAAGCCCACGCCCGAACTGCGTGAGCCCAGGGCTGGGGGGAGAGGAGAGCGGGGCGCCGAAGTTGGTAAGTACGTGGCCGCCTCAGCTTTCAAAGTTCACGCCTTAACTTTCAAAGCTCACGCCTTAACTTTCAAAGCCCCCCCACGCCTTAACTTTCAAAGTAGAGCCATGCCCTAGCTTTCAAAATTCATGCCCTAGCGTTCAAAGCTCACGCCTTTCCTTAGCTTTCAAAGCTCTGCAGGCCCTATCAAAATTTAAAAATCCATGCCCAAACTTTCAAAGTAGTCCATATCATATCTTAGCTTTCAAAATTCATGGCCTAACAAATTTCCAAAGTTAGTTCATGGCTTAACTTTCCGAGTTTATGTCTTAACTTTCAAAGTTCACGCCTTAACTCTCAAAATTCAGGCCCTAACCTTCAAAGGTCATGCCCTAACCTTGTCCAGAGTTCACACCTGAACTTTCAAAATTCATGCCCTAGTTTTCAAAGTTCACGCCTTTACTTTCGAAATTCATGGCCGAGCTTTCAAAGCTCACGCCCTGGCTCTCAGAGTTCATTTCCTGGCGCTCCGAACTACGACGCAGCCCGCCGCGGGCGGGGGGGTCTGGTGCTTTGCTTGGGGCTGTCTTGGCGCGGCGCGCCGGCTTTCGACTGACTGCCCCTCGTGATGTCTCTCGCGTTGTTTCTACTGCTGCACCTGCTTGAGCTTCTTCGGTGTTGGTTTTCTTTTACGCTTCCGGCCTCTTTTACGATGACGGCACCGGCAAACGCACCCGGACCGCGGCGCCCCTTGCTAGGGCGGCCCTCCTGCATTTGCCTAGCGTGTCGCCGTGCTTCAGGTTCCGCCTGCTGGCTGTCTGTAGGTCTGTGGGTGGCCGTCTGCCTTTCTCTTAGTAAGATATAAGAATAGTTATGGCCTAACTTTCAAAGTGTATGGCTTAACTTTCAAAATTCATGCCCTAACTAACTTTCAAGATTGGCCCATGTCCTAAGTAACTTTCGAAGTTCATGAGTATAATTAGCAAAGCGCTGCGCGTTTTTGCGCTGTTGTCTCCGCGTGATGTCTTGGCCTTCAAAATTCGAAATCAAAACTCAAGATCAAGACTCAAAAACCAAAGCCCAAAACTCAAAATCAATGCCCAAGACCTAGCCTCTGTATCAAACGTCAAAACTAAAAAATCAAAATCAAGGCAAAACTTTACAAGTAAAGAGATTTTTTATCAGCGGGAAAGTAACACGATCAGTTATGGGTAAACAGCTCATCTCTACATTGAAGCTCCAATCAAAGGTAAGTTTCATTCTTCACGAAGTGCTGCTGCTGTAATAACTGCCGGACCTCGTAGTATTCCCCTTGCTTTAGTCCTCTATCTCTAATGACACTGAAAGTAGGGAAATGCGTCATGCCTGGATGAATTATCTATATCGTCGAAGCACAATGAGAAACGGACACGCAGCACTATCCGAACAAGCGCAATCGCGAGAAAGTCGAGAAAGCAGCTTGGATGCATATTCTATGCCGCCTGTGCTTGAGCACTTGCATGTCGTAGCCACGAGGTATTACGAAGCCGATCTTGAAGACGACGAGCCTCGCATGTTATACCTAAGGCAGTGGCAGTAAATTCTTATTCTTGGAAGAACGTGGCTTAAATTCATAGACAAGACATAGTTGGTAGTGCTAGCTTATACATTCGACTAAAATGATCAAAAAACTCTTCGTTCCTAAGTGGTATACTATAATTAGTCTTAAATGAAACACGTGGGCTGGAATTTGCATCCTTCGGCCGTTTCTCAACAACCGTACGCAATGCGTTGCCCCCTGGCTCCTTATATATTGTAGATGCCCAGAAAGCGGGCCCATCAAGGAGCGCCCGCTGCGCTGGGCGTAGGTTAACAACTAGACAGCTAACTAAGACACAGAAAGACAAACGAAAAGAGTCGCCAAGCCTGCGCGCCAAGGCTGGAAAGGCTGGCAAGCTGACTCCCACTGTGGCGAGGCTAGTGAGCTGGCTACTGCGACGGCTATGGCTACTGCCTTGGCCACCTTGCTTACGTTACTGGGAAGCCAATGGACGCCAGGGCCGGCCTCGGCGACCTCAGAAGCGGCGGCCACCTGGCTTGGAGGCCATCCGTGGCAAGGTAGCTCAGAAGCCATGACCAGCAAGCTTGGAAGCCATCCGTGGCGAGTTAGCTCAGAAGCACTGGCCAGCGAGATTCCTTGGAAGCCATGGCCTGCCCGCTTGGAAGCAGTGATGAGCTTGCCCAGAAGTCGTGGCCAGCTAGCCTGGAAGCCATGGCGAGCCAGCTCAGAGAGAAGCCAAGGCCAGCTAGCTTGGGAGCCATGGCGAGCTAGCCCAGAAGCCATGGCCAGCCAGCTTGGATGCCATGGCGTTGGCGAGTTAGCTCAGGAGCCATGGCCAGCCAGCTTGGGAGCCCTGGCCCCCGAAGGCGTGGCCAGCCAGCTTGGGCGCCATGGTGAGCGAGCTCTGAAGCCTTTCTCAGCTAGCTTAGAAGGAAGCCGTGGCCCGCCAGCTTGGATGGAAGCCATGGGTAGCGCTGAAGCCATGCCCAGCTAGCTCGGGCAGCTAGCTCAGAAGCGTTGGGCGGCTAGCTATGAAGCTTAGGCCAGCTAATTCTGAAGCCCTGGCCAGCTAGCTCTGAAGCTTTGGCGGCCATCTTGCTAGCTTATACTGCGAAGCCAGGCAATAAACTTGGACGCCCTGGCTGACTAGCTCAGAAACCGTTCCTGCCAGTTTGCTAGCTCTGATGAAGCCAGGTAGCTCCGAAGCCATGGCCAGATAGCTTAGAAGCTATGGCCAGCCAGCTTGGAAACCATGGGGAGGGAGCTCCAAAGCCCTGGCCATGTGGCTTAGAAGTCATGGATGGCTAGCTAGCTCAGAAGCCTCAGCCAGGTCGCTTTGGGTGGGGCTATGCTTGGCCAGCTAGCACAGAAGCCTTGGGCAGCTCCCTTGCCTAGAGGCCACGGGCTGGCCAGCTGCTTCCGTCAACATAGCTGTCGCAACTTCTGCGCTAGCCGCTTCCTGACGAGAGTGCTTATAAATAATCGCCAACTCTATTAAGAGAAGGGTCCTGAAGGGAGCTCCTTAAGGGTGGCACACCTTTTCCTTTAAGGAGCTTTCTTAAGGAGTTCCCTTATAAGGAGCTTTCTTGAGGGCCCACTCTTAAGGAGATCGCAGAATTTGCTTAATTGTTTATGTATTAATTTAAAAATCTTATTTAGTGAGCCCTGAAGATGTAGCTAGGATGCTTCATCTTCATGCCTTTGAGTTCCGACCCGGCACTTCTCGGAAACTTACCATTTATTCAGTAGAAAAAGCGCGGAGAGGATCATCAACAAGAGCGAGGCAGCGACGAGAAACATTCAAATTGTCGTCGGCCTTTTTTCAAAATCGCCATATTTCTTTGATCTAATTCGGGAAGCCATGCACGATGTTGCAAGACTCTTTCCGGGGACCTATGTGGCGCCGTCGCCGGTTAGTGCTGCGGACGCAAGCCGCAGGTCTGCGGGTCTGCATCTCACGGAGGAAGACGAAGAGAACAACTTGCTCCTTCACTCTTATGAGGCTACCTCGTCTCCCATTGATTTACCTTTTTTCCCTTCCGGTTCCTCTTCACTTCCAATATCACTAGGGACAGATAGAAATGATTGGCTACCCTTCAAAGCTGAAGTCTCAGCATTATAAGTAATTTTCATCGAAGTCAAAAGTCCAGAGCGACAGTTTCTGCAACTTCTAATGTAAAAACAGCGAACAACATGTCGTTGGTGACCAGCTAGCTCAACGAAGTCTGGCTAATTGGTCACTACGCAGGGCCGCAATGGGAAAACGGCGGCGTCGTTATGCAAAACCGCCAAAATGCTGCTGTGTGAGGCTGACGAAATCGCTTCATCTGATGTTGCGGGATCCGAGAGCAGGTGGAGCGTGTTTTTCATTTGTCGCCTATCTGGGCTTTATGGCCTACTTCAATCTCCTCGGAGTCGCCCCGGCTGGACGTGATAACAGCGCGACCGCTGTTATTGATCATGACCATGCGAACAAGTCTGAGAATTTCTACGGCGGTTTAATGCAAGAACACTACAGCAGGGAGGAACTTGTGGCTGACTCTACAACGACAGGTCAAGAAAGAACGGCTGCGGAAGGAGAACGATTAGCGCTCCTTCTCCAAATCCAAGAACTCGACGCAACTCTCCAGCTAAGAACTAAGGAAGCTGAGCAATGGAAGCGAACGGCAGAGGAGGCCCTGCTACACCAAAACTTTTCCTCTGATACACATATTTCTTCGTTCACCGAGTATGAGCAGAATGCAGAAGGTGACGCGCAGACGAAGATGATGGACACGAAGGAGGCCACGAAAAGCGCAACGCCACAGCAGGGAACAGCACGATCAGATGAAAAAGGCTTTTTGCATGTTCGGAGGGACCCCCCGGGAAGTTGATGAGCAGTAATTACTATGTATGCAGCTTCGGCACACGACGCAACGGGTCCCGGCATTGAGCAACTTTCTTCCTTTACGTCTTTATTTCCGCCATGTGACGCCATCTTGTCATACTAGGATTTCAGCTCGTGGGACTTGGTGAAGCGGATCCTGCAGTTGCATCAGTCGTGCAAAGAAGAGGCCTGCTGTGTTCATTCAAGCACGTACTTACAGCGGTCGGTGAAGTCATTGATTCAAGCACGTAACTTGGATAAAATAAAAATTGTATATTGTTTTGTAGGGCATCGCTCCTGTGTAGTTTCTCGACACTCCTCTTGCGCCTGACGCTTAAGGCTTACATTTTCTACGAGTTCATCTTTACATTTTCAACCCTTAGATTTTCCAAGAGCAAGTCCAGACTGTTCTTTACATTTAATTTTCAACCTCTCCATATGAGACAAGAAAGCTCTTACCCCGTAAAAGAATGGCATCAGATGATTTCGATTGTCTTCTTCATCGTCAGCAATCTCTCTCTCTCTCTGCTTCATAGAATGGTTTTGGATTTTCTATCTGTATCTCAATGTTGTAGGTAAGTATGTTGATCCGTACTATCATATCAACATCTCGTTTTCTTTCGCGTAAAAAATGTTGGATTCGAAAGGAAAAATGAATGTTACATCTCGTGGAGCTGAAAAATGTTCTCACAGAACTGCTTCCATGCAACAACTACGAACTGCTTACCATGATCTGTCGCAATTCAATTGAAAAACCATCTCTGGTGGGTCATAAGCGGGGAGAAGTGCAATCATGAATCTGTTCATCATCATTACTAGTTGCACAGACGCACGTGACTAGTAATCAATTTCGCGTGACGTGGACGTAAAAATGTACAGCTCCAGCACCTGCTCGCAAAGATTCTCACACTTTACCTCTCAAATGTTAGGTGACCCAAATGTTAGGATTGTACGACCTAACTACTTGTGACTATGCCTATCAAACATCACTTTCTTACGACTAACTACGTATGACTACTTCTACCTAATTACTTATGACTAAGACACTACCTAATCCTAAACTACTTTTTATGATGCAACATCAAAGACAGCAAATCACAGATGACCGATCCTGTTCACATTACGATGAACTGCTTGCCAGAATGATCAAATCCCTCTCGTCAAGAAAGATGCGACAGATCTTTGGGTCACATCAGTAGTTGTGGAAACCGGAAAGGAATGCCGTTTCCCGCAGCAAAACACCTAACTTTGTTTGATATTAGAACTAGTAGCTAGAAGCTGCAGGTAGAAGTCGTGCATACTATGAATATTCTCAGAATACCAAGATAGAATCTTCTCAGCGTAATTATAGGAAGTACCTCGTCTAGAAGCTGAGTGATACTTCATCTCACTAAAAACTGACTGCAGCAGGCTCTTGCCTTTTTTTTGAGCGAGGATGCCTTTGCTTCTCTACCTTGGAAACGCATGATTGATTCCTTCATATGTAAGAAATTCATTAGTGTAGACCTAATGTTATTAGAGTGTTCAGGTTTCAACATTATAGTTCTTGTGTATAATGATCTGAGATACTAATAAATAATACCAGTAGCAAGCAAGAAGTACCATCAGATTCTGATATTCCCCTAAGGAGTACTACTTTCATCCCTCGTCCCAGCAGAACTACAAGGATAAGACCCCTATCGTCATCCAAAAATGTATATTGTTATCTTTCTCGTCGTATGACAATGACTATGTGACTTTCCAATTTACGTCGAACAACATTAAGATTAACCAACGGTCTATAGTTTTTTTAGCATCGCTCTAACTCCAGCACAATCATGAAAATAAGAAAAATGGTGTCCTCCTCCTCCTCCAGTCATTTGGCGCCTAGTATGCGATCATATATAATGGGAAGATCTTCAATATTGGTGGTAGCCCTGGCGAGTGTGGGAGCGGTCCATCCAGGGAAAACAGATTCTTTTCTACCGCCCACAATAAATGTTCCAGATCCAGGGGGCGGTGGATTTGGCGGCCTGCAGACAAGCAACTACGTTGCGTCTGTTGATCAAATAGATCCTCCCCTACCTGGAACTTGTAGTATAGCGAGAGGACCTCGTCTCTTCCCTGACCCTGAACAAGCGGCTGCCTTCGGAGTAGAGGCTACCTCCCAAGGAGGTGCTCCTGGTGGAGATTCGACAATCCTGGGTCATGGAGTCGTGGATCATACAGAGGTTGGTCGACCACGTGGCCCTGCAGCTGGCGTAGGTCGCATGCCTTCGGTAGCCCCTTATCCCGGAGCAACGCAAGTGCAAGATGTGGCCTGCCAATATGTGCGGAGTAAACTACAAATGAATTATCATATTCAGAATCAAATTATTGCAGAACTAGGCGAGGCGGAGGATCAACAACAGTGCTCCTGTGGCTTGTTTGCCGGAGACGATGCTTCGATACCTAGCTGTACTAGCGAGATGTTTTTTCAGAAGGCCTATCGTTCAATGTTGACGAGTTGGTTGCCGCACGATCGATCCGGAACGCGACTCCCCACGTGGGTGCGGAATTCATGGAGGAGCTGGCTCCGCACCCTACAAGAGATGAAACACAAAAGGCTAAAGGAGATCGACGATCTCGAGAAGGACGGAAAGGTCGTAGTTTCCGAAGCCAATGCTCGAAATCTTTACGCACAACATGATCCGACGAAGTCCTCATCAACACAGATTTTTAACCTACTGCATGAAGATCATGTAGTGACAAGAAATAATGCTGGCGAGGACGTCCGCCCACAAGGCCTTGCCGTAGTCGACGCTGCACCACCAGGAACAAGTTTTCTAAAGACTCTGGATGTGCTTTCTAAAATAGCACTTCACGACACTTTTAAACACGGCGCATCTACTATTCATGATCCACTTCTTTCTTCTAGTAGAAGCATCAAAGGAAGAGGAACTGCATCCGATTTTTTTTTTCAAATTCAAGGAGAAGTCGCTCATCTTCGTAAAGCAATGGACACGTGGGCCAAAGAAAGGCAGGCTCAAGTGGAAGTTGCAGTGTATGAGGAGTGGGAGGAGAGGCGGTTGATGTGTGAGGCAGCTGTTTCTCCAGACCATGAAAAGGACACAATCCCGTCTTTGGGTACCGTAAGGCATGAGTTTTTCATTGCACTCTGTCTCCGGTCGCCGGAAGCAGCTAAAATGTGGGTAGAATTTCTCGTCGGAGATGAAAAACATTATGAACCAGGGTTAAAAAAGTTAGGTAATAATAGAGAAGTCAAACTAAAAGTAAAGCCAACGAAGGCAAATCTTTAAATTTAACGCACAAGATCTACTACAACGAACGAGGAGGTACAAAAAACATTACAACCGTACTAGAAACACGGCGCTGCAGAAGCAGCTCGTCTCTTATACTAGAAGAACAAAGCTATACATGGTTCTAGTAAAGATATTAAAGCATTTCCTACTCGTCTGATTCTGATAGCTGACGTCTGCGCTCGATGACCTAAGAGAGCAGCGTTGCACTTTTGTTTGCGTTGTATGAACACTGTGTGTCTTAGACGACCAACTGTAGTATACCAGTTCTAGTAAAGACGTCAGCGACCTACTGCAACTAAGTTCTACATCCAACATAGAAATGCCATCGCGTACCTGTGTCTGTGTAGTAAGACAATCATAAGCAAATTAGATAGTTCATAGTTATTTATTGCCCTTTCATACGAAGAGGCCGGTACCGCGACAAGAACACTGGCGGCGAGTCCATGCCATTAACCACCTTTTCTTGAAGATCGAAGATCCGGATAGCCCTAAAATGAATGCGTTCGATCTCGTGCGGGAAATGCGCCGCATAGTACAAGACGGATACACCGGCGAATGTGGTACTATGTATATGATTTCCTGGCCGTGTACTCCAATAATGTAGTAATACCCTAGTTTGCATTATTCGTATTCATTTTCATCATGATGATCATCCCACGTAAACTATTAACTACCTATTACAGAGAGAAGTACCTGCACAGACTATATCATACTTCAAAATATTGGAGGAAGGAGGCGTAGATCGAGGTCCTGGTCGTGGTCCTCTCCTCGCAGGGGTTTTTTGCAATTCATTCATTGATCCTCGTTCGCAGTACAAGATACAACTGATACTTTTACTTACTCACGACTAAATATAAATATAAACAAACTTACTTACTAAAAACATCTCGACGTCACACTTGGTGTCCGAGATTGACCAAGGTCACACTCGGAGGTTGACCATCATCATCGTCCTCGTCCTCGTCCTCCTCCTCCTCATCATGATCGGCGAAGATATTCGCCGTCTACTTCTTCTCAGAAAAGAACGAGAACAATGCACTGGATTCGTCATCTCATATTTCTTGTTGATGTTGTGACTATTCTGATACACATACTCCAGGATCCAGTCCGCCCCTCTGCTGTGCGGCTCAAATCGCTATGATTACTTGCAAAAAGGGTCGCAAAGATGCACGGGCAATGGTAACCCGAAGCCTGCCGCTAGAACTCAACATCTCAGATGGACGCTTCGATGCTGACAAAAAAGTACCCCTGCTCGGGGCTAAAAGAATGAGTTAAGGCGTTGTTAAATGCTTGAAGACATTGCTATATTAAAGTAAAAAGAATTCGTAGACTACTTGCTTGTTTAATGGCATCGACTTTACTCAGGTCACAAGCCTCGGCGTTCGTCGCTGACTTTACTCAGGTCGCGTATACATCCTCGGAGTCAAGCCAGGCGCCGGGGGGCTTTGATGTGCAGAATTCACAACCTAACCTAGCCTAATACTCCAGAAGCGGAAAGAAATAGGCCATGTAGATTTATTCAGATCATTCGGTTTTCAGGTGTTGTGACGCTCCAACAATTTTCATCATACTAGTATTTATTCAGATCATTGTATGAAAAGAAAATCTGTTATCATTATCAAGTTTCTTAAGTAGAAAAGTATGATAATGATAACGTATGTTGGTGTCATACATTGCGCTTGTAGAAGCTTGTGCTCAACAATAACTTGTTCTGCCGCGTCTCTAACGTTGGGAGTGTTTGCAAGCTGCTGTAAAAGAGTTCCAAAGCCGGCCTCCCAGAGACGGAAAGGTGCGCGAAGAGACGGAACCTCCGAACCACTTGCGCGTTGCCCTAAGTATTATGGTCGGCTAAGATTCAATTTCAAAAGTTTGTGTAAATCCGTAAATGAAGTACTTAACAAATTTTATGTTGTACGACCAGCACTTAATAAATGTAGCACATATGATATAGTCAACAATCTGTGTTCGAAAGCCATAGGGAAGCTTGGTATTATGTCTTGACTGTCTGGAAGCATCTACTTGAAGATTTGTTTTACAACTTCGTTTGTTGGCAATCCATGAAGATGTCCTAGATATTACATCTCTGCTTAAAAGAAAAAGAATATTAGTTCGCGCTAAAAAGAAAAAGATGAATATCAGTTGTATGCACGTGGACGACGGTGGAAATGACGAAGATGGTGGAAATGCCTGTGTGACAGATTGGGCTTCTTTCGATAGCCTGAAGAACTCCGACCTTATCGCATTTCTTGTAAACGAAGTGCCCGATGGTGTCCAGAACTTGTTAGACTTAGGGCTGCACAAAGCTATATTCAACTTGATTGTTACTGTCAGGCTCAGGAGGGGGCAGCTTATTTTCATTATTTTCTTCCATTTGTTCTTCTTGTTCAGTTTGAAAAAAACGAGACCAGACCAGAATGAATGCTCTTGCTGCCCAAGATAGATTGTGTTTGTGAGAAGCTCTAATAGAACCTGCAAAGCACCACAGGGGCTGGAGTAAACAGTTGGTAGAACAAAGCATACGACGGGAACTCTGCTCGTCGCAACAAGGACGAGAGCGGTTTGCACTTACTCTTGAAGTCCGTTGCGATCAGATAAAAGTAGCCCCAGCAGCCGGATTGAACGGACAACCCGGGAAACACAAGGAGCCTTCTCGAGACTCTGCAGAAGGAAGTCCACCATATAAAAAAGGTGAGCAAGAATGTTCTATTTTGTTTGCATATTTTGATTTTTATTTGAGTCCGTTTCATTTGAAATTTACGTTTTTGATTTTTCTACTTTAGCTGCCCATTTTGGTTTGGAATCTTGTCCCAACTTCATGCCGTACAACTATTTCGCAAATGTCTTTGTTTTCAATAATTAAAGGTGATCGTGACCTCCCTCCAGGTAGGGGAGGAAGCCAAGCTGGTAACGGCGGAGGTGGAAGTAGCGGTAGCGCTGGCGCCAGTGGGTCAGGTGGTAGCTCATCGTCACACCAAAGAGGGTCGTCATCGGGAGTAAGTCAAGAAGGAACAAGATGGCGAAAGGTTCGTGACCTGTCCGACGATGAAGTAAAAAAACTATCCGAGGACGAGGCTCGTCTGGTGGACCCTTCTAGCACGACCGCGTGTGTCTTTTACATTAAGGCTGCCGCAGGTTGTAGTGTACTCAGGGTCCTTCCTCAAGTACCGATGTCAGTCGTCCCTCAAGCATCGTGTACAAGTCGGGATGAAGATATCTATGTATTGACCCATTATTAATTTCCATTTCTTCTCAGCATGTAGATCGTCACCTCTCAAGTAGCGTCTAGAAGAGTAGAAGGGATGGTATTTTGATTTTAGCTACAAAGATTTTGATTACCGTATGAGGATGGACCACTGGCACTACCACAACCACTAGGGTCAGCTCTAAGTACAACCCTGCGCCGTGTTTCACCGGCGGCCGAACCAGGATTGCCGATTCTATTGCGAAGATCGAAAAAGCTGAAGAAGCTGAAGAGAGGTGCATGGGTAAAAGACTAGATGAACAAGCGAAAAAATGCGCAGAAGAAGAAGATGGGTACAACAACTATCTTCCTGGAGGAGGACTACTACTTCTAGACCCACATGCTGAAGACAGTGACAGTGAGAGGAGTGATGGTGATCTCCACCACAGACGCGAGTGCCAAGGGCCCGATAGTTCGGACAGGTCGGATAGCGACGACCATGACGACACCGGGGGTGCTCCACAAGGAGGAGGAGCCGGAATTCAGGCAACAGTCTTGGGTCGTGCTGTGATGCGTGTGAGGGGTCTGGTGGATCCGCGTAGAGTCAGGCTTGCGGTTCAGGGCCGCGCACGAAAAGCATATCAACGAGTACCGTCGACCTATGCGGGGAGAGAAATAGAAATGAGGAACGTTTATGATCAAGAAATGAATCGTCGTGGTGTACTTTTTATCCATTTTCTCTTGGTCGTACGTAGATACAGAGGCTAGCACCCCGCATTGATATTTTTGCCCTGCCTGTTTGGCTGTTGGACTTGGAAAGTAGACTCTCTGTACATATTTCAATTTCTGAAATATAATATCTATCTATGAATTCTTGTTAAATAACCGCAACTGCTGTTCTAATGCGGCGAGGCGGGGGCGGCTTCTCCGCAACACGAAGCCACGTACAGCTGTGAAGAGGATGACGAAAGTGCAGACCTCGAAGGGAACACAGCAGGTGCTGAGGTCGAAGATGTTGATAGCCTTATGTACGATATTACAGATACAGGCCGTATAAAATTCAAAGGTTCCTACAACCTTAAAAACCTTCGCTGCTTTGAATATCAATAGCAGCCCTGAAAAAAGTCTAGCCGATTCGTATAGTGCTGCGCCTAGATGTTGGGTGCCTGAAATCATCAAGATGCTAGGTTGTATAACGAGGAACCTAATAGCTTGGTATTCTAATGCAAATTCTTCTCATTTGATGTAAAATGACAAGTATTTGAATGGGAATTTAGGGTTCGAGGGTATCGATGACGTAGATTCTTTTGAAACGATAGTTCTATTGGGACAGGGATCAGTAATTACCTTCGTCCTTCCACAATTGCGCGGATAGCAAAATAATCATTTTTCCGAAGTAGACTGACTCTAGTATCTCTAGTAGTGCAATGACACAAGGATATATACTTAATACAGTTAGAATAATAATATTTTTTATCAGTGGAACTGGAACTGCCGCTTCCATTTTTTTTCGCTAATCACAGATACGAGGACGAGCAGGATGTCGCTCACTCTGTCGACAGGATCCCCGCGAGCTTGACGAAGAAATTTGACGATTTTCTGCGCCATCCATGCCGCCGAAAAGATCATGAAGTTTTTTTGGGCACGTACTACCAGGATAAGAGATCACTCGACGACCTTCATAAGCATCTGACAAATTTGGCTGGCGGATTTCAACGCTCAGAGACGTACAAGAATTATTTACGGAGATGGATTTCTGATTTTTTCGCTAAGTCTGTAATTAGGACATTCTAAGATGGTTTTACGACACTCAATTTGACATCATTATACCAGGTGGAAGGTCGTTGGATCGAATGAAAATGGCTAGTAAAAAAGAAGTAGATCACTGTTTTTTATGACCAAGTATACGTTCCAGGGGCCAGGGGCCAAGGCCCCCCACCGATCTAACTTTTTGAGGTGTCGGGTTACTCACGGGAGGAGTCTCTTGGGAGGTGAAAGGCCTCCGAGGGAAGCAGGTGGCAAGGCTTGGCCCCTTTCGGTCGCCGTGCTGCATGTATCCGACAGAGCCCAGGCGGGCACGCCTTGCCCACACTCCTCCCCGCCTCTGGTCCTCAACCCCCCGGGCATTTGGTGGTGGCGGACGAGGGCCAAAGGGGCCAGGCCTCGCGACCGTGGCCGCCTTCGGCGGCCTTCTCCCCCCGGAGGCTGTCCCCCTGATAAGGTCCAAGAGTCGGCACACGCGGAGAGCCGCCGCCCGGAGCCTCCGGCTCCGCCTTTTGAGGCCTTGGCCCCCGGAGGTCTTTACATGTCACCACCGCGGAAAAAAGGGCGCGCGGACGCCACCCCCGCTTCATCTACAGGAGGGAGAGTCCACCCCTGGAACATATATGAAAACGTTGTGGCGTATTCTTCCACCTTAAAGAACTGAAGCACTTCATCTTATGTTATACATGAACATGGCCTACAATTTTCAAGTGGTAAGCTGTCAAACCTGCTCAAGCAGAAGGACCACAGGATGTGGACTTCAGCGTTGTAAGTACCCTACTAGTACTACAATCAGCTCGTCTAATCATTCGGGCGGAGAACTGCGGGAGCACTACTTTTTCTCGAGATTCTAGCACGAGGACTCTTGAAAACGACATAATATCGAGGCTAAGAGATCAAGAAATGCATCGCATCAAATGCCTGAAAACAGAAATGCAGAGCAAAGGTTGCTTTTTGACTCCCATGTGGTTAAGGCAATAAGGTGGAAAGTATCTCATTGATACACCACGTGAACACAGCAACAGGACATCAATCAATCTCATTTTTTGAATTTTTGGTTGATAGCTATCATTCCGTACTAATTGATACTTGATTACTCCGGAGTAGAGAGTCAGAAGTTAATTTCAAATTGAATTAGTCAAACAGCAACTTCATAGACTTAAATGAAGTAACTGAAAAATCTGAAATATCTTCTAATGGGTAGGAGAACAAGAAGCTACCGAAGCTACCTGGAAAAACTCGTACTCTTTTCAGGCGTACTGGCTCTTTGTTCTACCGCAAAGTTGGTCATGATCGACGGTTATACCGGGGACGACCTCATCAGACACAATCTCGGGATGATGACAGTGAACGAGCTAGCTTTGCAGAAGAAGGAGAATGAAAGGGCTGCACAGCAGGCACTAAGTGATTACTATAATCACTCCAGTTTAAAAATACAAGAAGATCGGGAAAACACCGATCTCAAGATGGAAGTAATTCATCTTCGGGGGAAGAACGAGTTTAAGAACAGGATAATAGAGACCCTTGAGGCAAGGCTGGGTGAACATATCATGGAAGCCGAGCAGAAGGAGAAAGACTCCAGTCAGAATCCCAGAAGGGATGCCTTTTGGTTGCTTCCTGAAGTGCTACGCTTGGCAAAAGCGGCTGAGGACGCCCGGAGGAAGAGCTCCGAAATTCAGAAAAGAGCAGACGATCTTCGCGACAAGAACGCAAAAAAGGACAGAATGATAGAGGAACTTGTGGCATCCACAAAATTCTTGAACGCTTCTGTTAAGGCTTGCCCTAATTCATCTGCAGGAGAAGCATCTTTGGTCCCTCTTTCAAGGGAAAGCGCGCCAAAGATGACTCTCAAGATGAAATTAGTCATGTTAGTTTTAACTCTTCTTCTACTGCTACTAGTGCCAGGAGAGTCACTGCTACTACCACTAGTAGTACTCCCACGGAGGTTAATATGTCTCTCGTCGCTGAACATGATGAAAAAGTGCGGCAGGAGCAGCAAGTTGGTCAGAAACCTCAAAAGCCTGAGGCCATAAAAGTCGACTCGGATTCGGGCGCGACGACACAACGAAGGAATCTCTTAGCTGAATCACATCACTCTTCAACGGAAGGACCATAATCAAACCGTATTTTTTGGTAAATGTGTCGATTAGCAGAAGGAGCAACGGGAATGAACTCGAGAAGATAGAAATAGCGTACCCCAGTTTTCATCGACTACGTAGACTTCCATTGAAATTTGTTGAGTACTTAGCTGAAAAATGAAGGAGTTGTAATAAAAGAGGTGCTGTTCCAACAGAAACAAAGAAAGAGAATTTATGCTCGTAATGCTACTAGGTAATGCGAACAACAACAACATCCCTCTTGTGGATGATATTTTTGGATGAATGTCGTTATTTTTTCTATCCTCAAGGAATAAGGTCGTCTTCGTGGTGCTAGTATTTGGGGGAAATACACGAATATGCTCGAATTATGATGATAGAGAGGGTACTATTGAAAATATACAAATAATGATTAAACAATCCCTAGAATTTGTCTCTGCATAATGTTCGTTGTCTCTCTGTGCTTGTTATTTATTACAATCTCTTTATCGTGGGAGTTTGTGTAGTTTGTGTATGATATCTACCACTTCGATTGCACACTCGTATTGCAATCGCCACAACGGTGATGTAGACAGTAAGACTGCTCATTTGATAAATTGGCTTGATAGAAGAATCAGAATGCCATACCCATATTAGCTAGAAGAGGTCCGCTGCCCTTGCTGAGATCTAAGCTCTTCTCTTTATCTTCTACGAAGGTACCTAAATGTCAAACGGCCACTTCAATTCTGGAACAAGAATAGGTCACGAGGTAGTATGACGTGACATGACTGAAATGACACGATGAAGAACCCCTGGGCCGCAGCTCATTAATGAAATACTGGGCAGATTGTGGAGAGGCAACACTCTTTCATGACATTATGAAGAGGCAATTCGTCGGAGTTACAGGTACCAAGGACGCACTTTTTCACATTAGTTTTGTTTCAGAGATCTTTCGTGAAGAGACAGAGAGCACTCATTGGTCCACAAAGAGGCCGGGTGCTATTTCCATTCGGACAAGCAGACGCCCAAAACCAGATCGTACACACGAAAACATTACAGAAGATCAAAAATTTCCTAGATCAGAAAGAGATCCATTGAAGGCCAAAAAGATCATAATCGAAGAGATCCTCGAAAGCTTTTACCCACCCAATTAGAGGAGACCTATGGATCATGAGCGAGGAGAAGTAGAACCTTCATTAGTCCTTGCGGCGTCGGCGCATCACTAGCAGTAGATATTGAAGATTCTCCAGTACGCATACTCATTCATATACTTGATTTTGATGTTCTAACATTGCCTACAGGTCGTGGCTCTTATTTGTAGACATTTTAGTAGAAGGCCGACGGACTTTAGAAGTAGTAGTTGTCTGCCGTAGTTAGAAATACAGCACAAGAGGCAATATAGAAAAGCGTATGCCTTTTTCGAGCGACGTTCTCTCTCTCTGAGAATTACCACTCTTTTTTTTCCGTGAAAAATTTCTTTGTCATGTTTAGAAAAATCGAACAGATTCATAAATTGCATACTGCATATCTATATCGAGTCGCTCGAGGTGTTGTAGCCTCGTTGCTTACTTCTAGTACTTCTGCCTTTATTGACGACCTTGTCTCTAATTGCTTGATTTCCTTGGTCTTAGTGTGAGATTGAATCAAGTACCTACACTTAGTTCGTTGTAGAGTTAGAGAAATCTGATTCAAAGTGGGATACGACTTTACATGAAGAAATTGAAATATTTTTTCCTTCAAATAGTGTGTGACTGATGAGTGGTTCAGGAGCAACGACAAAGTAGATTTTGATTTCTCCTTCACCTTATCAACAGTGAGCAATGGGCGGCTTTCCTGACGAAAACAAGCCACCCTCCACGACCCCAGCATCCGTGCACCATAAGAACGAACAACCTGAAACTGCCGCGCCTCTTCAGGGACCAAATCAAGGCGGCACCTCTATTGCACGTGGACTCGACACCTCTATTGCACGTGGACTTGACAATACTCCTCTCGACACCTCTATTGCACGTGGACTCGACACCTCTATTGCACGTGGACTTGACAATACTCCTGATCCTGTAGTTGGTGGGCTCGTCGTCGACAACAGTCGTCCTCCTTCGCCGACAAGACAGCAAGATGAGACAGATCATTCTAGTGCGTCTTCCTATTGGGTGCCCCCAGCACCACCGCCGACAGCTCTCACGGGAGCATTATTTACAACGTCAGAATCGAGTATGATGTTGTTAGAGGAAGGATCGCATGATCCGAAATTGAACGATGGTGGTAGAGAAGACGACGAGCCTTTGGAGCAGCTTCCAGGTCAGCAAGAGCAGGTTCGTGAAAACCCTTTTGGCGAGCAACGTGTTGAAACAAGAATTCATACAACTACCCAAATCGTGGTGGAAGATGATGAAGCCAGAGTTCGTTTTCCAGATGCTGATGCGGAGGGCTATTCTGGAGAGTCATGTACCTCTACATCGAGTTCCTATCCTTGTGCACCGCCGCCCACGCTTATTCAACGCACTAAAGAAGGCGTCTCCGCCGGACCGTCACCGGGAGCGCCGGGAAGCCTGCTTGCTCAACGTACTATGCTTTTGCAAGGAATAGAAAACGTGGGTCGTCGTGATCATGGTAAAAATGATGGAAGGAACATGATTGGCGACATTGTGCTTGAGCGAGGGGGAGCAGTAGGAAATCCCAGTACAACGAATGAGCCTCCTCCTCGTCCTCAACCTCATGGTCAGGGGGGAGAAGGAACACCACAGGGAATCCATTTGCCCTCAGTAGGCGGTTTGCCTCGATTTGACGAGGAGAACCAAAACCAGATTCAGGAGCACCCCGATCTTCAACAAGAACAGCAGATAATTTTTCCTAATTATATTCCACCTGCTGGAGCAGCAGGTGGAGGAGCAGCAGAAGTTCGTCCTGACTATTTGCAACAGCAACAGCAAGCTGCTGATGTTGGTGGTGCTGCTGTCGCTTTCGTCGATCAACCTGCAGTAGAACAGCAGGTTCCACCAGCAGGCGAACAACAACAGCACCAAATGCAACCACAGCAGATAGTACATGCAGTTGGTCGACGTGTGGCGATTGGTTCTACGGTTTTATTTCGCAACTACCGTGCAGTCAGAATCGAGCATTTCTGTGGGAGTGGCGCTAGTGCAGATGTCTTCAAGTGCATTGATCTCTTTTCAGGAGAATTCTTCGCTCTGAAAGTGGTCTTTGCAAAAGATACCAGAAACCTGCAAATGCTCCATGCAGAAGTCGAAGCCCTACAGCGATTGCGGGAATGTCCCAGTGTGGTGAAGATTTTCGAAGCTGAAGCCTACCCTGAAGAGCTGGCCCTGCACATACTGTTGGAATTCGCACCATGCGACTTGCAGGCTTTTTTGAGAGTTGAAGCAGGCGGATCAGGCCAACGTGGATCCAAAGGCAAAGGCAAACGTTCTGAGCCAGGTCAACAAGGTGCTCCACAAGGTCAAGCTGCTCAGCAAGGTCAACTTCCTGCTGATGGAGTTGCTGGAGCAGGACCTCCTGGACCAGGAGGTGCTGGCGCAGCAGCTGAAGTCCTTGTTGGTGAAGACCAAGCTGCTGTTCTTGGAGGAGTACCTGGCGTGGTTTGTCCAGGAGGTCGTGGTTTGTCCTTGCAGCGCATTCGCGATCTGTGGTATGATATGGTGTCGGGCGTGGCTGCGATCCATGAACACGGTTTGGTCCACTTCGATGTGAAGCCTGCGAATTGTTTGATGGTTGGGGGACGCGTGAAGCTGAGCGATTTTGGTCTAGCACGAAGGTTAGACGAGAACAAAACGCACGTTTCGCGCCACGGACAATGCGGCACGCCGCGCTACATGGCTCCGGAAGCGTTCTGGCAACCGGAGGAGGGCGCGGGGTCGATGAAGATGCGTCCGCAGGCGGACATTTGGTCTTTAGGAATCATCTTGTATGAACTCCTGTATGGTCGCGGTCCGTATAAGCATTTTGAGGGCTGTGGGCGTCGATTGCAGTTCGCGATTGCGGACTCTAGGGTTCGTATCCGCTATCTGCAATGCGAACGCCACCAAGCAGAGGACTCTGAACTCTTTGGCCACTTAGTCGCTCTGGCTCAGCGCTGTCTGCGCCGCAAGTGGCAGCGTCGTTGGACCGCAGCGCGGTTACTCGAAGCACTAGAAAATTCTGTAGAACAGGTGGTGGAGCAAAAATCTTCTTCTTGTACTACTCCAAACAAGGTTGCAGGGGCAACACCAACGACCGGAACAAGTATGCCGGCGTCGTCGTCGCCTGACACAACGCGGAACTCCCCTGCGTCTAGTGCAGAGGGAGGCAGACCCGACGAAAACAAAGAACAAATATTACAACCAGCACCAGCTGCTGAGGGACAAGGAGTTGTGGAACAAAGAGATGGCCAAGGTGAAGATCTTGACAAGGACGAGAAGGAGATCGTCGAAATTGAAAGACAAATTCCTAAAAAACCTCAGGAAATGAAGGATGTCGGTCAAGCATCTCAAACACAGACATCCTCATGTGAGGATCCTGAAAAATCTGAATCCTCAGGTGGTTCTTCTTCCTCTAGTGCAGGAGGAAAGCCTCCCGTAGCCGCATTTGTTACTTCCTCTGAAGATGAACAAGTCATGGATCATGAAGGCAAGATGAATCCTGAAGATAGAACTTTTTTGGTTCTTCGAGCGGCGATTTATTTAAAACCACGTGGACCCTTATTGCCAGCTGCGGAGGCAGCGGGCGCACATGCCACTTGGACAGCCCCAGCTGACGGCGCAGATTCCATGGAAGACAGTTCCATCGATGGTTGTGACCTACAGCTACAAGAACACTTTTCGGAGGAAGACGAACAAGCGGAAAGTCTACGTCAACTGCGGAGAAATGATCGTGAAGAGCATGGCCGTCATCTTCTTGACTCGGCTTGTGATCAACAAGAAGAGGTTTTTGAAGGGCGAAGAAAGGCTTCTACTGAAAGTACTAAAGCTTTTCGAGAAGACGAACAGCCTCTGCTTGAAAAGTACGCTGAAGATGATCCAACCCTAGGAGGCAATCGTTCTTGTACACTTTTTGGATGTACCTTGAAGAAGACGACTTGTTGGATCGGGATGTCTGTGTTGCTCATTCTGATCGCAGTAGGAATTACTATTGCAGTAATTGTTTCAAATGTGCGTCCTAGCGCAAGAACAACTGCAACTAGACAAGGATCAAGTCAGGACGCAGTCGCACCGCCTGCTCCGGCTCATGGCGCAGAAGGACAAGGACCCGCCGCTGAAAACGCACATGGTCCCCTCGGTTCTGTAAATGGCGGCGGTGGCAATAATTCAGGGCCATTGTCGAGCGGCAGTGTTGGATTTAGCGGTCGCGGCGCCAGCGTTGGTGGATTTAGCGGAGGTGGTGGTGGTGGTGATGGCGGCGGTGGAGGTGGTGGCGGCGGCGGTGGAGGTGGTGGCGGCGGCGGTGGAGGTCGTGACGGCGGAGACCGTGGCGGGGGCGGACGCCCTAGGGTCGCTCCAGAACAACAATTAGTGCGCTTATTACAAAATCCACCAGGGCCATCTCCTCCAGGAGGTCCTCAGGCTCCCGCAGAGCGTGCCAGCCCTATGAGTGAGAACAGTGCCCTAGTACCACCATCTTCTATACCGACCACAAGCAGCCGCGGCGGTGGGTCCGGAAGTGCTTCACCAGTTCCAGGAGCTTCATCTTCAAACGCACCAGAACCGAAAGCAGCACAGCCAATGCCAAAGCCACCAAATCCTCTGGAAGGCTATCGAACGTGGAAAGATAAACATCTTCAACAAAATAAACGTCTGCTGCCGCAGCCGCAGCTCCGGACGAGGCATCAAGATGAAAGGAATATCAAGCCTGAACATCTCGGACTCCTAGGTGGTGGTCAACATAGCAGTGATGGTACTGCAACAACCAAGGGTGCTGGTGCACCCACAGCAGCAAAGGACAAGAAGATGCCGAGCAAAGCGAGGAATGACAATTGTGAACAACTTTTCGTTGACATGTTAATGGAAAAGTTACCAAAAGAGAAAAATAAACCCGAACATTGGTGGAGTTTTGAAGTTCCTGATAAAGAGACCCAATTCCCATTCTCTTTGGGGAAACAGGTCCAGTGGGCGAATGACAAAGCAAGAGAGATTGCGATAAAGAAGCCTGCAGGTGACCCAAGTACTGCTGTGAGTCCAGTCGAGGTCGATCAGCAGGCTGGTTCTTCAAGTACCTTTTCTGCTCAGGGTGGGGCATCTTCTTCTTCAGCACAAAAAGCACAAGAGCCGCTGTATGAATTGAAACCGCTATCGACGAAGGAGTGGTCTGTCCAGTTGATAATGCTCATGGCCTCGCAATGTTCGCAGAGCGTTGCAGGCAGTGACAGCGCAGTGGAGCAGGTGTGGCTACAAATGCAGTATCGGTCCGAGCGATACGAGGAGATCGGTGGATGCGACCGAGAAGAGGACCTGCCATTTTTTGAGGACGTGTGGGACTTTTTTCACAAGGATCATGGAGGTGGAGGTGCCACAACCCTAAGCCAAGAAGAGCGTGACTCTCAGACCCTGGTAGAAGATCGACAACACCAGACGAGCCTAGCGAGATCCTCACAGAAGAAAAAACTTCTGGTAGTCGAGGCTTTAGGAGATCGAACAAAGTCGCGCGACGTCTTTCTCGCAAATGAAGATAGAAAAGACGAGGATTTCCGCTGTCGCATTGCCCTCATTGGAGAATTTCTTTTTCAAACACACACTTATGGCTCAACACGTCGCTAACTTATTTCCAGCAACATCATGTCTAAGTTTCTTCTGATTAACTAATATGCTGACGATGATCAGCGAGTGCCTCGAGTCCATTTAGAGGGATGTTGCTAACCGTTATAAAGTATGATGATGTTTCTCTTGAGTGAACCGCCTCCCTCGCTGTTTTTTCTGGATAGTACTGTGATGGGATGCGCACCGGACCGGTTCCGGTTCTTTACCTCTAGGCTTAGACTTCACTCATTTCGAGCACTGCTCTCTCCGCTTCAAAGCATATTATGACGCAAGGCAAGTGCAAGCAAATGAATAGGAAATAAATTAACTTAACGAATTTGGCATTTCTAAGAGCAAAGTGTTAAAGCAGAGCTTCCTAATCCGAAAAGGCAAAACCCTGACTTCTTTCGAAAGTTTCCGGTAAAGCATGGTACTACTACAAAACTATTTAAAACAAAAGAATATTTGAGTGGTTAATGGTGACCAGGTTGATAAGCATGGTGTGACTCCGGCACTGTAGTTCCAATGTTTCAGGGGTGAATCATAGATGAGGCCACCATGATTCTTTAAGGTATTTGTCGTTAACGGGTAATTAATGTCAGTAGCTCTGTAAATTTTCCTCGCTTGATCATTTAAAAATGTCATGTTTTGGAGTGAAAATATATGTCAATCACTCGTTCAGGCTATTGCGTGCGTCCGTACTTTGTTCCGGTTTCGGGGAGGACCTGGAGAGACGGTAAGTGTCCCCATTATTATTCGGAGGACCCCCGCGATAAGCAGTTGGAGAGATTGGCGAAGCTTCTGCGTGAATCGAACAAAATCGGTAAATATCTTGGTCTACTGTTATGAAATCACAACTATCAACACCAAAACCAACGAACTTAAGTAAACATTCAACGTTTTTAAATCATTCATACTGATAATTTCCTCTAAAAAGTACAATTGATTGAGTATAGTACCGATCTCATCACCTATTGAGTGGTTCATCCTTCGGTAGAGAAATAAAAAGTCCTATGATCATCGCTTTTCTTAAAACATGAGTTGAAGGCCGCGCTCAATTGCAAACAACTTCATTACAGATAGGTAATTAATGTAGTCGCTGGCGCTCTTCTTCTTGTTGAGAGTTCCATGGTTCTGATTCTAATTCTGTCGCCGGAGTGGAGTTACTACTTTTACGGAGATGACGCGTTGGTGCCCCAGACGCAATGGCATAGAATGTTTCGGGCGAATTTTTTCGAGCTAGTTCACTACTGGACTCAGCATTCTGACGGTTCCAGTTATCTTATGAGACCAAATATAGAAGTATAGCTACAGGCTTCCATCCACAGGTGGAGGGTGAGTCAGTTTTCCTCCTATGCTGGACGTTCTTTCATAAGTTGTAGTTGCTCTTCGTTTTCGTAGATGATGATGGGTCACTTCTTGTACTTTCCTTCATCGATCAATGTTGGACATGGCGTAATGACGAAGGATATTTGACAAATATAGGTAGGCGTCGTAAAGATATCAAGCCTCTTCTAATGGATTCTGGACTTACGAAAATTTCCGCTGGATCTGGTTGCAGCACCACGCTACGAGGCTATATGATCTTAAATATTGGGCAATGAAACTGAAGGTCGATAGACGCACAGGAGGCTATCATCGTTTTTATCGTTGTCTTTGCAATGGCCATGCCGGGACGCCGCAGCTAATCTTAAGGAAAAAGATTCCTGATAATGATAAAGATAAAAATCATGTCAATATATAATTCAAATTTGAAATTTAGATGAAGTCCTAGATCAAGCTTATAGCTAATAGAGAGGCAACATTTGCTGTAGGATACAGGTCGAACTGTGAACGGCGAATCAAGTGCTATCCTATCCTACAGACTCCTGTCGTCAAACTCAAAGTCAAGGGGGCATCTCGTTTGATGCAAGACGTTGCTTTGAATCTTTGAGTTTAGCTGTCTATCTTTTCTAATGATTGACCACGTGGACGCGGACCCCGGGAGGAGCCTTGAATTTTTTGGGGAGATGGAAAAGAGAAGCCTGTTGTTGAGACTACGAGACAGCCTGTTTCCCAAAGAATCCAGAGAGGAGAGGGACAAGAAAGACGATATTTTCCCGATCCGATTTCGTACAAGACGCGACAAGGAGACTTGCAAGATGTACACTTTTAAGAATGAGATGAATCATGAATATTGTTTTCACCTTCTTTGTAGGATCGATAGGTACACAGATACAGAAGGTGCTCCCTATTGTTGATATCAATCATTCATAGAAAATACTTATATATAATATTTGAATTTATCCAGAAGTTACTCATAGTCTTAGTTACAGTCTTCATCATGGAGCCAGTTCGTGCAAACATCGGCCCAAGCATTGAAATCTTTCGATGCCCCACGAATAGGTGTACACGCGATGAATCATACACATACTAAAAAAAGGATTGGCTATCCTTTTATCTCATCACTTGAGAATAAGATGATGCAAATATCAATATCAATGAGAGCAATTATAAGAGAGCCAATTTAGTTTCAATGGCTGGGCATTGATTGCCATCACTCTACTTGCTCATTGCCAAAGTAAGGAGAGTTGCGGAAAAACAAAAACTACATTTGCTAGTCTAGTACCCTCACGGCCACTACTGGCGCTGGCCAAACTCTACTGGTAGGAACATTGCTGGAATAGAAGAACTTGAACTCGATTTCATCTTATCATTGCTTTTATTTACAGTTGCATGAATATATTTATAAGTACAGGCTAGACGCCCGGGGGGCGCTTGGTGACGGATGTGCCAAGGGGTGACGTTGCCGGGGGCGCTGCAGCTGGCTGCGGGGGGCCCTGAGCTGAGGGAACGGGCTTGCGAGTGAGTGGGCGGGAAGTTGTAGCGTAGGCGGGGATCCTTTTCCAACCATAGTCTTCGTTGTCAGGGTTGGCTGATAGGCCAGACGCACGGGGAGCGAGCACTCTCTTGGGCGTAATAGATACGCCCAGGGGTCGCGACGCCGACGTCGCTGGCGGAGCTGCAGCTGCTTCGCTGCTTGGGCGGCCTGAGGGCACTGGGCCAGGGCCGCGAGTGAGCGCGTCGGCCCGGAGGCTCGGCGTAGCAGTCGGAGCTGGGGTTGGCGGATTGCCCTTCTGAGGTGCCTCCCCGAAATACCGAGCTGGAGGCGTGTATACTCTGACAGATGAGAGGCGCCTGAGGGGCGCCTCGCAAAATTTTAACGCATGTAGTGCATGGGGCACCTGCTCCATGCTACTCCATGTGTTTCATGCACTCCATGCCATGCGCCCGGCGAAGCCTTATATAGAATGATTTATTATAAACAGTCTCTACTTTTTCTAATCCAACCTACTGGAGGAGCATGCAAAGCAAAGGACCGTCGCTACGCGAAAGTGGAAGCGACAAGGACTTCCTTTCTCGGAGACGGATGCAGTGTGAGTCGGACGGCGATAGCGTATCTGAGTGTGACGAGGGTGGTAGTGATTTTGATGAATGCTCTGAGCAGGAGGGCGAAGGCTCTGAGCAGGAAGGCGAAGGCTCTGAGCAAGAAGGCGAAGGCTCTGAGCAGGAAGGCGAAGGCTCTGATGAGGAAGGCGAATGCTCTGAGGAGGAAGGCGATGGCTCTGAGCAGGAGGACGAAGAGGGGCGGGGAGACAATGCCTGTGCTGACGATGACCAAAACGACGACGACAGCACTTTATGGCAGCTGAAGGAGAAAGAGAAAATCATATCTCGCACCCTGATCCAATACGCGTTTGCAGGAACAGTTCCATATTATGAGTCGCCACCCGAACGAGGAGACGAAGACTTGTAGCTACCCAGACCACTGAGCAAAGCACTGTGCAAAGCAGTCTGTGCACACCTTTTGTCGTCGTCGTCGTCGTCGTCATCGGCCAACCTGCGGCCTTGCCTTACGGACAAATATGCCAGCACTTTCCGGAAGTTCCTTCCCCTTGTCGTGATACTAAAAGACGCGTGTAGGGACTTGCAGTAGATTGAATTGGCATGATCAGACCACGAGACAAAGCTGGGATCACTTTTGTGTTTACGTATTTATCGAGCTGTGAAACCTTATAGATTGCTCTGATATATTTTTATATGTTTAATAATATCAAATTATGAGGTAAGTATAAATACCTCAACATGTTTTTACACGAGGAGTAAACACAAAAATGACAACAATGTATTCTCGCTTTCATAACTGGGAAAATAGGGACTCAGTCGGAGATTGTTGTGAGAAGCGCTAGAGCTGTGACAGAAGAATGGGAAATACAAGTCGAATATGCATCTACATTCTAGTAGCACATTTCTATAAGGTTCACAAGGACACAAGCATAAGCAATTTCACCCGCCTACTTCGCACAATTGTATTTTTACGCCCCAGAGGACTATTTCCTCCATAATTCCTTCTCGGCTTAGATATATTTAGCCTTCACTTTTCGTACTATTTCGCTTCGCCATACGTTTGTGCGATAGAAGAGGAAAGGCATGGCTTGTTTCCCCTTGCTCAAGTGACTGGTTCAGAATTTTTTTGTCAGATGTTAGTTCCTTTTTTTACTTACTGAGATCAGAAAGATCAGAAACAGATGTGGATGTGGTGGTGTAACTTGAGCATAGAATATGAGAGTCAGAGAGTTGACACGAGTGAGAAGATAAGTAGACAACAAGATGGATCGAGAATCGAATTGGACAGACTACATCGAAAATTTTTTTTAGACTACATCGAAAAAACTACTTCAAGAAAGAATATCACTCACAGAAGAGGCCATGAGATTGATTGATTACAAGTGTCAATGAATAGAGGTACTAGCACCTACACTAGTTAGTGTGCAGGTGTAGCTATTAACAGTAACATCTATCTTACGCTAGAAACCGGCAGCTAGAAGATTCCACTTACTTTTATCAGATCAACAGCTGCCCCTGCCGCAGTGTGCCGTCTTTATCATTCATGATCGTAAAAAAATATGAATATGTAGAATATAAAGTACCAACTTTAATGTTCTGTTTGCGGTTGTTGTTTCTGATATAATTTTGATTATCAACCTCATTGGTCATTCTTAATTCTAGTAGATACCGTATCGGTAAGAGGGTACCTTTAGTACCCGTTAGACGGAAGAAGATGGCGAGAACATATCGGCTTCGGCATGTCCACCTATTCTTGGCATGCGCCTTACGTGTTGTTAAGGCTCAACACAATTCATTTCTACAAGTCGCTTCTTCCTATACCCTTCTTAGGATTGGGAGAAATTATGCACGCAAAAAATGAACTGTTTTGGGACCTAATGTTGGTGGTGGTGTGTCTGCGGTAAACCCCCGTAATAAAGATGATGTAGGGAATGATACATCAGACATACATATTGGAGATCTAGATTTATATTCGTTAGAAGAGGGAGCGGGAGGTCGACATGGATATGATGCTCCGACCGCGAATGCGGCAAGAAGAGGCACGTCCGCAGGGCGTGAGGACTAACACACTAAACAGAGCCGACACCAAGAGCACAAGGCCTCCGGGATGATCGTGGAGAGTCACCTCAGGAGCAGGAAAGAGACGACGGCAATGGAGTTGGAGACGATTCAGACGATCCAGACGACGACCCCCAGGGCGGAGCAGGACGTATTCGTACCTTGGCATTGGCAGGTCGTGCCTCCCAAGCCATAGCGGCCGCAGAAAGCGAAGGCACAGAAAGCCAAGCTGCAGAAGGGCAAGGAGCAAGTAGAAGGGTGCCTCTCCTGGCTTTCTTTCAGCAGGATGTTTGTGATTCCGAAAAGCTGGAGAAGTGGATCCAGCTTCTTATGACGAGGAAGGGAATAGGCAAATCGAAAGCAGTCACTGGATCCAGCTTCTTATGACGAGGAAGGGAATAGTACGAAGGTTGTCTTATCAGAATCATATATAATTCTATGTCTTTGCTATTGCTATTGATCAACATTTTTTACACTGTTACAACTAAGTACACTAGACTGAGATAAAATCTACGAAGGGTTGTAAACCAGATTAGCAAGAAGTAGAAAATATTTCTGTCCATTACGCCCTTGCCGGATCGATCAGCCTGTAGTAACCATGTGTATTTAGACAAGACAGAAGATGGGGCACGACGCGGCGTATTAGAGATAACACTGCTGCCGGACTCCCGGCTTCACTCGTCCATTGTTGTGGAATGATAAATTTAAAACTATTTCGCCATCCTTCATATTCTAAACAAAGAGCAGGCAATGCCTGGCCCTGGCGCGTGGCTTGGGGAGAGCATATGGTTCGAGCCAGGAAGATGGATCAGAATGAAATGACTTGATATTTCAAAGGTACTGTGGCTGCGACAGAGATCGTGCAGAACTCGACGAGGTCACCCGTATCATGCAGAATTTCGCGCTTACTTTTCAGCAGGTCAATATCGAGACGCTCCGGCGTAAGGATGCCGCACCAGATGACCGAATAGACCCACGACCGGGGAGCACGAGCACTCCTGCGGACTTCCGATGAACGGACAGCAATGACGCAGTCTTCGAGCCCGGCGATTAAGGCCAAATGATACCGACCGAATATGCTTTTCGTAGTAGATTTTATTATGTATTGAATTATGTTAATCGTAATGTTGCTGGCTCCCCTTGTAGAAGACGATAAGTGTGATTATATCTGGTAGAGATGAACAAGAATGCTTCGACCATGGATGCAAGATGGCTACTTCTTCTAAGTAATGAAATGTAAATATGAAAGACGCAGCGGGACAGGGAGTGCTGGAGGATTCTCAGAGTTAGGGCTGCATGAGGACATTTTCGAGCTCGCGATGTGGTCACTTGTTGACAAGTTGATGGAAGCGAAGGCGCGCCGTGATGCGAAGCTTACTTGCTTAAGTACTCGAAAACTGAAAATAAGCGAGTTACTGACTGAAATAAGGGAGGTAGCTCTGAAGACAGGGCTACTCTACTTAGTTTCAGTAGTTACTCGCTTATTTTCAGTAGATGCTCGCTTATTTCAGTTTATCGGCATGTTGCTATGGCAAGAAAGGCACACTGGAGGTTAGAGGTTGTTATACTAAGAGAATGTGCTTATCGTGCGAAATAGGTCGGAGGAAGAGGACGATGCTGTCGCGCTGTCGCGGTGGCAGAAGACCTGCGCGAATGTGACGTTATTTGGGGAACATTCGCGCAGGTCTTCTGCCACCGCGACAAGTGTTGAGAATGTGACGTCATGCTTTCTCAACACTTGCTTCTGCCTCATTTCGTAGGACGGCTATGGGCAGGAGAGCAGCTGTCCAACTCCAGAGACACAAATTTCTTGGCGGCCAACAACTGCGAAGGTCACCAGCCATGTTCAGGAAGAGGCGTGGGAAGTGCGTCAGAAATTATCGACGGATTTCTGGGGAGTTGAGAGGGTGGCAGAAGACCTGCGCGAATGTGACGTTATTTGGGGTTTAGGGTTTAGGGAACTGGCATAGAGTTGAGAGGGAACTGGCGGAGACGGAGCGGCAGGCGCAACATTGTGTGGGGGCGTTGACTCTGTGCAAAACGTCGTGCCCCTGGGATGAATATCGAGCGGAGCTCCCTGCGGGCGATCCTCCTTCCGACATGGATGAGCAGATGTGTCCTGCCGCAGAAGGGATTTTTCGCGTGAGTGAAGACGCCAGCGAAATCTCTGGGGTAGGACCCAGACGAGGTGGCAGAGGTTTCTTTGCCATTTTTCTGTCTCTTGTTTCGTTACGTTAGAAGCGGGCACGCAAACGCCCTTCACAGACGACGTAGCGAAGGCTGCAACTTCTAGAACAAAGCTGATGCTGAAAGGTAGAAGAAAGTGGCGTAAGGACGAATTAGATCTGCTTAGCAACCTAGATTAAGAGTACCGAAGCGACCCTTTATGGGAAGCCCATGTCAGCGTCGAAATTACACAATCAACCCTTTCTTTTATTAACGTCATGTCTGCCGCTGCCTCGATCTCGAGCTGGTATACTCTCCTGTCTCTGCTGAGCAGGAGGCCCATTCATTTTATGTGATTTCCGACAAGTATTCATTTGAGATTCTTTTTAGCGATAAGAGTTATGTAACACGTTCAAACAACTTCATCTTGATTCCGTTCGTTATTTCTTGAGTTCTGTAGACTGTAGAGATAGATACAAATAGTTTTCGTCCTTGTTCTATAATCATTAATTTTTAACTTTCTAATCCAGAATGTAGATACCCGGGGTCGTTGCTGAAGACACGCGCCTGTCTAAGGTGAACCTTATCCCGGTAAAACTGTAGGCCGTCGAAATGGTAACATCCCAAAGGTTTTTAACGTTCAAAGATATTTCTACGATATGATGCAGGCACCAACAGGATCACGCTTTATTCAACATCATCAACTGCAGTTATATTATATTTTATCATCAAGAAGCAATAGACATAGAGCGCAAGCAGTTATATCACTAGCCTCCAGGAGTGGTTCCCCACCAGGGTGAGGATACGAAGGGGACCCGAGACACTCGCTAGACGAGAGGCACACGCTGACACTTTCAAGGAGGTGCCAAAAGTAAGAAAGGGTCCCTGTGTTGCAATTAATTAGGTATCTCCACTGATAATCTTCTTGCGCCTGCGTATACGCCTGCTTCTTCACCCTGTTGATAGCTGCTATAGCGCGTGGCGGGAGGCAGTTAGTGTTGGTGGGTTTTTTTTCCGGGTCGGGTGATGATGGCAAAGAAGCTGGCGATGCCTTCTGAGGGCTTGCTCCTTGCTGCGTGAAGATGCGTGGAGAGCTAAAAGCGGCGAGGGCGCCCGCAGGTTTATTTTTAGCTATGAGGGGGGGCATATCCAAGAGCAGGCATCTTGGGGTCATTCGTTGCCAGGGGTTCGAGAGCTTTCGAGGCCATGCGGGTTTGATTGGGTTAAAAGGTGGAGTGTGGTGTCCGTGTGTAGTTTGTGCCGTGTTGGGTTGGTGTGTTTGTTAGGCAGCGGGGCTCGTGATTCTTTCCCGCAAGGTGTTGGGCTGGTTCGATATCAGGGGACGCCCTTGACTCATCGCCACCGGGGGGGCCCCGCAGTGGGGTCGCCGGCTGCCGCCACGCTTGGGCCCAGTGGCAGTGCTTCAAGCTTGCAAGCCTCATCTATGGCCTTGCAACTTCAGAGCTCGCCGCCGCCCCTGTCTGAACTTTCAAAAGTCATGCCCTAGCGTTCAAAATCCACGCCCTAACTTTCAAAATTAACGCCATGGCAAACCTTCAGCATTCACGTCATAACTTTCAAGGTTCATGGCCTAACTTTCAAAATGCACGCCATAGCCTTCCAAAGTCATGGCTTAACTTTCGGAATTCATTTCTTAACCCTCAAAGTCAATGCCTTAACTTTCAAGCTTCAAGCCCTAACTTTCAGGCTTCATCTCCCAACCCTCAAACCCCATGCCTTAGCTTACATTCTTTCAGAGTAAACCCATTTCCTAACGCTCAAAGCCCATGCCATATCTTTCAATCAGGGTTCACGTCTTTCAAAATTCATGCCCTAACTTTCAAAGCTGGTCCACGCCATAACTTTCAAAGCTCGTGCCTTAACTCTCAGGGCTCACGCCATAACTTTGAAAAGTCATCGCCTAACTTTCAAAATTGACCCCCTAACTTTCAAAATTATTCTCCTGCCGCACTTTTAGAATTGTTCAGGCCCCAGCTAGCTTACTTTCAGAATTCGTGCCATACCTTTCGAAACTCATGCCATAACTTTCAAAATAAATTCACGCCCTAACTTTCAGCCCTGCTGCTTCGCGTGTTAAGATTTACCAATAGGGTCACGAACAAATTAAATAGCCTGCGATGATAATTAGGAACGAAGCATCGCACATGACTGAGCAGTTTGCTGCTGGTTTGCATGGTCTTAGTACTGTGATATTGATCCGGATGGAAATGCTTCACTCTGTTCGAGTTCGGATCGCGAACTTCATTGGACCTCGGTCATAGAGATCACATACACATACTTACTCTTTTTTTTTTTGGTGAGTGATCTTATACCTTCACAGCTTCGCGGTCGTGTTTTCGCAGTCGGTGCTCGCCTGCTTTCAGAATTCGCGTCCTAACTTTCAAAATTCATGCCCGAACTTTCAAAATTCACGCCCGAACTTTCCAAGTTAATCCATGCCCTAACTTTCAAAAGTCATGCCAAAATCAAAGCTCACCACTCCGAACCAACATGCAAAATTAAACATCTAAAATCAAAATTCAGAATCATAAATCAAAACCAATGAAAAACTTTACAAGTAAAGATATTGAAGAAGGTCATAGCTTCATGATGTTGGCTGCTCCTCCACCAAGCAGGGAGCCACGCCATTCATCAATTGAGCAGCCCGATATGAATGATCCGTCTCCACCTCTGCGTTAACAGGCCAGGGGGTCAGAGGGTACAAACATGATGTGGCATATACTATATAGTACATTCCTATTCAATCGCCTTCTGCAGTCGGACGGATTTATTTTACCTTAATCTTGTCCGCTACAGTGCGACGAGCCGCCAAGGCGAACGAACGCCGAGCGGGAGCAAGATGAAGGGATTTGCTTCTCCAAAATGTAAATGATTTGAAAGATCCCTTAACCTTTTTTACAGAGACAAGATGAAGATCCCTCAGTAGCTACTGGCTTTATACTACAAAAGGGTAGTTTATAATTAGCTAGAATTCACAACTAGAATAGTTATAGTGAAAAACTACCAGATCCTGTGCCTGAAGAGGACAGAGGAGGATTTATAAATGAGATCCAAGAATGAAGCATGACTTAGTAGATCTAAGCAAAATCTGAAATGACTCCGACGACGAGTCCCGAGAGCGTTCTTATCCCTTATTTCGTTTCGCAGAATTCTAAATATGGAGACTCTTCCGTGTATTCTCCTTTTCTTTCATGATTCAAATGAAAAAGCAGGCCTTGTTCTTTGTGCAAAGTGTTTTCTTTGGAAGTGAAACTCCTGAAAGTCGAAGCACGGCCTTAAAATAGCTAAAAGAAGGCTTTATTTCTTAGTGGTATTAAACCGAACCTGTACGCCTTAACCTTTATGTCCCCACTTCGCCCGATTCTTCTTGTATAAAAAACAACATCGACAAGTAATATTTATATGATCAATGACATGCATGAAGGCTCAGCAAAGGCTGCACCCTATCCTATCCTATCCTATCCAAATTTTAATGGTTCCTAAGATGAATCTTGGACTTATTTTTTTCACCTAGAGAATGTAAGTCTAAGTTGAATCAAGGTGAGTGTTGCCTTAAGATTGATCTCGCTTTCGTTCGTTTTGCATAGGAAATTGTTAAAGCTTGTTTTTTAGCTCGTTTCTCGAACGATGAATAAGATCGCTGCCATCTTCCGACAAAGAGTGTTTGCTAGGAAAAAAATGTCGTCATCCCATGAATATGAAAACATGCTAGCGAGGAAAATGTTGATAGTACGCTTTGCATTCCACCTCCTGGCAGTCGCGGAAAGCGTAATCATACGCGGAATCGAAGATGGAGGGTTAGGCCGCCCTGGGTCATCTGATGCTGATATGCTCCCGGCAGAACATCCAAGAGAACAAGCAGCTGCGGATCTTCATCACGCGGACGCGGCGGCACTTACTAGCCCTCCTTTTGGATCAGGATCTTCTTCATCTTCTTCCGGTGTAAATGTAAGAAACCTTCTAAATCCTACTAGCTCCTCCATGTCGATGTCCGAGGACTCCGAGTCGAAGCTCCACGACAGGAAGAGGAAGAGTAATTTTCCCCCTGCAAGAATACGAGATGCTTTCATGGATGAAACAGAAGGCGAGCAGGACAAGGTCGCTGCTCTCGCAGAAGAGATGCAAGAAAGATTGACATTGATTACTCAGCAAGAAGGAAGGTCAGCGTCAGATAAGGGACAGAACGCTTCTGGTGCAACAAGCAGAAAGACACCAGCAACAAACTGCAACACTTTTCCTAAGAGATCTTCATCTTTCGAAGACTTTTTCGGCGTCGTCATGGATTTTCTGCTCAAAAGGTCTGCTGAACTGTTCAGAGCCAAAGACTTCCAACTCCAAGTATCAGAGGAGCAAGTGCAAGAGCTAGAGCAGCGCTTAAGGAAACTGCACTGTGCTTTCTACTTAAATTTTGTGCAAAATTTCTTGTCACTACGTACGAGAGAAACGCCGTGGGACACAGAGAGAAGGACCGAAAGAGCAATAGAGGACATACTCAGCAGTAGCCTACCCGATTTTTTCAGAAGGGACACGCTGGAACTGAGGAACCCCCTGATGATGATGAAACATTTACATTGGGACGAGCTGGACTCAATAGTTATCTTCGCTTTGTTAAAGAATGATATAGAAACTTCTGTTGAGAACAAGAGGCAGCTCACCTGCAGGGATGCCATTATACCTCGTGCTCAAGATAAGGATGGGGCAGCCTTGCTTCTTTCGATGGGCGGTGAACAAGCACTGTACCGCCTTGTTGCCCTCTGCATGCGCTCCGACGAAACAGTGCGAAAGTGGACGAATTTTCTAGTACACGACACACACTTGGATAAGCCAGTGCCTCCGCAGGAGTTTTGGCGACGACTGGGAAGTATTCACGTCGCGTTGTCCAAGCACAAGGATCATACCTCTGTAGAGGAGTCTCGTATCGACAGAGACATGGAAACGATAAAAAATGCTGGTTACGGGGAGGGTCTGTGCCAGGCTGTGGAGATAGGGCTGGTAACGTACGATCTTCCCAACAAGGAAGTGGGGATCGTCTCAGATTTGCGAAGGCATCGAAGATGTATGGCTAAGCTGGTTTGAGTGAGTGCAGCACCAGAAGGAATGTGATCGGTTATATCTTTGCTTGGAAGCCGCGAATCCTACACGCGGCGCCATCGTTACAAGATGGCACTTCTCTTCCGCACCCTCATTCTCATTGTTATTCTCAAGTGCACTATTCGTATTCTCATTCTCTTACTCTTTCTTCTCTTTCACCCACCCTCTCCACCTTCGCTTCGCCGCCACCACAGACACGAGGTCGCAGCGATTGCGTCGGCACGAGTCCACCACTCGACTCTCCGCATTCTCACTCACATTCGCGTCCAGTTCTCTTCGCTCATGTTCCTTTATTTTCAGTTCCTTACTCCCCCTATGCTCACGGACAGTATGCTAATCCCTATGCTTTCTCTCTCACGATCTTTTCGTCCTATCGTGCATGGGTGACCTCAAGATAGCATTCTGGTCTGTGCGCTAGTTGGGAGAACTGGTGGCCATAGGTAAAGCAATACTCACTCAATCCGTGTTCCTTCATTATTATGCTCGGTCAAATGGGAAGCAGCGCAGCGAGTCGCGACCAAGAAAGCCGCAGACGAGTCGTGACAAGGAGTTTCCCGCTACTTTCACCTGCTACCGCTGCGTTTGAGAAATTTCTGGAGAAGACACTGCAGAAAGTGATTTGCGAGGAGTTTCTTCCCCGTGAGGGTCATCGCGATCACGACTTGCAAGAGCGTTATCTTCGCTACAAGGAAGGTCTTCAAGCAGTGGACCGCGTGCGGCTTGGCCTAAAATATCGAGCATCTGCAGAAGAAGGAGTTATGAAGAAAGAGCGCCCTGCTGCTCTTTTGTTGAATTGATAAAGATCTTGATCTTGTTGTTGATCTGAATCCCCTTAATTAAGTAATACTTAAGTATATAGAGTACAGTTTATAGCACGCATGGTGCATGGAGTAGCATGGAGTAGCATGGAGCGCAGAGCTTTAAGGGGCGCAAGAAGCTCCCCCTTTAGCTCCATGCTACTCCATGTGATCCATGCACTCCATGCCGTGCGAGCTGTGAAACCTTATAAACTGCTCTAGCTATAAGGATATAGTTGCAGCAGTCGGGGTATAATACTTTGATGTGTATGTTGTGTACTAGTTCCTTCCACGACGACCTAGATCAGTTCGAAGAAGTGAGGAGGTGATATATAATTCTCACCTCGTGATGTGTTTTTAACCCTCGTCCCAAGTAGACAGTAATAGCTACACAAGAGGTGCCATGACATGACATGAGGGGGCTTATTGTGTAGGATCCACAACCTAGTAACCTAACTGCTGGCGCGGTTTTGTCCCGCCATCAGGCTTGCAGACGGGACGCAATGAATGAAACACCTAAAACGGACCTAACCCAACTTTCATAATTTGTGGAGAAATACAGGGATTTGGGAAATGGCGGACTTTTGATAGCTTGGAACGCTGTCTGATTGTGAATGCTCTAGCAGAGGAGCAAAAGGAACTTGCAGCATTTCTTCCTAAAGATCTCGGGAGTCAGGTGGAGGCGCCCGACCTTGTAACAACACTGGAGATCAAGGATTGGCTAGTCGGAAAGCTTTCGTCAGCGCCTGAAAAGGAAAGCTCGTCGTGGAGTCTCTGCCTCGACGTCTGCTTTGGAAGTGAATTGAAGGGAAAAACCACGACATCAGGATCTTCAGGTCCCGATGGAGGAGGGAAGAAGAGAACAGACCCCGGAGGAGGTGGCCCTGGGCCAGGCTCTGGCGGTCCCTCAGACGATGGTGGGAGTGCGCGAAAAGGACGACGACAGAAAGATCATGGACGCAGTGAAGCTTCTGGTGCTCAACGCGATCCGGGTTCGTCCTCGTCAGGTGGACAGGCAGAGCACGGAAAGCAAACGCGATCATGTCCGATGGAGCAAATCTACGTGATTGAGTATCTTGAAGAAGGTGCAGAAGTTCCTTCTAGGCCACTCCGTCCCCTTCTGAGGATAGAAGACATAGACGGCGATGGCGGTGACGGTGACGACTCGAGTTGTCGTAAAGACGGCGATGGCGGTGGCGGTGACGACTCGAGTTGTAAAGATATTAAACGTGCATATTACACCTTGTGGCCACCATACGCTGGTGGACAAGTGGAGGATGATCTCGCCTACATCAGCACTCCAACGAGACCTGCCACAAAAAAGCGTGGTAAAAACAGCACTCATGAAATGCCTCCTGCTGCCGCGATGCAGATCTCAGAAGAGGAGCCGCTTAGGGAAGCATTTTCGGGCAAGGCCGCTGAGCCGAACTACGCGGACGATGAATTTAGAACATTATTGAGTCTGGCGAACAGGATTTTCACTGATATTCTGTCCTGTCGTTCAGGGAAACCAGCCATCGTGGATGAGAAGAAGCCTCTGGTAGAAACACCAGAAACAACAGGAGAGCCTACAGAAGCTCCACAGGAAACACAGAAGGCGAGCAAGGGAGGGCCGGAGGCTTATCATGGAGATGCGCCACCAGGCACCAGTTTTGACATTGCTGCAGGTACTGCTGGTAGTAGTAGGATGCAAGAAGGTACAGGTGCACCACTGTCAGCCTCGGAATCAGATGAACGTGAAGCAGATCCAGATGGTGTTGGAGTTGGTGCCCTGTCTGAACCCCCAACGTCAGTTGAGTATGATGATGTCCCTGACCCTGACTGTTCTGGACGCTTGCAGGACTTCGATAGTGAAGACGAGGCAGGGGCACCTCAGGAGCAGGAAGCAGGCGACGGAGATGGAGACCGCCCACACGATCCAGACAACGACCCCCAGGGTGGAGCAGGACGTCATCGTACCTGGGTAGGTCAGGTCCGCGCCATGATGTTCCCGGGCAAAAAAAGCGCACAACAACGCGGAGGCACAGAAGGACAAGGCCAAGCTGCAGCAGACAGACGGGCAGCGACTCCTTTTCAAACGGACGTTTGTATGGATATGGACGATGAGAAGGCAGCCCAGCTGCAAGGCTATTTGTTTCTTATGAGCAAGGAAATATGCTAATTCTGGCTGAAGAGAGTCTTATTCTTATAGATTGTGATTATATATGTCATGATAAACCAAAGGCAGAACAAATCATGTAAAGTTTTATAGATAGATAAGAAACAGCATCATACAGCTTATGTAAATAAGTGGATAAATAGATGGATGAAGAGATGGGGAGATAGATGACATTATTCTACGAGTAGGACAGCGAAAGCGTGAGCGTGAGATGAACTTTATAACTTTTGAAAATCCCAGTGGAAAGCGAAAGGAAGAAGTAAGTTGTTAACAATAACAATCTATCATGAGTACTACTACTAGCTACAGACTTCTAGAGTGCTTCTTGTGTCGAGTGAAGTATTCGTAAGAAATATAAAAGTGAAGATAACTTGATTCAGATTGATAATTTCTCATATATTCATACTCTAAACAAAGAGCAGACAAGACCTGGCGCGACGCTTGGCGGAGCCATATGACCGTAGGCAGCGAAGTCAATCGATATCGCAGCAAAATAATTCAAGATTACTATGCAGCTGGTCGCCGCAACGGAAAGTTATACGAGGAACTGGTAGTAAAGGAAATGTACAATTTCGGGTGCGCGTTTCAGTACCGGAATCAGGAGGCACTGCGGCTTATGGCAGCAAGAAGTGACCAGCGACTTGGAGGTGGAACTGGAGACCCAACATTTCTGCCGCAAGCGGGGACTAAGATAGACCATTTTGATATCACAGCGGAAAACTTGGTCTACACCGATCCCGATTAAGGCCAAATAAATACTCATCGAATATTATGTATCACATAAAAACTGAGTAGGCAAGAAAAATTTCCAATACTAGACGAATATAGTTACAACTTCTCTTCAAAAACTTGGTTTTCTTCAATACCTTGGAACAAAGGCAATCCAATTCGGTCTTGGTCCTATGCGGCCTGGGCCTGGCCATAGTTACATCCATATTGATTTAGAATTGTTCACTAAACGAATGTCAATATGATTTAGATAGTGAGCGTAGATGGATGGAGAGGAAGCACGCTTCGGCCAAAGATGTTCTTCTAATGAACATATAGTTCCTTCTGTAAAGAGGAGTACGGAGACGAGCTGCTGCACGAGGACATTCGTCAGCTCGTGCAGTGGTCAGTTCACCGGTTGCGAGAAGGGAAAGCACGCCGTGATGCGAACCGTTCTTGCTTCGGTTACAAGATGACGTTGTCCTTGAGGACCTTGTCGCTGAGGCAGAAGGCGGATTTGCTTTCGTGGATAATTAATTTTCTGGGTGCCTTTGCGTTTGCGGTATGGATATCTCTCGTCGAAGTGCCTCCAACTCCTTCCGACTGGCTCTGGCTTCTTCCGGACCGTCTTCTTCTTTTGTCAGATTGGTGGACAGGATATTGGGAGCTCGAGGATATGAGCATGCGAGGAGCATTGACTGATAAGGAGGAACTTGAGAGGAGATTTCTCGCGAAGAGAATCGGAAAGCTTCTGTCGAGCGAGGAGCTCGACTTCGACTCGTACGAACAGCGTATCGCAGTTGTTGAATTCCTTGGGGGTACCTCCATCGCGTCCAAGGAGTACGCAGCGGCAGCGGCGAAAGGGAACAATCATGTGTATGCCCTTTTCCTTCAGTGGGAGCGAGATAGAACATGCGCACGGCACGAACACGATGGCGAAAGATATCGAGTGGAGCCCTCTGGGCCTTCGATCCTCCCTCCCTCCGGCGAGGATGGAAAAGATCAAACATATTTTGATGTGGACGAAGAGGTCGTGGGCAAAGCTAAGCAAACTGAGTACTTTTAAGGGTAGGTTAATAAAGGTGCTTTTGTTCTTACCGGCGCTTTTTATGCCTCTCTACTCCCTTAGGAGGAGAAAGGCATAACAAGCGGGGGAACCCGCGAGCACCAAAAACCTACCTCTAATACTTTGATGTGATGGAGGACGCTCCTGCTGCGCCTGATCAGGATCATGAGCAGATGTGTCCTGCCGCCGACGAAATTTCCCGCGGGGATGAAGAAACCGCAGGCACGCAAACGCCCTTCATAGAAGACGTGGCCGTGGCGAAGGCAACAACTTCTAGAACAAATCCAAGATCCGTTTGAACAGAGGTGCGCCTTGTCATTGATCTCGAGCATATACATATCTTAGACCTTAATAGCGCTAAGGAAGGCCCACGAATTTTCAGACCAAGTAGTCGCAGATCAAACGGTCCCAACAAGATTGTAATGAAAATTCTTTCCCCGTATTGAGTATCAATTTACTGAAAAGTTGGCCCCCCGTGATGGCATCATTTATGAGAAAATCCGCTCCTGATCCGAAAAGGTCTAAGATAGCCTAAGTACGGATTAGATCTATGTCCAAGTCCCACAATTATCTTCTTCTTCTTCTTGTCATTCTAGATCTAGATCCTCAAACTGGTATACTCTTCCTCTGCTGAGCAGGAGGCTCATTTACTTTACGTGATTTCCAATAAGTATTCAATCGCGATTCTCTTTAGCGATAAGATTTATGTAAGTAACTCGTTCAAACAACTTCATCTCGATTCCGTTCGTTATTTCTTGAGTCATAGACTGTATCCAGATAGTTTTCGTCCTTGTTCTAGCCTTAATATTTTTTACCATGAGAGTCCACAATATCGATGGATTCGGGAGGACCCATTGCAACAAGAACCCCAATTATATTATCAGCAGCCCTTTTACGATATGACTCAGGCACGAACTACAGGAAAGTAGCTTGTTATTGAACATCTTCACCAACCAAGCAACTATAGACATCATCAACAACTAACGAAGCAGCAGGCTGTGCGTCGTATACACAGCATAACTTCATGATGACTCATCAACCAAGCAGAGAAGGATACTACTAAACAATGGACGATCATATGAAATTAGTATCTCTGCGTGAGTAGGGCAGTCCAGAGGATACATGACGTGGCATATTGCAGTCGTGTTCATGCTCAATCGGGTTCTGTAATCGGAGGGATATATTTTATCCTAATCTTGTCCTTGTCAATTTAGTTCTACTTCCTTATAGAGTTGTCTTGATCGATACTCATTGAGGAAATGGTTCGCTCGAGAGAGTTTCATCCACGGCCTCTAATATTTATCAAGGTCCCAGCAATGAAAATGATTAGTAGGTAAGTAGTTGAGAGTGTACAGTGCCGAGCACCCAGCACCACAACATAGTCGAAAACTCAAATAACCGTCTTAGCTTAACATCAACGCTCCTCTTCCTTCTCATCAGTGTCTCGGTTATTCCGATCAGAAACTTGCACATTTCAGTTTTTCGAATACACGTCTCTGGGCAGAAAAAGAGGCCGCAGCGTGAACGCTGAGTCAATAAGTTTCTCTCATCTATTCTTCCACGACGAAATGGATTACAAAAGTTCACAAATGATTTCAAGCAAGAGCTTGAACTACAAAGCGATCTTGAGTAAACCCAGTTTGTATCAATTTCACGTGCTGAATGGATGGCGAGATCCTATTTACCTTGGATTAATAGATGAAGATAGAGTTTAGTCTTTCTCAAATCATATTACAACTCTACCTGTACTTCTCCTGGAAATGGTGTATCTATCTGTAACCACATGATTTTGAAGTGGCAATCCTGCTCGGGAGCCCTTTGTTGTGGATCCTCGTTTCGCCAGTACAACTACCCAGGATGTTCTTGAAGCAATACTACCTATCAAAAATATCAACAGACGGATAAAGAGAGACGCAACGATGATCACTCATTTTAACATTGACAGAGGGTTACGGTAGTTATAAATTTTATTTATTACCTGAGGACACTTAAGTTCGTCCCTTTGTCTCCTCGTGCTGGGAGCTCTGGGCTCCAAGTGGTGCTTGTGGCCCAGAGTCATGACCACATCCATCGTTCTTATCGGTTTACTTTCACAACAGACAATAGTTTACCCATTCGCCATACGCTATTGATCTGCTTGGCGGATGATTAACGCGCACGAGTCTAAGGGATGGCGAGGGCAACTGCCTCCTCGTCACACGGTACCCAATTACAAAATTTCTTAGCCTATGCATCCATGCGTTTATTACGTGGCCACCGTGCTCCCCTACCAGTTTACACATGTAAGATCCTTGGCGTTCTTCTAATGGGCATCGCCGCACGTGATCACGCTGCTCGGAGTGCGCCACGTGGTCACTTGATCAAGGTGCACCATGCGACTACCTTGGACCGACGTGGCTCGAATGAGTGAATGAGTGAATAACTCTTCTTCGATGACGATCAAGACTGCGTGACATAATCTTGCCATACTGTACTATTTCTCTACGGATGACAAAATAACTTCTACTAAATCTTCCAACATGTTGACGAATAGACCAAGATCATGCACAAGAATCGGAATCGCAGAAGATGGCGCTCCACTTTTTCCACTAGCACGAAGAAGATCATGAGCCATGTCCTGTCATACTGTACTATCATTCTTTTTACTTCTTGACGACTTGTCATGATGGTGATCATTGTTCTTTGAAGACTACAGATCATGCTCCGAACAGCGTGATCATGCCATCAAGGACCACGACGCAAGCGATTAGTTACCTTACCTGCTCTGCCCTTCCTTTCCAACGTCCTCGTGAAAAATGAACAAAATCTTGTCGGGAGTAGCTTGGTCCTAATCTTCATGCGTGATGTATTCGGTTTCGAAAATCAAGAACGTTGCATTGATTCCTCTGTAGTACGACTTGCGCCACAGTTCGTTGGGTTCTTTCAAAAAACATATGTTGACGCAAACCAAAGTCAATCTTCTTCTTCCCCAACATATTCCAAAGGGTTCAATTTCATATTTATGGCTTTTCCCTTTTTCGTCAAACAACACGCCACTAAGATGATTTCAAACATTTGTTGATCTTTCTGTAAATCTTCACGACGCCAGGATGACGATTTCATTTGTACCTGAAAAAGATTAAATTGCGTCAGTCATAACGAACTTCGCCCCTTCTCGTGAATGATAGAAGAGCACTAAGCTCGGCCTGCCGCCGGTTTGCGAACTGGATAAAGCTGAGGCCGCTCTTTCAGTAACGCCAGGATGCAAAAAAAAAGAAACTTTTTCTGAAGTCTCCAAATCCAAACTCATTGTTGTATTCGAGTAATGCTCTAGCATCGAATATTCCCCGCAGAAGTCCTTCTTGTACTTTGCTTTTAGTAAATGTAATCAGGTTGAACGTTTCGTCTCTACGATGATCATGTGTGATCATTTGAGATGTACTGATGATGATTTACTTCAGCTTTCTCACTATAAGTAACTTGAGTCATCATCGATTCATAAGCACTGTAAAAATTTCATCATGGTCAGTGTTTCCTTACTGTTCTTGGTTGGCCCAAATCATGGATCATGGCCACAACTAGTTGTTCTAGTACTGGAGTAAAAGTAGATAGAGTAAGTTCGTAATGATCTTATATATAATTCCTAAGAAGTAACAACATCTACATCTTCACATCTTCCCCTTATATTCTCGTGTGATTGAGTTGTTCAAGAGGCCATTGTAGCAAGATGACGAGAGCATCTTTAATATTGCTGGTGTTTACCAGAAGTCCAAGTCTCCTCTTCGCATGGGGATTTCAAAAAGCATGGGTTGGCCATGGTGCTGGTCTTCCGGCAGGACCAAATAAACCACAAGTAGGACAAGAAACTCCGATCGTCCAAGTCCCGTCATACCAAGGACAATATGCACAGCAAGGAGCAGCACCAGGTCCGCAACAAGTCCCAAGGGATACATACGCCCCACCGGTCCCGTATGTAGGACAACCGCCTTTTTGTGCAGGTCATGCGGGCTCCACCCCCGCTCCAGTATTGCCATCGGCCGGGGCTGCCGTGGTCGCGCCAGGACAACGAACGCCAGTTATAGACCCCGATAGCGATACTGGCGCAATTTCTTATGATCTACCTGGTGGCACCACGACGAAGATTAGAGCTGAAAAAATAGAATCCACGCGACTGAAAACGCTTGCATGGGACATTGCGGATGGTGTTGGAGACGTGGAAGGCAGTTACGGACGACATCCTCATCTACTTACATCTAAGTAGTAGAAAAGTAAAGTGTGTAGCAAAGTAAGTCGCGGCTGATTCATTATCCAAGAGATTTCTCTGTTTCAGTTTGTTTGTTTGTTTTGATGCGCTCCGGGCGACGCGTACGATCCCGCCGGATTTCTTTGTGCTCTGTGTGTGTTTCAGTTTCTTATTATAATAAGTAATATATATTATATTGATTTGATATGATATGATACATATGCCAAGAAGATCATAAATGGGGAGTGTGGACCTCATCTCCCTCAAAACCATCTTCTCTTCTAATATGAGACGAGAACCGACGTAAAAAAAGTGATGGAAGATGCCTTAATGAAGATCCTTCTTATGCTGTCGCGGCATTATCTTCCGGAATCGGCTCTCGACCCTCGGATGTTTTCCGCCTCTCCCTCTTCCATGGAAGAGTTGTCTCTCTTTAGCATCGGCAACTCTCGCGTCAAGATGATGCGAGCGGACGGGAAGTTATGTACAACTAGAGAGGCTTCCTTCTTTATCTCTGATGTGGCACACCCAGATCTGATGGATGCTGGCTGGTTGATGTAGGAGTAGTAGTTTTATTTCAATACATAGTCCAAAATCGGAGTCAGAGCAGACTGATCTATACTCGGCTCTAATGTTCGAGCAGCAACAAACAAGTGGTGTATTTGGATCAAGCTTGATGATTGGAGCACTCATTAATGGTGCTGCTGCTGCCTATAAACGCGTTTCTGGGGACGATGAGTCAAATTTATCTGATGGCGCCTCCGCTGCAAATGATATTATTATTAACTTCGAGGATACTCATGGAGCAGGTTTAGGAATGGGCCCCCGGATGCAGAAGAAGAAGGTGGATTCTAGTGGTCGTCCTGTGTTGAATAGTTTTACCAGCCAAGAAAAAGCGACGCAAAGGAAAGACGAAAATGACTGGGAAACCTGGGACACGAGGTTAGAACAGTGTGAAAACTATATTCTGCCGATGAAAGACTCGGACTTGGCAAATCAAATAGACTCTGATGGAAGCGCCCAGTCCCTCTTCCTGTTTGCCCTTTGCATGAGGTCTGAGGAGTCTCTACAACGCTGGGCAGGGTTTCTGAACCGAAAAACCTTGGCTCCAGGAGAGTATTGGCGACGTTTAAAAGCTGTAAACAACTGCATTGTTGATCTGATGGCAACACAATCCACGAACCCGAAAGACCCTGACGCTGTGGACGATGTGTATGTCGAAGCGTGCATAGACCCAATCGTGACTTCGGGCAAAGACAGAACGTTTAGCGCAGCAGAAGTTCGATTCTTCTATCCTTCGAAGGAAAGTTGTTAAGGCTAGTACATAATTCATCTTTGACAGACTGCTGCATCCCTGAAAAGTACATTGATTGCTCCAGTATTTTCAATTTCCTTGCTCTAGTCTACTCATTAACAAGGGAAAGGATGCAGGAGGTAAGAGATGGATTACGAAGTAGAGATTCTCTAAGAAGGCGAGGATGGCAACGTGTGCTTTTCCACGAACGACGACGATGAGGATTTCATCGTTGTTACTGACTGCTATCCCTACGATGCTGGGGCATCGCCAGCGACCGCCGGCACCCTTTGTGACGGATTTTTTCATAAGTCGATAGAAAAAGCTGTGCAAAGTGCGTTGAGGAGACAAGGCCGAAGGTCTCTCATTTTAAAGCCGCCAGACAGAAAAACCACAAAGCCCTTGACGCAGATCCGCATAAGAGCACTTCTGCACGCTACGAAACCTGACATCACCTCTGTCCAAGCAGCAGGCGCTCCTCTGGGACAATTGGGCAGGGGCGCATCAACATCTCAGATGATGGACTGCCCAACTACTGGTAGAGGAATTCTCTATGCATGGGATGGAGAGAAATTGGTGCCTTTGAACATGAAACAAGGTGGAGGACGATTCCGAAATGGGGGACGACTCCATCAAGATGAACATTTTAACCCGATGATGGAGGAGGATTCCGTTTCCGAAATGGGGGACGACTCCGAGTACTCATCAGATGAAGATACCAGAGACGAAGAGCCGCACAAGCGAACGCAAAAAGCATGGCAAAAGGCAATGGAAAAGGCTGCGTTGAAGAATTATGAAGGCTCAGCATGATACTTAATCAACTTAAGTCTATTGCTATTCTCGGTGGAAATTAATTGAACAGATAAGTATAATGAATATTCATCTATCTAGTAGAAGTTCTGCTTCTGGGGCTGCTAGAAACGTAGCACGACTGTTCTGAGAGAAAATGAGCGTCAACATAGTATGCTTGGAGTTGGATTACTAACTGTATGCAGGAAAGTTTACTTTACTGCATTATTTATTCATTCGGGATCTGTGCCCTTGAACATGGTTTGCGAGCACAGCGTAGGCGTCGCGCGAGCCATTCACCATTCTCATCAAGTGTTCGCGCTTGTCGTTCGTCGTTTCTCATCCTACAGCCACGAGAGAGAGACCCAGAGGGAGAGTTCCTTGAAAAAAAAAACTCGTCTCAAATAGGGCCTTTTATAATCTTAGGTATATTATTCAGTCCAGGGCAGCCCTCCATTACTCCAGAGCCCACATTCCGAGTCCAAGGAGTTTTTCTCTCATGTCAAGCCGAGTCAAGTCAAGTCAAGTCCAAGGAGTATGGAGAGGGGCTTAGCAACCCCCCCCCTGTCTGCGAGCTTCTCACTCAGTCAAGTCCTATCCAGTGAATTCTCAGTAGTCTTGGGTCAGAGTCAGACTAATCAGTCTAGTCAAGTCGACATACAGGAGTCACGCCTCCGCGTCAGCCAAGTCAGAGGCTTCGCCAATGTCAGTCCAGCAGAAAGAGTCGCATCGTGCGCGATGCCTCAGGGGGTTATGCCCGCCTGTCTCCAGAACCTCAGGCATTCGCGACCTAGTGGCTCTACGCGCTGGCCGCCTCAGTCGTGGGGTATCGGCGGTCCGTGTCGTGCCTACCTAGAGGGTAAGGCGCGTAGAACACGCTTTGTCTCTGTCCATTGTTTTCTTTCAGGAGAGGTTCTTGTCGGGCGCTCGTCTCAAGGCGCGGCTCTTTTTTGCAGGATCAGGCTTGTAGTTCAAGTAGCGGATGCCGAGTGAGTAAATGTATGCAGGAAAGTTTACTGTACTGCATTACTTATTCATTCGGGATCTGTGCCCTTGAGCATGGTTTGCGAGCACAGCGTAGTCGTCGTGCGAGCCATTCATCATTCTCATCAAGTGTTCGCACTTGTCGTTCATCGTTTCTCATCCTACAGCCACGAGAGAGAGACCCAGAGAGAGAGTTCCGTGAAAAAAAGAGAACTCGTCTCAGATAGGGCCTCCTATAATCTTAAGTATATTACTCAGTGCAGTCCAGGGCAGCTCTCCATTACTCCAGAGTCCACGTTCCGAGTCCAAGGAGTTTTTCTTTCCCACCCATCTCCGCCCTAGTCTCTCTTGTGATGCCGTTTTCTTGAAAAAGGTTCCCCTTCATAAATCATCTTCCGTCTTATTGTGTGCACACATTCAAGATGATAACAGCGCTTGCCGCAGCGCGTCAGAAGGAGGCGGAGCAAGCCATCAGAGAAAATCAAGCTCGTCAGCAGAAATTCGATAGAGCTCGCACGCAAGTCCTAGCCCCTGGCACAAGTAGATCAGTCTGTCAATGGCAACAAGAGGCTACCATGGCAGCAGACGCCAGCTGCTGCAGCGAGGTCGCTACCATATTTTAAACCTCCACAGCACTGCTCTTCAGGCGTGCAAGATACAAAGTCTAGTGCGTCTCCATCCAAGAAGAAAGGAGTAATCATGACAGCGAAAAGAAGAGTAGCGTGCGAAATTGCGGGCAACACGGAGTTGCTGGGTGCCGCCTTGGTCAATCTTGACAACTTGCTGATCAACAAGAAGAGCAACGCTGTTGCGAATGGCAGGCTTAGATCATGCGAGCTCATCACTGGCCGGACAGCGCTTCGCGCGTGGCCTGCGTCGGATGCCTCGCTGTGCACGTATATCGGCATTGTCATCGCAGCCGAATATGCGTCCGTGCCGGAGGTTGTGAGTGACGTCATGTCGGCATCCCCGCAACTAGACGATCGCATCGGCCTCAGAACTAGAGAAGTAATAGCAGGGCGTGTTCGGTGATAGAAATCAGAAGCAAGCCTTGACCCTCGCCATGATCAGCAAGATACCACCAGGCGACGACCCTTCTGCTTTGCGTGCCAGACTTCCTACTATTTTGCTCGTTGCTTTTTATGGCGCCCTCAGGAAGAGCGAAGCTGAGGCAGTGGCGTTTGGTAAAGCGGCTCCAATTACGTGGGGATGTACTTTGACGATGTCGACGGGTCGTTGGTTTTGGACTTCTCGTTATACAAGCAGAAGGGTGGCGTAAGATGTGCAAGAGTGGCCAGGATCTTCTGCACCTGTTCAGAGGATGCCCCTGCTTTGAAGAAAGACAGAGTATGTCCCATCCACAGCAAGACGCTGAGGGAGTGCGTCAAGTCTTTCACAGCAGGAGGGATGGACGTTCTGTGGGCTATTAGAGCGTTGGTTCGTAACCTTAAAATCCCAGAGGCTGAGCAGTCTAACTTTGCCACGCACAGTTGCCGAGTTGGCTGTGTTGTGCATTTGTTTTCGCTGGAGTTGATGCCGGAAACCATCATCCACCACGCCAGATGGTCGGACACAACGATGCTGCTTTACTATGCTCGTAACAGCAAGAAACATCCCAGAGCTGCTCACTGGACTAATAGCATCAATTGGATCAAAAGTAGCCAAGTTGTAAACAAGCAGGCGAGTGAATTCGACGCAAGCGTCTTGCAAGATTTCGACTTTGAGAATTTAGACATAGAGTAGAGCATGCTTTTCATTGGCCATGGTTGACTCTTTTCCCGGTAGTCAAGTCAAATTAACAGAGATCCGTCAGCACCACAGCAGAAGACAGGTTGCTGGGTCGTCACAGTGTCCACAAAGCAATGCACGAGAGTCGGAATGAGACGAGCGAGCCGCAAGTAGCATAAGAAAAACGAAAAAAAAGGGCAAATCGAGAGGGTGTCTTCCAAAGTGAGTCACGTTCTTAGTGTGTGCTTTTCCTACCGAATTCATCTCCAAGCAAGGCGAAGACTGTGGATAGTGCAAAGTTTACGTTTGTTAATTCACAGGCTCGGCCCTCGTTTCATACTCTTAATCTTCATCGAGGAGTCTTTTACTTCCACCCTCATGGAAAAGATAGTTTATAATGGCACAAGCACAAGCTGGGGGAGTTCCCGTCGGGGGCAACCCGGTTCCGGGGCCTCCACCTCCACCCGGAGCAGGCGCAGGTGGCGCGGTTGCAGGCGTAAACCAAGGTGGTCCAGCCCAAGGTCACAGCAATAGCGTGGCTGTAGCTCAACAGGCGCAACAGCAGCAAATGCCTATCAGCATCAATTTGCAAGTGGACAACCTTGCGCAGCAGATGACTCGCGCCCAGGACAGCCGCAACATGGGCACGGCGGCCGAAGTCATGGCCCATGGGGTGTGCGTCGGACAAATCACAGAGATCACGACGCAGCCAGATCTTGAGATGTGCCGAAAGGTGTTGTTGCATCTGGTCTTTTGTTCGCGTGAGCCTGTTACATCACATTCATGCTTGAAAAAAAAAGGTTTTTTTTTTATATATTATAGGGCAACTTCCAGGCTGACTCATTCTGGCCGCAATATTTTGTCTCCAAAAACCCACTTTCCCTAGGTCAACAAGGAGACTTTCAAGAAGCAAATCTATCTGGCGAGCAAGGGAGGAATCAACGAGAATAGCCCCACGCCCGTGTGCAAGTTTTTGTACGCATTGGCGTTCAATGGGGAAAGTGGGGCGGTCCTTAATTTCGCTGACGCGAGTAAGCTCGTGCTCATGATAAAGAGCTCAGAGCTTCCAGATGGCAACCGCATGCGTATTCTCATGCAGAAACTGCTGATGAGCGCAGAGCAGGTTGAGCCAAGTCCTTTGGTGCCGACTGATGCCGAGGCGTATCGCATACGCGTGGAAGCATGGCACTAATTTTCTTTTGAATGCCGAGTCTGCATTCCAAGCACAGCGAGTGCCCCAAGTCGTTCTTGTTCCGACGATATACATGCTGCAGCTGTCCGAACTTTCATCATCTTCTCCTTCATGTCTAACGCCCTTAAATATTCAGGCTTAGTGGCGCATTTCCGTTGTTGTGGCGTCACGCGTCTGATGCACGATTGACGTTGAGCAAGGCCATCGCAGAAAATCAGAAACAGATCGAAAAGATGAAAGAAGAAATGGAGCAGATGAAGACTGCTGCCGCAGCTAGCAAGTGGAATGGCCCATACAACTCTGGATACAACAACTACAACAATCATCGCAACAGTGGTGGAAAAGGTGGCAAGAACAACAAGAATAACAACAACAAAGGAGAAGGGGAAAAGGATAAGGGGAAAGGTAAAGGCAAGAGAGGCTCGTTGCCAAAAACATGCTTCGACTGGGCATGGGGGTTCTGCGAGAAGGAGAACTGCCCGCATGAGCATAAGCGTCCCACAAAGGAACAGCTCGAGCAGATGCAAAGTAGCAAAATGTCATGGGCAGTCGCCGGCTTGTCATGCGACGACTTGCCAGAAAATTAATTTCCATCCAATTGGTAGCGTGATAAGTTTTGTTTTTGTTTTGTTTTTTTTCTGGGTCCATATAAGCCACATTGTCTTTTTTGCAAACGTTAGACTATAAGTCTCTGCTGTTATGTGTTCAATGCGTTCCCTTTCAAAATTTTCGTGTTAAGAGTATAAGTGTACATCATTCAGTGAGCGGCTATTCGAAAGCAAATCAGGTTGCTACTTAGTTACAATTCGCACTAGTTCAAAACGTTACCGAGAGTTAAAAACTAGGGCCAGATCACTATAGCAGTTCACCCCTTCGGGCTTCACGAGGTCCGAGGCCCCGACGTTTGAGGAAATTTAGACTCCAATCGTCATTCAAGTTGTTGCTTCTGTTAGAGTTTTTGAATCCAAGCCCGATCGTAAGTTTTTGCACAAGTGACATGCTTTGCACCTCGTTCGGGGAAATCTTTCAGCCATCAAGCGGCTTTTTGGTAAGAGCACTTCAGTCATTACAGTTAACGCACTTGCACTTTTCACGGCAGCAAGTGCCATGAAATATTTCAGACATCTAGCGAGTCACGCGATGACAGCGCCGGCGTGGGTTCAGATTAAGAAAGTGGCAAAGTGGCACAGCAAAGAAAAAGAAAGAAGCTTTGTCTTTCAGTCTCGACGAGATGAATGGCTTATGCCACCTGTATACTACCTCGGTAGTGTTTCTTTTTGCTGGTCTTTCTGTTGAAGTAATGGAGGATAAAAACAAAAACGGTCGCCAAGAGGAAAAGGATGCCGAGTCTCAACAGGAACTCCAGTGCATGTTGGCTCGCATCGAGATGGACACGCGGAGGAAATTTCCGCTCGTTCCTCTGGAAACCGAAGCAAGGCGGTACATCAAGAAGTTGCGCTTCATGCAGCCTGGAAGCGTCTCCCTATCATTCTCCGCATGCATCAAAAAGAAGCGCTTTGAATCAAGAGCAATGGGCTTCGCCATCAAGAGCAGAATGGCGAAGCACTTGCTCAAGTTCAGCAACAAGTTCTCGCTCGGACTCATGAAACTTTTAGGGAGCGAGTATCTCCCAGAAGATGAAGAGTTCTTTGCGCCCTTGTCCACAGGGGCAACGGCGGTTGGCCCGACGGGCGCGCCAGCATACTGGCCGGATCATACTAAGGCTCGTCCTGAACGTGAGTCGATCGCGTCGCTGCCTGCAAACGTCGCGTCGTTTGCTGAAGCGGCGCCTCCTGGTTGGCCAGAAGACGAGTCGTTCTTTACGTGGCAAGGATCTTCAATGGAGTGTCTGGAACCAGCAAGGGAAGACCACAAGTTCCTCACGCAGCCACAGCACGTCGTGCTTGGCTGGAGTCTTGTGCTTGAACTTTTACCGCTGCGGTGCAGAGGCGCGGTCGCGAATTTGCTGCTCAAGTTTTTGCGGGGTGAGACGATTGGCGCCAATTCGTTAGACGGCCCGTTTTCGATTGGTGATGCCATGAACAGAGGGCGGAAGCTTCTCACTAGGCGCGTTCCCACGAAGCAGGCCAACAAGATCCGCCTTATCGACCCACTAGTGCCGCAGAATAAGACGTCGACTCTTGAAAAGAGCGCTCCGATGACAGCGGCGGGCGACATTCTTGCCCAGGCAACTGCGTTGCTCGACGTCAACTTGGTAGACCAGCCTGTTTGCAAGATGAGCAAGAAACTCATCAAGAAAGCGCTGAAAGAGGAGAAGGAGTACGAAAAAGAGGCTTGCGCACACATTTTAGAAGGTGGCGCCACACCTAACAAGCGTTGGCTCCACCCCGAAGTCTTCCCCTCGCCTTCGCCGTCTCCTGCCTCTACATCCGCAGCATCGCACAAGAGGAGTGCTACTAGTCGGGACAAAGAAGACGCGGGCGTCTCCTTTGCTGTCATATTAGTCATGTTGTTTGTCGTCGACATCCTCAAAGCATACAACAGCGCACCAATTCGCGACTCGCGCCGCATCTTCAATCGCGTCGCGGTTTGGTCTCCTTGTCACTCGTGTTACTTCGCCTTCCAGTGTTTGGTCTGCGCCTTCGGCAATGTTCACAGTGTAAGTGTAACTTCGTGGACTCGTATTTCTTGGGGGTTGCGGCTCATCTTTCGCCGTATGCTCTTTGCGTTGATCGAGCTGTACGTGGACGACTTTTCCGGCATAGCTCCAGCGCGGCTGGCGCAGGAGTTATTGGATTGCTTCATCCACTTCCTTGATTCGCTCGGGGTACCGTACGCGAAGAGGAAGGTCAAAATCGGCCATGAAGTTGAGGCGTTGGGATTGCTCTACAATTTGGCGGGTAGACCATTCTTTCAAGTTTCGCGGGACAGAGTGCTCCAAATAGTGAAGACCATTGGCGGCATCTTCGCCGAGGGTAAACTTCATTCTGCAGCAGCAAGGAAATTGCAGGGCAAGATCTTCTTTATCTTCACATCTCTAGTAGATCGCGCGATGAGTCCTGTGCTCCGGCCTCTCATCAATCGTGCCGAGGACATGGATGCGACCCACGACCTCACAATGAGGCTCAAGCGCTGTCTTTCCATCATCAAGCTTTTGGCACAACAGCCCATCCGCAGATGCGCCAAGTTTTGTGCATCAGCCAATGTCGGAGACATCATTTACACCGACGCGCCATTCGCTGACGCGGAAGGCCGATTGTCAGGGGTAAAAGTGATTACTTTAGAAGATGGCTCGTTCAAGTTCCTTTGGTTCACTTTCAGAATTGACAAGTCCGAACTTCACGAATGTACTGGCAGACAACCTATCGCATTCTTAGAGGCCTTGGCCCCTTCTCTCGCCATTCGCGTGTTTGAACATTTTGTCTCCAACTCCTTCCACAGTTTCGCTATCGATAACGAGGCTGCCAAGTCTTGTTTGTTAAATCAAAGCTCTCAGAAGACTCATATGTCCTTCGCTTCATTTTTGTTTTGGTCGACTCTGTCTCTCTGTGGGGGGAGTGCTTGGGTATCCCGTATTCCATCCGCTCTCAACGTCGCTGATATTTTCAGTAGGGGTAGGCTGGATAAGATGGAACTAGCGTCGAGACTCTTCCCGGGGATGTTTGAAGAGGTCGCTCTCTCTGATGATGATGCCAAATTTTGCAGGTGTGCCATGCAGTTAGACCCTCACTCTCTTGGGGCTTTTGTCCAGTTAGACAAAAATTTCTTTCAGCTTGATAAGGAGGCCAAAAGTCAACTTTGCGACAGTAGCAACCCCACGCTAGAACAGTAATAAGTCGCGAGCGCATGGCGCATCGTTTTCAGATCGGCAAAGCGGTTGCCCTTACTTTCCCCTCAAGGTCAATGTGCATCGGATTGCTCCACTATCATGCTGGTCCCCATTTCCACAGTCACGCAGTCAAAGCATTCCTTTCGCGTTGTTGTTTACACATTGGCCAGCAGTCATCCTTCTACATGGACTACAAACGGCGCTCACGACGTTCCCCGACTTCGCCTCTCTCTTAAAAAAAAGATGTCCATATCTTTGACGATGTGTTCGTGGTAAGTCTCCCACCCGGCGCGTAGAACACACTTTGTCTCTGTCCATTGTTTTCTTTCAGGAGAGGTTCTTGTCGGGCGCTCGTCTCAAGGCGCGGCTCTTTTTTGCAGGATCAGGCTTGTAGTTCAAGTGGCGGATGCTGAGTGAATAAATACAATAGACGATCCTTCCATCTTCTAGAAATAAATTTTAGATTTCTTGTTTCTCTCTGGAGGAGGTGGAGCTCTAACGCACGAAAAAAAATCAGTTCTTGCACAAATGGTACAACTTCAAGGAGTGCCAGAAGATGGGGTTGGTCCAGATATTTCTTGAAGGCATCAACAAAAAGCAGCAAGATCTTCGTAGGCGTGATAGATTGCGAATCACGCACGAAGGATTCTGTGACATATTGAATAATCGTTCCGAAACTGGCTGGTCTTTGGTATTCGAGGTTCGCTGCGGCAAAACCAAAAGAGAAACACCAGGTCAAAATAAGAGCCGAGGAACTCAGGATGGTGGCAGAGGTCAAGATGATGGTGGCAGCGATGACGACGAGGATCAAGATCATTTTTTTAAGGATAACAACAATAAAAAACAATTTCTGGTGCAGGAGAAGATTACTAATATCGCACTACTTTCTTCACTATCATGTAACTAAGACCTTGTTGTTGTTGAGAAATATTAGACGGTCGCTGCAGCATGAAATGAATTATCGTGAGTTCATCTTCTTTTTGTGAGTTCATCTTCTTGCTTCTTCTAATATACCAGGAGGAGGGCAAGGCAGACGAGGCAGCAAGAGTCGAGACAGAGGCTCTGACGACCGTTCACGATCACCATCTGGGCAGCCTGGCGCCGGGAAACCGCGGAGAAGCTCCGGAAGTGGAGGTTCTCGCTCGGGAGGTGGTCACGAACGCAACTCAGGCGGATCCAGCACATCAACGACCTTTCCCTTGCTTGGAAATGGAAATCTCGGAACGCGGAACACAAATAGGCCAACTCGCACCACGACGAAGCGATCGACTACCGCAGACGGAAAGCGAGTGGAGGTCTCCTACTCGCCTTATCCAGTCCCCACAGGAGGTACGTTCGTGATCAAAATCGATGGTCAGACATTAAAAGTCCCGGGGGAACAAGATGGTCATGGAGTCCTAGCAACTACCTCCACGACCGCTGCACAGGGTGACGATGATCATGGCGTAGATCATCCAGAACAACTACAAGATCCCGAGGACTATGCTGGAAATGAAGAGCAGACGACGAGACTTTCGCGGACGAGGCACTTAGAGGAGACGGAGGGGACGCAGCTACTCGAGGAGAGTTCCGAAGATGAAGGGACGAGGCTTTCGTCCCGTGGGGAACAACCTTCGCGCACGTGGAACTGCTGTATGAGGTGGTTCTGTAGCGATGCCTCCGGACATCATGAGGTGGTCGATAGAAGAAAACGAATCGTTGTTTTCTGTCGTGCCTGTCGCGACTGCCTCCGCCGCTGCGACATTTGCTGCAAACATCGCCTCGAGCCCTCCAAGAACGACCCTCGCGATAGGGAATTTGAATCCCTTTTACGAAGAGCGGCTGCGTTGCGTTCATTCGTCAAACTCAGTTTCGAAATGCGTGACTATGGAATGGTCCGTGCGAACAAGCTCCGCGCGAACAGGCTGGCGAAAAAGAAAAACTAAAATTTTCTTTCGCGTTGTATATACTGCGAATTGGCTAGAGAAATGAGTGAACCTTTCTAAAAATCTGGAAAAGGGTACCCCAATGATTGCGAGGCGTGTCGGCTTGGTGTCCCGGGCCCTTCGTCTGAGCTGCTCGCGGTTTGCGTCTCTGGGTGTCTCGGCTATCTGTGCCATCTTGGTTGACTATTTTGGGCATTTGCTGGCCCTGGCGTTGCTCTCGTCTAGACAGCTCCACGCCGCAAGGGCGGGCGGCAAGCCGGCCCAAAGCCGTCGACCTTGTGCGCCGTCGCCAGGAGAAGCCCAAAGGAGTGAAGCGTCCGGAACCTCTGACAGCCGGACCCGTCTGGCCGTGGGCTCGGTGGGTGGTCTTGATGGAGGGGTCTGCCGACATTTTTTCGGGAAATGTTCGCGCGGACCTCTGCCCGGAGTGCTGGAGAAAAGAGGCCAATTTGTCCGCCCGAACAAGTCGAGGACGGCAGGACAGACCTGACCGCGGAGGGCTTCGGACGATGTTCGCGCGGGGGCCAAAGCGCCTTACAGTCGGTCGATTTGGCTTGCATCTTTCAGGACCTGGCGGGTCTGGATGGCTTCGACAAAGCTGCTCAGATCGTTCGGGCCATTTTTTACCAATCGGAGAAAAGGGGGCCCGGCCATGGTATCACGATGCCAGGCATTGCCAGATGTTCTGGTCTGGGATGGCGTCGGAACTGGATGCCTTAGAACCGGGACGTCAGGCCAGCGAGCATCTCAAATATTGGGCTAGAGGTCATGCTGATGCACCTTTCTCCGATGCAAATGCCCATGAAGGAGCCACGGACTTCCTTGACCGCCGCTTGCGTCTCCTCTTGTCACCAACTAATTGATTTAGTTACTGTAAGTGTAACTGACTAGCGGGAATGGGCTAAGCAACTAAAGAATTAAGGATTAACCAAAAAAAAATATTTTTTTTCGCCAGCCCGTGCGTGCAGGCGGACCTTGTTCGCGCGGACCATTTCATGGTTACGATTGGGACGATATAGTCCACTCAGCTCCGCTAAGGAGCAAGATAGACAAGTACATCTACTTCCAGGAATGCAGAAATCGTTATTCTCGTTTCGGGTCATGGCACTGCGACGCGCGCGACTTTTTTTTGCATGTCCTCGAGCCGCACTGGGACTCTTTCGAGCGAGACTATGTTGCCAGAAACTTCAAGTTCATTCCTTCTCCTAGGTCCGGCAGGACCTATGTTGGTATCGACTACCACTGCGATGGCCGTGGCATTAGAAAAGAATATGAAGACGATGCTCTGCGCGATTGGTTCGAGGAGAACGCGATTGCTGACTATGGCCAGGAGAGCACCAAAATTAGATTAAGCATAAGGTAGCCCAATGGCTACGGTTTTGGATGGTGTGCGTCATCATCATCCTCCGCGATGTCGCTCCTGTCCTGTGCCTAGTGCTAACCTGCACAAGCACAGGATAAAAATGAGAAGGCAAAGAAGCTGGCTTCTGTTGTTTTTATTCTATGCAGATCCCTCCGGCTTAATGCCTTTCATCTGACTAAGCTAACTAGATCGCAGCCATCTATTTGGGCCGTCAGCTTATTCTTATCTTGCACACGCTTAAGACCTTAAGGGCCTTAGCAGTTTGACCCTGGTGGCCTTGATGTTAATGATGATGATGCTGCTCTTGTTGTTGCTGTCGTGTTGATCTTCTTGTCCTTGTTGTTTCCTTGATCATGATGTTCGTGAATCGTTACGATGTTAATTTCAGTATTGGTAGGATGATCTTTATGCTCATGCTTGAGCTGGTTCATAATTTGGGGGTCGCCTCGGCCGAGAAATTTGCATGGGCAATCAAACAGCAGCGGAGATATATTCTCACAAAGACGATGTTACATATTGAGGAGGAGCGTGCGTTTGCCCGTCAGCGAGGAAACGCTTGCTGTGGTCTTTGGATTGCATGCAAATGGCCTCCGCACAGAATATCGGCAGCAAGCCTCTCAGTCTCCGCCTTCACAATGGGAGGGATTGGTATTTACCACGGGTTTCAGACATACGTTGATTGGAAGCAGGGAATGGAAAAAGAAAATCACGAACACAAACACGTTTTAGATCAAGCTGAGGCTGACCACACCATAATTAGTTTGGCTGAGCTGCACATGGATAGTCATGTACATGTTGAAGGGTCTCTTGGAGATCCGCGGACTCTGGACGAGCTAGAGAATTTCAATGAAGAAAATAAATCAGGGTTGCATCTGCGTAGACTACAACACCTCTCGGCAACAAAAGAGCTACCAGCACAATCAGAACAAAAATCATCTGCCGAAGAAATGGGAACCGGTACGCCCAGCCCCAGTCATTTGTCCGCAAGATTGTCTGGTACAACTTCAAGAGAGAAAGAGCCTAGGCACGATCAAGCTGTAGAGGAAAAAGCGGATCGAAGCCTTCTGAGGCGTCCGCCACGACGTCTGGCAGAATCCGAGGACGAAGCACCAAGAACTCTAGTACAGAATTCCGAGGTCACTAAATCTACAATGCCCACTTCTATCTTGTTCCCGGCTGGCAGCAGCAGGGCACCAAAAGATGAGCAACGACCTACTCCCGAAAGACGTGCAAGGACGGGGGCATCCGCAGAAGACGAGCAGGATGAAGATGCAAATACTCATACACTTACTAGCATGATGAAGACACTCACACTAGAAGATGTTGATCTACGGCCAAAACCTGCAGTTGAACGATCGCATTTTGCGGGTGATGCCTTCTCCTACGTTGTATTTAGAGACGAGGACGGCAACCTAAGGGACGCTTCGCGAGGAGATAAGCTTTTACTTGAAGAACAAGATGCCTCTCGGATAACTGTTGTAGATATTGTTCAGAAAAATAAACGGAGATGATGATGATGATGATCTGCAAGCTGCCAGTACTACTGCTTCCAGAACCTAGGGGACCGGGGCTGGTGATGTTGATGATTTTTCATCGTCATCGCATAAAAAACATTCTTTAGAACATCACGACGATCGTAGAGGTTATCAGGCGGTGGACGGGGTCACTTGTTGACACCCCTCTCCAAGCGCATCTTTTTTTGATGCTGGATCAACAACATCATCAAAGAATTTTTTTATCCTATTTTGAGCAAGCTGATTAAAATCACGATAAGGTGGCTCGTGGTTGTTTTCCTTTCCTGTATTCTCATTTATTTACATCGACGAATTCTAATATTGTACTTGAACAAATTGAGTATCGTATAACCCAGGGTGTTGTACTTCTACCCAATGAATGGGAACTATATTTACTAATATGGCTTCTGCTTCACCGATCACACAGGAGGTTGAATTTAGTAAAGCATTGGAGCAAAATATTGGATGTCGAAGATGTACCAACATTAGCATGTGCATGATAATGATTATCGTCATGCAACTAGTGAGAAGTGTACTCGACCTCTTCAGGAGTCTTCCACACCCGTCAATATTTTAGCTTTTCCATGGCAGCCGAAACCATCAGAAGAAAAAACTAATAACTCTAAAAAACACCAACAAAGACAGGCCTGCTCGTGCCTGATCTTTGACTGTAGAAGATGGACCAAAAATGTCTGTTCGTGAAGCACTTGCGGCCTAAAAAATGGCAGATCTCAAAACAGCAAAAAGGAGGCCGTTAAAATAATCGTGTCATTGATGATAATAATAGAAGCTGGGCCGAGCTATAGTTGTATCTGAACTAGAGGGCAACTTGAACTTATCCTCATGGGGTAGGTTTATAAATATGATAGTCATAGACTTCTCGTGCTATGCGCTAGTTTGGTGAACCGGTACCCTGGAGCAAACTAGTCGGTGCACATGGCGCGAGAGCCGAGCACTTCTCTGAGGCATGCACACCACAGGCCTCGGCCGCCTTAGATGAGAAGACCTCCAGGGCAGATGGATGACGCGCGGCGCCCATAATAGACGGATCCTAATAAAGATGGCCATCAGTCTACTTTTTAACATATAAAGAGAAAGTAGTTGTACCTTCTATTATTGATTTTCTTCTTTTTTGGTTTTTTTTCTTAGTTACTTGAGTCTTGGGTTAGCATCACTATTACCAAGTCAAAGCAAAATGATGTGAGCCGTGGGCGTGCGCGTGGGAGTATGGAAGTCGTATAAGTGGTGCTCTTTTACGGCACTTTAGTCCCCTCGACGATTCGAAATGAGTCTCAATCTTCATGAAGGAGCAAACCTTCATTTACAACTTCTTTTTGGTTTTGGATAATTCTTTTTGTATATAGTACTAAAAAATTGGAGTTCGTCATAGCAGCTTCTTGGAGATGGAACTGCAAGAAGGATTGCCCACTGTTTTTTTTGTATTTTCTATCGATCTCAATCGAATTTGTTCGTTTTTTATAACTGTGATCGATTCGTATCTATTTGTTTCAATGTTACGTGGTTCCTTTGCTGTCCAAGTGTTGATGCGCTGCCAAATAGTGTTGAACTTGCTTGGGGAATAAAAAGTGTGCTCTTTCAAATCTTTTCGGTAGAATACTAAAACGCGATGAAGATGATGATCACCAACATATAAACAAACCAAAAAAAAATAAAAAAGTAATGTTATAAGTTGAGTTTAGAAAATAATTGTGTCGGGGTATTATCGCTATAGGTGAACATGAATGCTGCCGAGTCATGTCTGCGCATGATAGATTCTTATGCACTATGCAGGCGCAACTACTGACACGCCCGAGTGAGTGAATGTTGAAGGTGCACCTTTTTTCCCATTATGACGAGCCTTTGAAAAATACCACCGCCCCCCAAGAACATACAAGAAAACCAGGTCAAAAGATACCTCCAGAGCAGGTAAATGAATGAATGAATTACAAGAAAAGTTTCCAACGTGGAAGAAAGGCCTAAGCGGCGCAAATGACGGCATTCCGAAGAAGGCTGATTACGTGCGACCTTCGGTTATTTGAAGCAACAATTTTTAAAGTGTGTAGTTCGCAGACGAGAGATGAATGCGCCGTGAGAGAGAATCGAGAAGAATAGTGTGCGAGTGTGTGTGTATCAAACAAGAGCGCCGTATCTAGTTGCAGAGGTTGCGATTGCGTCTAGAACAAGGGCGCGCTCTGGCTTCTTGAAGAGAACCGGAGGGAGAAGAGCTGCTTTAGAACTTGACTACCTAAAACATACGAAGCAACATCAACAAAAAGGATGACTTACCTTTAAATATCTCATCGAGATGGAACTTGAAGAATCCCCGAAGATATGACTGATAAAAATTCTTGAGTATCATCAATCATGTTGATTGACCGAGATGAAACAACAAACACAAGCTCATCATCGTCGACAACCTTTCTCTATTTTCGCCTTTTTTTCTTATACTTGATCACACCATGGCTCCTCTTCCTGTCGAGTGTTGGTATCCTATCTTCCGATCGCACACAACTGTTTCCGTACCAACCGATTAAATACCTCCTTCTACAAGATGACCAAGAAGTACGGCTAGAAGTACAACATGTACAAGATGGATATGAGCAGCAAAAGGTTGAGGTAAAGCAGGCATCGTCGTGGTCTTCCTCTTCTTCAAGGTTTCCTGTACATAGTCTTCCGAAACACGAAGTTGCTAAGAACGTGTTCGCAGAGCAGTTACAGCATTTGTTACCAAACGTAGATCACGCACAGTTGAACTACGATGACGTGCACAAGTTTCTGTTACAAGAAAAAAGCAGGAACCACCGTCCTCCAGCAGGATGGGGAGGAGGAAATAATGAAGAAGATGAAGAAGCACGACATCGACAAGAACCGCAACAACAGGCAGAGGCACCAGTCCAAAATTTGGACCAACAGGGGTCCCTACCAGACTTGGGCCAACAAGCTTCCCGACCCGCTACAAGAACAGCAGCAGCCGATTACCTTTTGGAAGATGCGAGTGTGTGGCTCAGCCTTTTACAAATGGTTATACCATTTGCCTGTGCGCTTGGCTTCCTTACAGCGCTATTGGCGACACCAGCGCACGCTTTATTCACGACGGGGAAGGGGGCTGACAGTGACGAGACAACTCATAAACTACAACAGAAGAATTCTTCTAGTAGAGTTGTAGTAGAGGATCAGGATGACGACGAAGTAGAGCAAGAGAAACAGGACAGCGAGGATCACGACGACGATGATGATACTGGAACTGGTGTGGAGGGAGTAGATGTTGAACAACTATTTCCACTGGAAGAACCACAACACGAGAATCGAGATCAACAAGAGGACCAGTCTGCAGTAGATATCTTCGGAGGAGAGGACTCTTCGGAAGACGTTGAGAAACCACGTCCGGATACATCATCAACTATCGAATCTACTACGCCTTCAACGTGGCCGTTAGTCGCTAACTCCACTACAAGTAACTCACGAGCATCTTCTGTTTATACTAGTTCGTGGTTATGGCGTCAGCGAATTCTCATCGTTTGCCATATCCTTTTGTTCATCGTGGGATTGCTATTGCTGCTCGCTTCCCACACGTTCAGTGCTAAACCTCTGCACCCCACGTGGTTTGACTTCGGCGGCGTTTTCACTGTTGTAAGCGGAATAAACCTCTTCATCTTTGTGCGCCTGCAATCTAGATCTACAAAAAGTACAACCTCTAGTTGGGAAGCCTCAGGCAAGAGTCGATGCTGTACTTCTTCGCAAGAAGACTCTCCGAGCGCAGGCGTGCCAGACCTTGCAACCAGTCCTAGTACAGCTAGATTTAGTTTGTTTGCCCACGAACTCTACGCCTTCCGGCACTGGCGACGATCACGGCGACGTCAAGCCCTAGCTATTTTTCTCGGAGCAAGTTGCTATCTCTATGTGTGCCATATAGAAGGACTGAAAGTTGTCGGAAATGTTGACAGTTGTATCGGAACTGATGATCTTGGCGGTACAAGGAATAGTACACGAAGATTTTCGTCATCAACCTCTGCAGCTACAGCGTTTTTCAAGAGTCTATTTTACGTTTTGTTCAGCACCTGCACCGAAGTGGATACAGCAAACGAAGATAATGTGCCAGGAGAAGCAAATGTAGTAGACAGAATTGCACGACAGGAAGAAGGAGCGACACCCCCACGTGGCACACAAGATACAATGGACTCTCTTGTTTCTCACCGACTAGCACAAATCCTCGTGACGACTGCCTTACCCCTTATAGGCGCCTTGGCGATCTTGGGATTGCTCATAAACGTTCTCTTCGTCACGCGTGCCGAAAGGAGAGATGCAGAACATATTCACCAAAAGGTTATCAAGGTAAACACATCGTCTTCGCCTTCGCCAGCGGGCGAAAATTCCGACGACTCCTCAAGAACTTGCCGCTCGTGCCGCACAGTAAGCACATCAGTCCTGCGGATTCTACCTGCCATGCACTTGATCCTGATAGTTGTGATGCAGATGAGCCTGGGGTTTGATCTACTCAATGAGGACAACCAAGGCGAAGGAGCAGCATCACGCGCAAGTGCGCGCGTCTTACTGCAGTTGCTCTTTAAACTCATTGGATGTTTTGGGGCTTGGTACTTCTGGAGCCTCGTTCCTAGTCTATGCACCGCAATCGATGGCAAATCTATCACGCTGCCTGCGACCCAGAAAGCCTCGTCATCCTTTCACTTCCGTGACCCGTTGGCATTCATTTTCCTACTTTATGAACCTTTGTCGTCTTTTTCGTCTTTGACTTTGGCGTTGTTTCACAACTAAGTACCCCCATCCCCATGTATCATTGACGTTGTTTCACAACTACACGTACTCCCCCATCCCCATCCATCATTACCGCTCGTCTTTCCTCTAATTCCTAGTCTGCGCTTTCTGGGTGAAGCCAGCCTGTTGTACCGTTCCCCACCTCTTGGTGGGTTATCGCGTCTTAATGGCCGACTTCTATCGGAGCAGAAACCATAAGAGGACAAACATCACTTTGTTCCAAGTCTATGTTCTCCTTGCGGTTTTTGCAGAATACTTACTGCTCTCATTGGAGGGAGAAGGGCAAGACGGCCGTCAAGCTACAGCTGGACCTGGTGACGCTAGAGAAGTTGTACAGCTGCCACAAGAAACGCTGAAATTGTTCTTCGTAACGGCTCCAGATGTACGGAAACAAGGAACGACGAATGGTCAACAAATAGAAACAACAAGCTACACGTTTGACGCATGGGAGATGTTCCTGTCGCGATTGTTCTACCTCTTTGTCAGCATGGCGTGTTTGTGCTACCTACCAAAACGAACACCTGGTGCTGTAGTTCATGGAGGAAATGCTACAACTTCTGGGTCTTCCGGTTCCCGTTCTGTCGAAGCAGGTAATAAAGGTAGAGAGACCAGTAGAGATGAGACACGAGGCGACGTTGACAAAGACAAGGACCATATTGAAGACGAACAACAGGCCACAACAACAACAACTGGTGATGGCTCGTATCACTACTTTGACCACTTTTACCGACATTCTCGGGAAATTGTGATTGCGCCTGGTTGGGTACAGCTAGCCATTTTACTCGTGATTGGCTTGCGATCTGTCCTGTTACTGCTAGCAGGCAGTATAGATCGGGAACAGGAACAAGTCCAAGTGAGCGTGGAAAAGACACCAGGAACGGGACTACCTGGAAGTAGAAACGAAGCTCAAGAACAGGTTCCGCTCCTCCCGACCAACACAGAACAGACTGGACGTCGCAGATTGGTGGGAATATTGTATGTCCTGTTGTACATGGCTTTACTCTGGTCGCATGAAAGGTGGCACCACGCAGTCTTTCACTGGCAGATGAAACTACAAGTTTCTGTTGTCAGCGAAGACCATGCTGAACTCGAACTTGTGGCGTCTCTACGGGCATACTTGAGGCGCTCCGAGTTTTGGATCTACGTGGTGGAGCTCACGTTCTTCGTAGTCAGTTTTTGCGCTACAGTCGTCACGTTCCTCTTTGGACATGTGCGACTACTGTTGCGACAAGCTTCTTTTACATCATCTAGTAGTGCACTTGTAACCGAAGATACAGCATCAAGAACAACCACATTCTCCTCCTCTGGGACAAGCAGAAGGGTAGATTGGCTGGAAAACACGATCGGCGAGTTTTTGTGCGACCTGCATGATCCGGAACGTGTGGCGCCGCTCAACTTTCTTTTGAGTTTCCTGATCGTTTTTCACATTCATCAGAGAAACAGATCAAGAACATCTCCGGGTGTGCGGGTCTGCTTACTAGCAGTTACACCGTGGGAACACCGAGATGGAGAAAAGTTCAAACGAGCGGCTTTGTACAATGGAGAAGTCCTATCGTTCTTGGATTTTCTGTTAGAAGCGTTTCGGAAAAAGCATTTTGATCACAGGAGGGATGGTGATGGGATGTTGGCAGATGCAGAGGAGACTGAGACTTCTGCATGTGATCTGGCCCACGAGAACACCGCACAAGGAGAGAGGAGAAAAAAATCAATAGATATTTGTAGCAGGCATGCAGGGCGTGGCAAAGCGCAGGTGGCAGAGTTAACGACCGAAGGTGAGGCTGAAGGTTATGTGGTCGAGATGACTACACTTGATCTTCGCAAAGGTACGAGTAGAATCTCTTCACAAAACAGCGACACCGATGGAAACGAAAATCACGTCATCGATGATGGAACTTGTACTGCACGTGAGCAGCATGATGACGAGCATCTGCCCGAGCCTCACAGTCCCTTTATTCCGGCCACCGACTCAGCAGAGTCGTTCATATTCAATTATCGCCTGGCCCGATTTTGGTGGTCTACTGTGGATTCCGTACGCCTAGCTAGAAGCTATTTGTTTCTTGGTTTCTGCCT